TTTTTTTTTTTTTTTTTTTTTTTTTTTTTTTTTTTTTTTTTTTTTTTTTTTTTTTTTTTTTTTTTTTTTTTTTTTTTGTTACTTAGTGTATGGTAAATAATCAGACGAATAATATTGTAGCTTTGGAAAATGTCACTTATATAAGTCTATGATTAACAATTCAGATAATTAATACTGAAGTTCTGGAATTGATAATTCAATTTTAACCCTGTTCAACCTTTATAACTATTGTAGTACTGGGAAGCATTAAAACTGTGTGCCCAGCATAACGTGCCTATGACGGAGGAACTTGGAGAGAAACTGACCCCACCCAAAGCCATGGCTGAAAACGAACAAGAGGAAAGAACCAAAGTACTGGAGGGAATTGCAGAAATCTGCCTTCAACAAAGACAGTATCACATAGCTACAAAGAAATACACACAGGCTGGCAATAAGATTAAGGTAAGAGCTATGAAACCTCTTTCCACAGTGACAATAAAAAGTAAACTTAGTAAATGTTAAGTGAGCATTTACTTTTGTAGTATTTAACAAAAAGCATAATTTTCTCTATTTTTTGAAAGTTTTTTTTAAACACAGAGTGAGCTCTTTATTTTATCCTTATTCAATTCACGTGATTGTTTGTATTTATCTATTCTGAAAATGCTAAATATATCATTATTTTACTTGGAACCAATATATAAAGCCTACTTCACATAGGTTAATATTGTCCTTCCTTTGTTGTATAGGCCATGAAAGCACTCCTCAAATCTGGTGACACAGAAAGGATAGTGTTCTTTGCTGGAGTGTCCAGACAGAAGGAGATCTACGTGATGGCAGCCAACTATTTGCAGTCCCTAGACTGGAGGAAAGACCCAGAAATCATGAAAAATATCATCGGGTTCTACACCAAAGGCAGGGCACTAGACCTACTGGCAGGCTTTTATGATGCTTGTGCACAGGTAAAAACTGGCTGATATAGATATGATACAATATTTACATGATTGCATTTTACTTTTGATAGGGTCGTTTACTAAACATCAATAACTTATGTTCCATTTTGTTATGAACTGAATTTATGGAATGCATGAGAAATGTGTTCAAAGACTGAGGGGTATGTTTTCTCCATAAGGTTGAAATTGATGAATACCAGAACTATGACAAAGCTCTGGGTGCCTTAAACGAAGCCTACAAGTGCATGGCCAAGGCAAAGATGAAGAACCAGTCTCTGCAAGAGGAAAAGCTGGCTGCTTTTAAACAGAGGATAAATCTCATCAAGAAATTTGTGCAAGCTAGAAGGTACGTGAATATTATTGTACAAATACTGTATTAAAAATATTACTCAACATTTATCTTATTAAGGATATTTTACTATTCTTCATGTATTGAATAAGATTAAACTTTTAAAATTTACATAAATATTACCTATTAGAAAAATTCTTTTGGAAATATCAATTGTGCACAGGGTTCCTTCATGACCTATGCTTCATGAATGGAATAGGTGAAAATGATACACGAGTGGATGATTTTAGAGTATTTGATATATAAAAGCATCACCAATTCCAGAGTGTATGATGAAGATCCAGATGAGGCAGTGAAGCAGTGTCAGGTATTGCTAGAGGACCCAGACCTGGACAGTGCTGTCAGAATGGGAGATGTCTATGGTTTTACTATTGAACACTATGCCAGGAAGGAGAAATGGAAAGCTGTAAGAATAATAATAATAATATTGACACAGTAGTTTTAGCATTACCACTGGTGTTAATTTGTATGTAATTTTTGAGCAAAATCATTTTCATGGATACATTAGTTTAATAGATAAGTTTTTAAATGTTTATTTACTGGTTAAGTTGTTCTTGTTAACAAAGACATTGAATTAATTTATGAGATTGCTTTATGTTGTAGAGCGAAGCCTTTCAAAATATATTTTTGAGAAAAAAACAATATAAACCGTTGATATGAGGTTTGAAACAAATGATTTGGTGTCAATGTTACAAAAGAAGTGTTGAAACATAACTGGTTTTAAGATTACATACAGTCAATATGTGCATTTAACTACTTATGACAAAATCATGATTTGAATCATTTGTAATTTCATTTTTTATTGAGATCATGATTGTTCTCCACAGGCATTTCTCCTTGTCATTTGCATTTTGTTTGATGAATTAAATGTATGATGTTAGATGTAAATAATAAGTGATATTTCTAATAAGAGAGAATTATTTACCACAGGCTTACTCAACTATGGAGGAGATGCGTAACAAGATTCCCACAGTCAATATGGCGTACTATGTAAACATGAGGACAATAGAGGCCATCCATCAGGCACTGGACATTCCACTAGGACGTGGTATTGGTGCCGAGAGGACGAATGGAGTTCGTAGTGCATCGCCAGAAGAGGATGGAGAAGAGTTTGTGGAGGAAGAGGTCGCTGATTTCACTGAGGATTAGTTGTCTTTATTATAAGGAGAAGAGGACATGAAGTTTGTGGAAGAATAAATATCTGCCTTTACAAGGTTAAGAGTTTTTCATTATTGGAGTAGGATGATCAACTTTGTGGAAGAAGAGGCTGATTTTCTGCTGATGTGTTTATTTTTTAAAGTCATATTTATTGTAGTTTAATTTAACTGGAATTTAGCTGAAACCATCCACCCAGGTATGTAAATAAAAACAAATTGAATTTCATGCCAGGATCATTTTGATAAAAGTTTTCAACCCATAATGCACTTTGTGCACGTGATGTTCTATACACCGTCCATAAATACGTCCTTTTTGAAAAGGGTGGCATTTCACCATTTTCAGTGGTATTCATGATAGCACATAAGTGGACTTTTATAAGAACAACAATTTGAATCCTGAAGTCCGTGACTTCTTGTTTAAAGCTTATCTCTCATTCTTTACCTCTAATGAACTGCAATGTGTATATTTTTAAAAACAATAATGATTTTAAGTTGAATGAGCCAGTTATTGATTGGCTGCTTTTTTCTACTCTGAAAACAATATATTTTGTTAAATGGAAATCCTTGGAAGGTTCAAAATTTTCCACCAAGAGTTAGAAGGGTGCAGGTGGACTTTTTTGGGATTGTAAGAATTAAGTACACTACAGTATAATGCTGAACAAATGAAGGAACAAAAAATGAAATATATGAGGAGTGAAAGGAAAGCAAAAGTTGTAGCTGCAGACTAAGGCTTATAGGTCTTGTTTTTATGAAAATATTTATAGATGTTTAAATTATCCTGATCTCATGTCAGTCATATTGTATACACATTTTATGTGGATTTCCAACACAAGTGCTCTTCATTATTAACAAATGTTTTATGTCCTTTTAAATGTACTTTAAAATCAGTTATATGGCAATCCATTTTCTTGATTTTTTTCCTTGAAATTGGAGATAACATTTGATCAAGTTTCTGATAATTTGTTTAGAAGTAGTAGTTCTTTTGTGAAATATGTCACAACTACTCATGAATAGCCGTATGGATGAAGAATCAATATTACTACCATTTATATAAATCTACAAATTCTACAAATACTATTCAAGAAGTGTGTAAATACAAAATTGTAAATTTTGTTGTAAATACAAATGTTTACAAGTGTGGTGAAATAAAATCTTAATTCTTAGACAGCCTTTTTCATGATGTGCACATGGAATAAAATACTATTTGATGAGACTCACATTGAATGAATATCTATAATGCTTAGATTTATATATGTACATTTTATTACATATTTTCCTGTGCACTGGTTATCTACATGACACAATAAAATCAGAAATGTTTACAAACCCTAAATCATCTTCATCTGGATGCCAAGTACGATTTATGAGATATTTTTAGTCTCGTGGATCTTATGCAATAAAATAATACCTGAACGATTAAAAAAAGATACAAATAAAATCAATTCTGAAGTTCATTTCTGCAGCTTTTTTTGAAGAACACAGTTAGGATTTTGCCTGCTGTAGGAAACTGAGATCAGTCAAACTTGGGCAGTATGCACACATCATTAATCTACAAAATATTAATTCTGAAATATGTGAAGTATATATTTCTATAAAAGTGTTATGGAGAATTTTAAAATAAATTCCTGTAGATTTGCTGGAGAATCTTCTGCACTGTCCAACCTTATCATAGAACCTTGTATCTGCCTCTGTTGATTGGTTGATAAGAATTTTGCTGAAAAAATAAGAAGAATACACTGATAACACAACTGATATGAGCAATTGTTTTCTACATCCTCTCTGGCTTAATTTTAAAATTTTGTTCTAAATTGACAAATACTGTTCTTGAGGTATCACGTTTTTAAATTTCTCATACATCTTACAATATTTTTGGAGATTTAAAATGATAGATAAACCCCCTGCAACAATATGTGAGAATTTCAATAATCTTTGTCTTCATTAAATAACACAATACGGGGGCTAGGGTGCAGATAGAGCCATTTTCAATTTATCTCTTATGCTACTGAGTTTGCCAAAATAATAATAATAATAATAATAATAATAATAATAATAATAATAATAATATAAAACTAAGAATATTTCTGTGCTCTATTACACATTAATAAAATGGTTGTGTGAGATCCCTTTAAGAGCAAAAACAGGTACAGGTAACTCTCATGTTCTTGTTTCTAAAGGGATCAAACAACCATTATAAGAATAAGATGTTGACCACTGGGACAAAATGTCCATTCACTCACCAGTCTAACCAGCTCCTCCTTGATCAGCCTGGTGATCTCTGTCTTAGCCTTCTGTATGGACAGCTCACTGGTGGCCTCTATAGCCAGGTACAGCTTGCGCTCCTCTTCCTTAGGTAGTTTACCTGGAGGGAAGTATGTCCCACGCACTGTGATACCTGCCTCTGAGTACTCACAGATCTGAGCCAGGGCTTCCTAATATCAACAAGACCAAGAAAGAGTTATCATAACATCAAGTGGAACAGGTTGCCAGCATATATTTTGTCATAAATGTTATGACACTTGTAATAACTAAACAAATTTCCATATAAACTGATGGCAAAGCACTTGCAGAAGCAGGGTTATAGCAAGTGGATGTAAGAACTGGGAAATGTATAATTGTTTTTTCTATTTCCTTATCTGTGTAAAAAACTAGTAAGGTAATCCTAAGAACAATGTAACCCCTCCCCTCTTCTCCTGGGCCCGGTTGCACCAACAGGGCGTAAATTNTAACACAAATATTTCTTTGCAAAATTTAAGGAAAATGGCCTAGAAGATCAGCTGATGAACTTGGCCTTATTAAGTAACCCACATGACATGATGGAGGCAGCCAGGTATTATGAGGACAAGCCAGGGTGCCAGGACAAGGCTGTCATGCTGTACCATAAGGTAAGTAGTAAACTGTGAATGAAATGGTGAAGGGAGATGGGATAGTGGAAGGTGGGGGGGAGGGGGGGGTGGAGAGTGAGTGATTGAGAGTGGGGGGTGTGAGTCTGGTGAGGCACAAAACAGTCTAAGCTCACTCTATCATTAATTTAAACTTTGCTACATAATAGAAATGCTTCAGTCCAATTAGTAAGACATCTATTTTCTTTGGTGGAAATATCAAAAATGATATTCACTTTTCACTGACAGATTAATTTAGAATTTATAAAGTTCTAATGGGAATGATATTTGAGTAGAATAGCATGGGTAATTTTTTGGCAATTTTTCTCATTTGTTGGTTATTTTGTTTTATAATTATAACCAACTTTACTATATTTTTTGCACATCATTCAACAACACAACTGACAGATTTCTTTTTACTTCAGTCTGGCAACTTCTCCAAAGCACTAGAGTTGGCCTTCACTACCAGGCAGTTTGGTGCTCTGCAGCTCATTGCTGGGGACCTGGATGAGAAGACAGACCCTGAACTGTTACAGCGCTGTGCTGATTTCTTCATGGAAAATGGACAGAATGATAGAGCTGTGGATTTACTGGCAATTGGAAAGAGGGTGAAGCCAATTTTATCTATCTCATTTTATTGTTTTTTTTTTACTTATGTGACTCTCACATGCTTTCATTTCTTTAGAAGTTCTGGTATTTTTTTTTTTTTTTGCATAATGTAAAGAAAAAAATCTGATACAGCCTCTTTTCTTTACATATCTGTTACTTATGTAAGTGAATGGTAAATAATCAGACGAATAATATTGTAGCTCTGGAAAATCATTCATTCAATTTTAACCCTGTTTAACCTTTATAACTGTTGTAGTACTGGGAAGCATTAAAACTGTGTGCCCAGCATAATGTGCCCATGACGGAGGAACTGGGAGAGAAACTGACCCCACCCAAAGCCATGGCTGAAAATGAACAAGAGGAGAGAACCAAAGTACTGGAGGGAATTGCAGAGATCTGCCTGCAACAAAGACAGTATCACATAGCTACAAAGAAATACACACAGGCTGGGAATAAGATTAAGGTAAGAGCTATGAAACCTCTTTCCACAGTGACAATTAAAAGTAAACTTAGTAAATGTTAAGTGAGCATTTACTTTTGTAGTATTTAACAAAAAGCATAATTTTCTCTATTTTTTGAAAGTTTTTTTTTTAAACACAGAGTGAGCTCTTTATCTTATCCTTATTCAATTCACGGGATTGTTTGTATTTATCTATTCTGAAAACACTAATTATATCATCTTTTTACTTGGAATCAATATCTAAAGCCTGCTTCCCATAAGTTAATATTGTCCTTCCCTTGTTGTACAGGCCATGAAAGCACTCCTTAAATCTGGTGACACAGAAAGGATAGTGTTCTTTGCTGGAGTGTCCAGACAGAAGGAGATCTACGTGATGGCAGCCAACTATTTGCAGTCCCTAGACTGGAGGAAAGACCCAGAAATCATGAAGAATATCATCGGGTTCTACACCAAAGGCAGGGCACTAGATCTACTGGCAGGCTTTTATGATGCTTGTGCACAGGTAAAAACTGGTTGTATTGATATAGATATGATAAAATATTTACATGATTGCATTTTACTTTTATTTATAATACAGAAGAACTGTTTGTCATGAAAGTATAATAAATTAGTTTCACAGTATTCCTCTACAAAATTGGAAAGGAGTTGACTGCAGTGGAAAGGGTCATTTCCTAAACATCAATAACTTATTTTCCATTCTGTTATGAACTGAATTTTAGAAATGCATGTCAAAATGTGTGCAAAGACTGAGAGGTATGTTTTCTCCATAAGGTTGAAATTGATGAATACCAGAACTATGACAAAGCTCTGGGTGCCTTAAACGAAGCCTACAAGTGCATGGCCAAGGCAAAGATGAAGAACCAGTCTCTGCAAGAGGAAAAGCTGGCTGCTTTTAAACAGAGGATAAATCTCATTAAGAAATTTGTGCAAGCTAGAAGGTATGTGGATATTATTGTACAAATACTGTTTTTAAAATATTACACCCCATTTCCATAGATTTTTAGATCAATCTATCCCTGTGGGGAGTCTCACTAGATTACTGTCAGCTTGGCCGGCTTAAGCGTCTGTCCCACCTACTAAAAGCTGTAAGGGGGTAATTTACTATGGTGCCCGCTCGGCTGACTGCAATTTAGCTTGAACCCCCAGGGAGTTAGGTCAATCTAAAACTTAATCTTTAGATCGATCTAAATCTCTGGGAAAGCACCCTTACTCAACATTTATGGTATTTTAATACCATACTTAAAAGTATATTTTACTTATCTTTTTGTATTAAGTTCAACCATTTAAATAATTTTATATTAATATCACCTTTTAGAAAAATTCTTTTGGAAATATCACTTGTGCACAGGGTTCCTTCATGACCTATGCTTCATGAATGGAATAGGTGAAAGTGATACATGGGTGGATGATTTTAGAATATTTGATAAATAAAAGTATCACCAATTCCAGAGTGTATGATGAAGATCCAGATGAGGCAGTGAAGCAGTGTCAGGTATTGCTAGAGGACCCAGACCTGGACAGTGCTGTCAGAATGGGAGATGTCTATGGTTTTACTATTGAACACTATGCCAGGAAGGAGAAATGGAAAGCTGTAAGAATAGCCATAACATTGACATAGTAGTTTTAGCATTACCACTGGTGTTAATTTTTATTTAATTTTTTGAGCAAAATCATTTTCACTGAAACATTAGTTTGATAAATAAGTTTTTAATCTTTATTTACTGTTTAAAAACCATAAAGTTGTTCTCGTTAACAAAGACATTGTATTAATTTACAAGACCGCTTTATGTTGTAGAGCAAAGCCTTTCAAAATGTATTTTTGAGAAAAAAATATTAAATATTAACTGTTGATATGGGGAGGTTTGAAACAAATGATTTGGTGTCAATATAACAAAAGAAGTGTTACATCAGATAACTGGTTTTAAGATTATTTATACGATATGTGCATTTATTACTTATGACAAAGTCATAATTTGAATAATTTGTGATTTCATTTTTCTCCACAGGCATTTCCCCTTGTCATTTGCAATTTTTTTTTTATGAATTAAAGAGCTAAATAATAAGTGATATTTCTTATAAGATATAAATATTTACCACAGGCTTACTCAACTATGGAGGAGATGCGCAACAAGATTCCCACAGTCAATATGGCATACTATGTAAACATGAGGACAATAGAGGCCATCCATCAGGCACTGGACATTCCACTAGGACGTGGTATCGGAGCTGAGAGGACAAATGGAGTTCGTAGCGCATCACCAGAGGAGGATGGAGAAGAGTTTGTGGAGGAAGAGGTCGCTGATTTCACTGAGGATTAGTTGTCTTTATTATGAGATGAAGAGGACATGAAGTTTGTGGAAGAATAAATATCTGCCTTTACGAGGTTAAGAGTTTTTCATTATTGGAGTAGGATGATCAACTTTGTGGAAGAAGAGGCTGATTTTCTGCTGATGTGTTTATTTCTTAAAGTAATATTTATTGTAGTTTAATTTAACTGGAATTTAGCTGAAACCATCCACCCAGGTATGTAAATAAAAACAAATTGAATTTTCATGCCAGGACCATTTTGATAAAAGTTTTCAATCCATGTCCATAATGCACTTTGTGCACGTGATGTTCTTCTATACACCGTCCATAAATACGTCCTTTTTGAAAAGGGTGGCATTTCACCATTTTCAGTGGTATTCATGATAGCACATAAGTGGACTTTTATAAGAACAACAATTTGAATCCTGAAGTCTGTGACTTCTTGTTTAAAGCTTATCTCTCATTCTTTACCTCTAATGAACTGCAATGTGTATATTTTTAAAAACAATAATGATTTTAAGTTGAATGAGCCAGTTATTGATTGGCTGCTTTTTTCTACTATGAAAACAATATATTTTGTTAAATGGAAATCCTTGAAAGGTTCAAAATTTTCCACCACGAGTTAGAAGGGTGCAGGTGGACTTTTTTGGGATTATAAGAATTAAAGTACACTACAGTATAATGCTGAACAAAGGAAGGAACAAAAATTGAAATATATGAGGAGTGAAAGGAAAGCAAAAGTTGTAGCTGCAGACTAAGGCTTGTAGGTCTTGTTTTTATGAAAACATTTATAGATGTTTAAATTATCCTGATCTCATGTCAGTCATATTGTATACACATTTTATGTGGATTTTCAACACAAGTGCTCTTCATTATTAAATGTTTTATGTCCTTTTAAATGTACTTTAAAATCAGTTATATGGCAATCCATTTTCTTGATTTTTTTCCTTGAAATTGGAGATAATGTTTGATCAAGTTTCTGATAATTTGTTTAGAAGTAGTAGTTCATTTGTGAAATATGTCACAACTACTCATGAATAGCCGTAAGGATGAAATGAAGAATCAATATTACTACCATTTATATAAATCTACAAATTCTACAAATACTATTCAAGACGTGTGTAAATATAAAATTGTAAATTTTGTTGTAAATACAAATGTTTACAAGTGTGGTGAAATAAAATCTTAATTTTTAGACAGCCTTTTTCATGATGTGCACATGGAATAAAAACAGCTTTAGAGATTAAAGAATCATTCCTCTTCTTAGAAGTCTCAAATGCTATTATTAAATTAGGGCTTATATGATATATCCTAGAATATTATTTGATGAGACCCACATATCCAATGAATATATATAATGCTTAGATTTATATATGTACATTTTATTACATATTTTCCTGTGCACTGGTTATCTACATGACACAATAAAATCAAATGTTTACAAAGCCCAAATCATCTTCAAACAATGATAAGTCTTCATCTGGACGCCAAGTAAGATTTATGAGATATTTTTAGTCTTGTGGATCTTATCCAATAAAATTATACCGGGACATCCTTACCCCTAAATGATCATAAAAAGACACAAATAAAATCAATTCTGAAGTTCATTTCTGCAGCTATTTTTGAAGAACACAGTTTGGATTTCGCCTATTGTAGGAAACTGAGATCAGTCAAACTTGGGCAGTATGCACACATCATTAATCTACAAAATATTAATTCTGAAATATGTGAAGTATATATTTCTATAAAAATGTTATGGAGAATTTTAAAATAAAATTCCTGTAGATTTGCTGGAGAATCTTCTGCACTGTCCAACCTTATCATAGAACCTTGTATCTGCCTCTGTTGATTGGTTGATAAGAATTTTGCTGAAAAAATAAGAAGAATACACTGATAATATAACTGATATGAGCAATTGTTTACAACATCCTATTTGGCTTAATTTTAAAATTTTGTTCTAAATTGACATAATGTTCTTGAAGTATCACGTATTTAAATTTCTCATACATCTTACAATATTTTTGGAGATTGAAAATGATAAATAAACCAGCTGCAACAACATGTGAGAATTTCAATAATCTTTGTCTCCATTAAATAACACAATACGGGGGGCTAGGGTGCAGATAGAGCCATTTTCAATTTATCTTTTACACTACTCAGATTGCCAAAATAATAATAATAATAATAATAATAATAATAATAATAATAATAATAATAATAATATAAAACTATGAATATTTCTGTGCTCTATTACACATTAATAAAATGATTGTGTGAGATCCCTTTAAGAGCAAAAACAGGTACAGGTAACTCTCATGTTCTTGTTTCTAAAGGGATCAAACAACCATTATAAGAATAAGATGTTGACCACTGGGACAAAATGTCCATTCACTCACCAGTCTAACCAGCTCCTCCTTGATCAGCCTGGTGATCTCTGTCTTAGCCTTCTGTATGGACAGCTCACTGGTGGCCTCTATAGCCAGGTATAGCTTGCGCTCCTCTTCCTTAGGTAGTTTACCTGGAGGGAAGTATGTCCCACGCACTGTGATACCTGCCTCTGAGTACTCACAGATCTGAGCCAGGGCTTCCTAATATCAACAAGACCAAGAAAGAGTTATCATAACATCAAGTGGAACAGGTTGCCAGCATATATTTTGTCATAAATGTTATGACACTTGTAATAACTAAACAAATTTCCATATAAACTGATGGCAAAGCACTTGCAGAAGCAGGGTTATAGCAAGTGAATGTAAGAACTGGGAAATGTATAATTGTTTTTCCTATTTCTATTTTCTTAACTTGGAATATCTGCGTAAAGAACTAGTAGGGGAATCCTAAGAACAATGTAACCCCTCCCCTCTTCTCTTGGGTTCTTATATTATAATTTCCTTTTACCTTAGAGGTGACTTTCCACCTGGCAGTCTGTGGGAAGTCATTGATCTCCAGCTCCAGTTCATATCTCTTAAATGTTTCTCCCTGCTGCTCCTGTCCCTCTTTCTCTTCCTCTGCAGGAGGACGGTACCCTATCTTAGCATTGATCTTCTCTGCCATCTGCTCTGCTATAGTCTTGGCCTGAATAAAGATAAAACTACTGTATATATTCTACTACAATGTATTTTTAGTACCTCAAAGTGCTGAAGGTAATATTACTAAATCTAACTTTACAACATGATGGTCTAAGTGACACCCAAATTCATTCAAATTTGTGTAGAATAAAATTTTATAACCTTTAAAACATTTGTTAAATTTCTTCATTATTTTTCTAAAATAAGACACATAGGAAAAATCATTTATAAATAAATATGCCTAAAATTAAATAAATTTCACAATAATTCTTCTTACAGAGACTTGAGGTGCCTGAGATGGTAGTCCCTGTAAGATGGATGCAGCAGCCTGCTGTGTAATATCTTGTGCCTCCGCTCCCAGGTTTTTCTGCCTGTTGATCATGGAGGCCAGTCTCTTGGCCAGCTCCAGTTTCTGTTGGTTGGACGCAGTGGGCTGGGCCTGCTGGTTAATCATGGGCTGGTGGACATCGGTCACTCGGGTCTTACTGGCAAACATGTCTTCAATCTGCTGGTCAATCTGAAGACAGAAACAGAATGGGGTTTGTAGAATGTGGGTAAATGTGCTTGAATTCATGAACAGGAATTACTTTATAGTTATAAAAAGTCTTGAAAAAAATTTAAACATCTGCATTTTGTTATGAATGGGGTTCGGTACCTGACAACATACTCTGTCCAAAAAGAATAAATAACCAATGACTTTTACAACTTAAAGAAACAAAATGGAACATTTTTTTTTTTTTTGCTTTCTTCAGCCATGCTATATCATTTCAGTTATTGGTGCAAATTTTCAAAACCCAAAAAACTTACATCAATACCAGCATCTTCTTCATCTGAGTCTTGCAATCCTAGAGCAGCTTTCTGTAACTTCTTTCTCTCGTCCGCCAGGTGGGCCTCCGTCTCGTCAAACTTGAAACCTTTCCCCCTGAAGCCACTGCTGCTCTTGATCTTTTTGCCTTCCTGATATATGACAAAAATATTACTTTTGAAAGAAAATGTTGAGTAAAGAAAGGTTATTTGGAAATTGAACACAATGGGTCTGTTAAGTGTGATCTAAATATTCAAACAACTTATTTCAGGTTAGTACATAAAATTTCCAAAAAGAGACACTAAAAATAATTAAGAGATGAATATAATTCCCTATTTCTGAAAAAATGCAGGGCTGTTATTAAAACATATGTGTCAATAGTAGAGAAAGTATTCCACACCTCATCCAAGATGTTCAACTCATTAATAACATTTCTATTTTACAACATAAAGAGGTTTTAAAAAATCTTACGTCATTTGCCTCATTGGAAAAAAACCTTAACATCTTTACAATGAGATTGTCCTAGAAATAACATCAATACACAGATACCTCAATTTTGTGGGTAAATTTCTGACACTTACTGCTTCTGCTCTAGCCTTGTAATCGTCCCATAACTTCTGCAGGTCTGCAGGCACCACAGCTCCAGACTGTTCCAGTGCCTTGATGATGTCATTGGCATACCTCTCCTGTTCAGGGGTGATAAAGGTATACGCAAAACCTTTGTTTCCTGCTCGGCCAGTTCGCCTGTGGTGGTAAAATAAAATGTATAGAAAATTTCAATGAGATATTTTAAAAGAAAGAGAAATATGTACATCAAATAATTTCATTAACAATTAATCAATATTTAAAAATATGAAACCAGATATTAAACAGTTGAATAGATTAATAGGGAAAGTTAACAATGTAAAAAAATAATAATTCATAACAAAAGCTAACAATTAAATATTCTGGTGGATAAATTCCATTTCTCTTTCCATGGCTTCGCAAGAAATTAAAATAAGTATTTTAAATATCTCATACTGTAAGCACTCACCCGCATCTATGTACATAGTCTTCATAATGATTGGGACAGTCATAATTAACCACTAATATAAGATGCTTCACATCCAAGCCACGAGCTGCCACTGAAGTTGCTACCTGTAAAAGATAGAAAAATTAAATGAGTCAATTCTAAGGATGAGTGCGAATAAGGGGGTAAAAGTGCCCACTTTTGTACATGAAAAATAAATTGTGAGTGAATGANTCTCTCCCTGCTGCTCCTGTCCCTCTTTCTCTTCCTCTGCAGGAGGACGGTATCCTATCTTAGCATTGATCTTCTCTGCCATCTGCTCTGCTATAGTCTTGGCCTGAATAAAGATAAAACTACTGTATATATTCTACTACAATGTATTTTTAGTACCTCAAAGTGCTGAAGGTAATATTACAAAATCTAACTTTACAACATGATGGTCTAAGTGACACCCAAATTGATTCAAATTTGTGTAGAATAAAATTTTATAACCTTTAAAACATTTGTTAAATTTCTTCATTATTTTTCTAAAATAAGACACATAGGAAAAATCAATTATAAATAAATATGCCTAAATATATCATTCAACAAAGTAATCAACACACGTGCACTGCTTCATTTGATAAAAGAGCAGCAAAATCATTTAATCCATCTTCATACTTCTAGTGTTAAAATAAAATAAATTTCACAACAATTCTTCTTACAGAGACTTGAGGTGCCTGAGATGGTAGTCCCTGTAAGATGGATGCAGCAGCCTGCTGTGTAATGTCCTGTGCCTCCGCTCCCAGGTTTTTCTGCCTGTTAATCATGGAGGCCAGTCTCTTGGCCAGCTCCAGTTTCTGTTGGTTGGAAGCTGTGGGCTGGGCCTGTTGGTTAATCATAGGCTGGTGGACATCGGTCACTCGGGTCTTACTGGCAAACATGTCCTCAATCTGCTGATCAATCTGAAGACAGAAACAGAATGGTGTAGAATGTGGGTTAAAGTGTCTGAATTCATGAACAGGAATGGTAGAATATCATTATAGTTATAGAAAGTCATGAATAAAATTTAAACATCCGCATTATGTTATGAATGGGGTTCGGTACCTGACAATATACTCTAAAGAGAATAACCAATGACTTGGAGAACTTAAACAAAATGAACATTTTTCTTTTGTTTTCTTCAGCTTTGTTATACCAGTTCAGTTATTGGTGCAAATTTTCACAACCCAGAAAACTTACATCAATTCCAGCATCTTCTTCATCCGAGTCTTGCAATCCCAGTGCAGCTTTTTGTAACTTCTTTCTCTCATCAGCCAGGTGGGCCTCCGTCTCATCAAATTTGAAACCTTTCCCCCTGAAGCCACTGCTGCTCTTGATCTTTTTCCCTTCCTGATATATGACAAAAACATTACTTTTGAAAGAAAAATTTTGAGTAAAGAAAGTTTATTTGGAAATTGAACACAATGGGTCTGTTAAGTGTGATCTAAATATTCAAACAACTTATTTCAGGTTACATACAAGTTCAAAAAAGAGACACTAAAAATAATTAAGAGATGAATATAATTCCCTATTTCTGAATAAGAAAATTGCAGGGCTGTTATTAAAATATATGTGTCAATAGTGTACAGTATTCCACATCTCATCCAAGATGTTTAACTCATTGATAACATTTCTATTTCACGACATACAAAGGTGATAAAAAAATTTTAGATCATTTGCTTCATTGGAAAAAAAACTTTAACATCTTTACTATGAGATTGTCCTAGAAATAACATCAATACACAGATACCTCAATTTTGTGGGTAAATTTCTGACACTTACTGCTTCTGCTCTAGCCTTGTAGTCATCCCATAACTTCTGCAGGTCTGGAGGCACCACAGCTCCAGACTGTTCCAGTGCCTTGATGATGTCATTGGCATACCTCTCCTGTTCAGGGGTGATAAAGGTATATGCAAAACCTTTGTTCCCTGCTCGACCAGTTCGCCTGTAGTGGTGAAATAAAATTCATGGTTAATTTCAATCAGATATTTAAAAAAAAGAGAAATCAAATCATTTCATCATTAATTAATAAATGTTTAAAAAGATGAAACCAGTTATGAAACAATAAAAAAGGATAACAGGGAAAGATGACATAGTAAAAAAAGAATTATGACAAAAGCTAACAATATTATTTTTTTTAATGTCTACTCACAGATACATCCTATCTTATATTTATTCTCAGCCTGGTGGATGAATTACATTTCTCTTTCCATGAAATAAAATCTTGTAAGTACTCACCCACATCTATGTACATAGTCTTCATAATGATTGGGACAGTCATAATTCACCACTAATATAAGATGCTTCACATCCAAGCCACGAGCTGCCACTGAAGTTGCTACCTGAAATGGATAGAAAAATTAAAATGAGTCAATTCTAATTTCTTCAATTTCAGTGTTGGAATCAGTTGGGTAACAAAAAAATCACCTTGCGATTATACTCAAATAATTCTATAACTTGTGCATAACATAACATGGCATAACTTTCCAAGTCTTTTATGTTCCACGGTAATCTTTGTGAAATGAGCAGAAAACAATGGCACTAAAATTATCCTTTAGAGCTAGTTGTGTTCATACAAAGTAATACAATCAAAATAATACTTGCCAGCAATTTAACATTTCCCTGCTTGAAGTCGGTGATGGTGCTGTCCCTGTCATACTGGTCAATACCTCCATGGAGACTCATACAGGGATAGGAGTGCTTCATCAGGTTCTTCATTAGCTCATCAGCATGTTCCTGTTTGTCCACAAACACCAGGACACTGCCCTGTTCCTGATAGACCCCCAGCAGTTCTAGCAGTTTGAAGAACTTGCTGTCATCATCTATGACCACCTAGATATGAAACAAACTATCATAAGTATTTCAAGGCTTTAAAATCAAGCTGATTTGTCACTTAAATTTGTGAAATTTGTGAAAAATACACTATAATGTCAAATTAAACTGGTCAAACTAATGAGCAATGTTCATTATTTAAGGGAAAAATTTTGCCATAAAACATTGTTCCTACTCACAACATGCTGTTCTACATCCTTGCACACAACACTTCTTCCTCCAACCTGGACTTCAATAGGCTTGGTAAGGATCTTCCTGGCAAGGGCCTCCATCTGGCGAGGAAATGTGGCTGAAAACATCACAGTTTGGCGATCTGGTCTAATGTTGTCCACTATTCGCATCACCTTATCAGAGAAATGGAAAAACAATGGTGAAATGTGATATGGATACAAGTAAGTTTCTCCATCTACTTACAGACTAAAGTCAAAAGCTAGCACATGTAACGAGAGCAATGTATCAAATTGTTAGTTCTGTTCTTCATTTAGATATCTTACCTGTGGTTCAAAGCCCATGTCAAACATTCTGTCTGCTTCATCCAGTACAACAAATGTGCAACGCCGGCAGTTGGTAACTCTGCCTGGAAAGAGCAATAAATTGATGTCTTCACCAGAATATAGACAGAATAAAATTCTATTAATCACACATTGTCCAGAAATAGGTTTTTCTGGTCTTCTAGTCATATTATCTATTCTCACCATTGTTAGCTGCCAGCATGTCAATCATTCTTCCTGGAGTGCATACAATGATCTCGGCACCTCTTTTCAGCTCTGCTATCTGCTCTGAGATACCTGTTCCTCCATATACACAAACTGCCTGCAGGCCAAGGTTTTTGGTGAATTTTTTACACTCTTTGGTAATCTGCATGGCTAGTTCTCTAGTTGGAGTCAAAATTATAGCTGAAAAAAAAATGACAAAAATGAAAATATTCATAAACTTATATCCAAGTCAAGAAATAACTTCAATATCAAGTGGCAATTCTTCAGGTCTCATTTGCTCAGACTAAATTACCTGTCATTTATTTTTTTTCTCATTAATTTCTTTTCATTAGAAACCTAAAAACATATTATCAAGAGGCACACACACAAAAAAAAAGGGACAGTCACTTTGATAAACAGAAAAAAAAGACCTAAAAACCATCCCATAGACTGTGCATTCTTTTTCAGTGTCCTACCTATGGATCCATCTCCTTCCTCCAAAGGTGGCTGATCCAGCACATGCCTCAACATGGGCAGAAGAAATGCCAGAGTTTTCCCACTGCCAGTCTTGGCAATCCCTATCACATCTCTTCCTGACATAATGGCAGGGATGGCTTGAGCCTGGATTGGGGTGGGCTTTTCATAGTCATACCTGCAGATTTGTAAAACATCTTGAAATATCAACCAATGGAACTGGTAAGTTTAAACTGTATTTCTATGGAGTGCAATAAAACTTACAGTTTTTTGTTAATTAATATAATGAGGAAGATGAGTGTGTTTGTCTGTAAGTACAGCGTGTGAGCATGCGTGCGTGTATGTGTGCATGTGTTAGAAAAACAAAATGCTGCGAAAGTAAATTGCATACCTCTTTAAACATTCCATGATCTTTTTGCTTACACCACACTGAGCCCAGTTCCTAATAGGTTTAGGGCAACCCTTGCCCCGGACTTTAATTCCCTCCAACTCATCTCTTAGCTGATCTACCTCTGACAGGAAAAGAATGTGAATTTTAAATTCAAGAACTGGCACTAACTGCAGTAAATAATACAAATACAAAAATGTACATAAACTAGTAAAATACACAAAAACATTCACGGTCAGGGAAAGACATCAGACATATGTGGAAAGCTACCTTTTGGATACACTGCAGGGGCGAATTGAGGCCGTCTTCTGGGTCTTCCAGAAGACCGTCAGATTTTCAAGTTTACATTGATGAGGGGCTAATTTTTTGTGTTGAGAGAGGGTCAAAATTGGAGGATGAATCAACAAAGATAATTTGGATGACAGACAGAAAATATCTCAGGATCCGCCCCTGCACTGATCACCCATCATGCCCTACCTTCCTGGCTCATTTTTGTCAGTTCTGGCACTTCAACATAAAAGTCTTTCTTGAAAGGTCCATAGTATATCTTGGAATGATCTATGGCCAAAAATTCCTTTAAAAGAGAAACAACAGAGATATATGATGTTATATGATATAAACAGTCATTTAAAAAGCTCATCTCAGCATCATATCAATTTAAAAATACTTCTATTTAAATTCTGCCTAATCCTTTCATACACATTTTGAAAGAGTGATGTATTGCCTTTTGCTGCATTTTGTTCAACATTTTGTACCAAAGGATCAGAGAGACAATACCACCTTTTGGATATGCACCACCAGCTGGATTAGGCACATGATAGACACTATAATAATACATATAAAATAACTAAAGAGATGTGGTACAGTTACACAGATAAACAATCTCACCTTTTTCTTTTTCTGCATTCCTGCAAACATTTCTTCCACACCCTCCTCTTCTTCCTCTGATGAGTACTAAAACAATAAATCATGTTCCATAACTAACTGCATCCAAACAAACAAATGAGCAAAAATTTTACACTTTTGCTAATTTAGAGTGAGTTCACAGTTCAATCATTGCCACTACTAAACCCAACCAAATCATATAGCATAACTTTAAAAAATACCAAAGGATACTGTCTCATACTTCCAAATAAATGATATTTGAACAGATATTTTCTGCTTCCTTTCTTTCTTTGCTTTATGTATTAACTTGGTCATTTTCTCCAACCGTGAATTGAATACTTTTGTTTTTGCATACCCAGCAGTTATGCTTTGTACATAACTGCCTCATTTGGCAGTCTTTCATGAACTGGAGGGATGGATAAATAGGTTAAGTTTATGACCAGAAATTTACAAAAGGTGCAGTTCAGAGCTATTTTCTGGCTGACCAAGTGTTAAATTTGGTTTTTCCTTTGGCATGTTGACTATATTTGTGTCATATAAGAAATTGGTAGAAGTGAATTTTATGTATCTCAGAGAATCTACACTCACTTCATATGTAACTTTAAACAATTACAATTTCAACAAACAGAATACATATATCAGGAAAACTTCAACACAACTTGAATACATATATTGGTTATGAATCATGTTTCACTGAAAAAAATCACCTCCATGGCATCTATGTTGCTTTCCATCAACTCTCCTTTCTTCTTGGCTGGGTCATCTTTGGACTTGGCCACTGCTGTCACAAAAGTCACTTTACTCACAGGTTCACTTACACTGGCCTACAAATACAACACATCATCAGAGTAGNATCCTTTCTTCAATTTCAGAGTTGGAATCAGTTGGATAACAAAAAAATCACCTTGTGATTATACTCAAATAATTCTATAACCAGTACATAACATACCATGGCATAACTTTTCAAGTCTTTTATGTTCCACGGTAATCTTTGTGAACAAAGCAGAAAATAATGGCACCAAAATTATCCTTTAGAGCAAGTTGTGTTCATACAAAGTAATACAATCAGAATAATACTTGCCAGCAATTTAACATTCCCCTGCTTAAAGTCAGTGATGGTGCTGTCTCTGTCATACTGGTCAATACCTCCATGGAGACTCATACAGGGATAGGAGTGCTTCATCAGGTTCTTCATTAGCTCATCAGCATGTTCCTGCTTGTCCACAAACACCAGGACACTGCCCTGTTCCTGATAGACCCCCAGCAGTTCTAGCAGTTTGAAGAACTTGCTGTCATCATCTATGACCACCTAGATATAAATCAGACTATCATGAGTATTTGAAGACTTTAAAATCAAGCTGATTCATTACTTAAATAAAATTTGTGAAAAATATTTTATAATGTCAAATTAAACCTGTCAAACTAATGAGCAATGTACATTATTTAAGGGAAAAAATTTTGCCATTAAACATTGTTCCTACTCACAACATGCTGTTCTACATCCTTGCACACAACACTTCTTCCTCCAACCTGAACTTCAATGGGCTTGGTAAGGATCTTCCTGGCAAGGGCCTCCATCTGGCGAGGAAACGTGGCTGAAAACATCACAGTTTGGCGATCTGGTCTAATGTTGTCCACTATGCGCATCACCTTATCAGAGAAATGGAAAAACAATGGTGAAACATAATATTGATACAAGTAAGCTTCCCCATCTACTTACAGACTAAAGTCAAAAACCAACACATGTAATGAGAGCAATGTATCAAATTGTTAGTTCTGTTCTTCATTTAGATATCTTACCTGTGGTTCAAAGCCCATATCAAACATTCTGTCTGCTTCATCCAGTACAACAAATGTGCAACGCCGGCAGTTGGTAACTCTGCCTGAAAAGAGCAATAAATTGATGTCTTCACTAGAATATAGACAGAATAAAATTCTATTAATCACACATTAATCCAGAAATAGTTTTTTCATGGTCCTTGTCATATCATCTATTCTCACCATTGTTAGCTGCCAGCATGTCAATCATTCTTCCTGGAGTGCATACAATGATCTCGGCACCTCTTTTCAGCTCTGCTATCTGCTCTGAGATACCTGTTCCTCCATATACACACACTGCCTGCAGGCCAAGGTTTTTGGTGAATTTTTTACACTCTTTGGTAATCTGCATGGCTAGTTCTCTAGTTGGAGTCAAAATTATAGCTGAAAAAAAAGATGACAAAAATGAAAATATTCATAAACTTACATCTGAGTCAAGAAATAACTTCAATCTAAAGTGACAATTCTTCAGGTCTCATTTGCTCAGACTAAATTACAGGTAATACCTGTTATTTATTTTTTCCTAATTTATAAAAAAATGTTTCATTAAGAACCTAAAAACATATTGTCAAAAGGCACACCAAAAAAAGGAGTCACTTTGATAAACAGAAAAAAAGGACCTAAAAACCATCACACAGACTGTTCATCCTTTTCCAGTGTCTTACCTATAGATCCATCTCCTTCCTCCAAAGGTGGCTGATCCAGCACATGCCTCAACATGGGCAGTAGAAAGGCCAGAGTTTTCCCACTACCAGTCTTGGCGATCCCTATCACATCTCTTCCTGACATAATGGCAGGGATGGCTTGAGCCTGGATTGGGGTGGGCTTTTCATAGTCATACCTGCAGATTTGTAAAACATCTTGAAATATCAACCAATGGAACTGGTAAGAATAAACTGTATTTCTATGGAGTGCAAGAAAACTGATACTTTTTGTATTTAGTATAATGAGGAAGATGAGTGTGTTTGTCTGTAAGTACAGTGTGCATGCGTGCAAGAAAGTGTGCGTGTGTTAGAAAAACAAAACACTGCGTAAGTAAATTGCATACCTCTTTAAACATTCCATGATCTTTTTGCTCACACCACACTGAGCCCAGTTCCTAATAGGTTTAGGACAACCTTTGCCCCTGACTTTAATTCCCTCTAACTCATCTCTTAGCTGATCTACCTCTGAAAGGAAAAGAATGTGAATATAAAATTCAAGAACTGGTACTAACTGCAGTAAATAATACAAATACAAAAATGTACATTAACTAGTAAAATACACAAAAACAGTCACAGTCAGGGAAAGACATCAGACAAACATGGAAAGCTACCTTTAAGAGACCATTCCCACAGATATCTAGATCCAACTATCCCCCTGGGGAGTCTCACTAGATTGCTGTCTGCTTACCAGCTTAAATGTCTGTCCTGCCTACTAAAAGCTGTAAGGGGGAAATTAACTTTCGTGCGCGCTCGGCTGCCGGAAGCTGACAGCAATTTAGCATGAAACCCCAGGGGGAAATTAACTTTCTTGCGCGCTCGGCTGCTGGAAGCTGACAGCAATTTAGCATGAAACCCCAGATGGATCGATCTAAATCTGTGGGAACCCAGTCTAAGATATAGTGATCACCCATCATGCCCTACCTTCCTGGCTCATTTTTGTCAGTTCTGGCACTTCAACATAAAAGTCTTTCTTGAAAGGTCCATAGTATATTTTGGAATGATCTATGGCCAAAAATTCCTTTAAAAGATAAACAACAGAGATATATGATATTATATGATATAAACAGTCATGTAAAAAGCTCATCTCAGTATCATATCAATTTGAAAATATCTCCATTTTAATTTTGCTTAATTCTTTCATACACATTTTGAAAGAGTGATGTATTGCCCATTGCTGCATTTTGTTCAACATTTTACACTAAGGATCAGCTGGATTAGGCACATAATAGAAACTGTAATAATACATATAAAATAACTAAAGAGGTGTGGTACAGTTACACAGATAAACAATCTCACCTTTTTCTTTTTCTGCATTCCTGCAAACATTTCTTCCACACCCTCCTCTTCCTCCTCTGATGAGTACTAAAACAATGAATCATGTTCCATAACTAACTGCATCCAAACAAACAAATGAGCAAATATTTAACACTTTTGCTAATGTAGAGGCAGTTGACAGTTCAATCATTGCCACTACTAAACCCAACCAAATGCATATAGCATAACTTAAAAAATACCAAAGGCTACTGTCTTATACTTCCAAATAAATGATATTTGAACAGATATATTCTGCTTCCTTTCTTTCTTTGCTTTATGTATTAACTTGGTCATTTTCTCCAACCCTGAATTGAATACTTTTGTTTTTGCATACCCAGCAGTTATGCTATGTACACAACTGCCTCATTTGGCAGACTTTCATGAACTGGAGGGATGGATAAATAGGTTATGACCAGAAAATTGAAAACGTGCATTTCTGACTGACAAAGCGATAAATTTGGTTTTTCCTTTGGCATGTTGACTTTATTCGCGTCATATAAGAAACTAATAGAAGTGAATTATATGCATTTCAGGGAATCTACACTCACTTCATATGTAACTTTTAACAATTTCAATAAACAGAATAAATATATCAGGAAAACTTCAACACAACTTGAATACATATATTGGTTATGAATCATGTTTCACTGAAAAAAATCACCTCCATGGCATCTATGTTGCTTTCCATCAACTCTCCTTTCTTCTTGGCTGGGTCATCTTTGGACTTGGCCACTGCTGTCACAAAAGTCACTTTACTCACAGGTTCACTTACACTGGCCTACAAATACAACACATCATCAGAGTTGCATCTAATATGTATATGATGCACAAACAAATTCAGAAGAAAATGAATGAAAATTAAATAAATAAAATTTGTATTTTATAGCAAAGACTCAATGCACTAGGTAATGTACCAAGTAACCTTTGTATTATGATTCCTTGATCACACATCTTTGTGATCTATTTATTTTTCATCAATTTTTCTGTATCAATTATTCAAAATTTCCCATCAGTTTAAAATGCTGAAATGCTCTTCCAAAATGTGACCTAAACTGAAGTACTAAAGATATCATAAAGCAAATCAGAACATTTACCCCTTTAGTTCCTGCTTGATTGCCAGCTCCTGTCAGGTTTGATTTCACATGTTTGACTTCATCATTTACTTGCTGAAAACATGAATAAATATACTAAATGGAAAAGCAGTTCATTTTCACATATTGACAACAAAATCAATAGTGATTTGACTCATTATAAATTGTTGCAATTGTTTGTAACTAGACTATGTGAATGAGGAGGGGCAGTTCAAAGACAAAACTAAGAATGTTGTACATATAAATTAAATCAACTGCAAGTTTTAATGGAATGTCTTCAAAAACACACTTATGAAGGAGTTGCAGGGAGTATGGTAGCTATAATATTTTTCACATGTTCATTCTATATCTATTATTTGTCACAGTCTAGCAACTGTCAGAAAAGAATATAATTTATACAATGTATCACCATAATAAGTATTTAAGAAGAGCCAAAGAATATATATTTTATCACACTTCTGACTTCCATTATAAAAAAGTAAATCACTATTGTTCTAAATGTTTTTTTTTACTCTTAGAGCTGTATCTTTAAATTGTCTAATAATAATAATAATCTTTTGTCACATTTGTACTTCTAGAAATTGAAAATACATCCTGATACATCGATCTTCAAGTAAGAACTTTAAATTTACCTGCATGTAAGCATCAAGAGGGTCTATTTCATCCTCATCATCAGCACCATTTTCTTGCTTAACTTCCTCTTCTTCATCATCTGCATCATCCTCCAAGCTCCAGGTTTTGCTAGGAGGGGCAATATTTATTTGTGGCAACACAATGGTTTTCTTTCTATCCTCTCGCCATTTTTCTATCCTCTCTCTTCGTTTTTGCATTTCGTCTTCCAATCTTTTTTGCTCAGCTTCCTAAAAAAATATTACAGACTGACTGACTACAAACAGCGAGTTATATAAAAAAAACTGTTGAAGTAATTTATAAAATTGAGTATTAAAAGATACTGTAACAGTAAGTAGACAAAGGCACAGACATTTCACTGTGGCACAGTGTTATTTGATCATGTTTTTAAAAAATTCTGTAGATCATTCTATACCTTATCCATGGGCTCATCTTTCACTTTTATGGCTCCTTCAATAACTTTCTCTGGAGTTTTGCTACGAGACTTTTTATTCCTTTCCCTGCTTGTCGATCTCCTGAAATATTGGATATCTTTACAATTTTCCCCTTTTTCTTTTAACGCTAAACAGTCGAAGCAAGATACCTTCTTATCAATATCTTCTCAAAGAGGTAAAATATACATCAAGCGCAACCCAAAAAAGCACCAGAAAGATACCCATAATTGTCATGAAAATTTACATTCAGTGATCCTACCTGTTTTTGGTAAGCAAACTTGGTTCTGGTGGTCTAAAATGAATTAAGAGTGTGTTTTTTTCCAGCATAAAAAGTTTAACTGCATATATTTAGGATATGAAAAAGTTACATTTTTAAACAGCACTGAATCTACTTTTTATTTTTCAAGTTGCATACTTAAGGAAAAAATGAGTAGGTTAACTTTTTAAAAACTGGTATTTAAACAGTGACTGTAATTTGAAGAAAGACTTACTTTCTGTCTCTGTCTTTGTCTTTTTCTCTGTCTCTGTTTTTATCTCTATCCCGATCACGATCTCTGTCTCTTTCTCGATCTCTTGACCTGGACCTTCTTGACCTCTGAGTTCTTTCTCTTGAGCGTGATCTTCTGGATCTGTCTCTGTCCCTGCTTCGCGAGCGCCTAACTCTCTCACGACTTCGAGATCTTCTTGTACGTGATTTAGGGGATCTTGATCTACTTTTTCTCTTTTTACTTCTGTCTGGAGACCGCGACGTACTGCGAGACCTAGACCTCTTTCTGTATGATCTGAAGTACATGTAGATCATGCAACAGGAAAGATTATAAAACACGTAGACTAAAATATTTAATCACCAAGTCGTTTTCACAATTACCGAAATTTAATCCCAAATACAGCAGCTTGTATACTTTTCAAAGTACACTGTTCCATCGACCAATAATTCAAACTAGTCTAGACAAAGCAATTCTTTTCCAATGTCATGAAGATGTAGTCAAATCTGAGAACACAGGTTTTTATTGTGGACAGGTTGAGGCATCTTAATATAAATTATGACAACTCACCTGCCTTCACGTGGCATCCTTAATGAATCTAAGTTACAGTCTAGATAGAAATGTTAAATACACCTAATTAAAGAGGCATAAACCAGTATTCTTAAATTATTTCATTTCCCCGGCACCGAATACGTTGTTGTGTGAATGCCAAAAATTGGTACGATATAGATAACGACATAGCATTTGAAAATAGTTTGATAATAAAAATGCCATAAAAATATTTCTTGACAAAACACCCTTATTTAAGCAAATAATATAGCTCGTCTGATATTTTGTTTAACTATGTTAAATATACTTTACATAGTTAATTATCGGGGAAATGCTCGTTTACTCAAGTACCCACCACCCGCAATATAGAGCACAACGTGGTTTTTCAGAAATAAGGTAACAAATATTATATATGTTGATGTAGTTAATCGTTGATTGTAAGATAGATGGGACAGAAAAGTTATATAGTAAATATAAAGTAAAACAGAATAAAGAAGGTACACCTTAGTAGAGCAGCTGATCACTGCTTGAAAACATTTACCCAACATAAATAGTACAAAGTGAAGCTTCAGACTCGCCGCTCGGGCCAAAAAAAAAAAAAAAAAAAACAACTAAATTTTAGGCTAAAATACAACGATCTGATCTACCATTTATGTTGTTAGCATATGTTTATTGCAAATTAAAAAATTTTGAAATTTTAGGGAAAAGGTCAACTATGAGTTTTAGAGGCCGAGGAGGAGGTGGCAGAGGTAAGTTAACCATATATTTGATCATTCATACCATTATAGACATAACATAGTGAATTGCGGTCATGCACTTATTTATCAGAAATCTCGAAAATGCACAGGGTGAATAAAAGCATATTTTAGCTATATCGTCAGAATAACCAAATAAAATTGTTTTAAGTGTTCATATTTTTAATTGTAATTTCTGTTTACATTTTACAAATTTTCACAAGCCAATTGTAGTGAGCTATCTTTTCAAACATCATGACACATATTCTATTTTTCTAGGTGGATTCAGAGGGGGAAGAGGTGGTGGTAGCAGAGGAGGTGGTAGAGGTGGTTATCAACAAGACTATGGACCACCAGAACATGTTGTAGGTAGGTTAAGTGAAACTGTCAAAATTTCAGGTTCCCAAAATCTTCCTCAAAGCCAGTTATTCATCGGCTAAATAATCTGGATGCTGTTGATCTAAGTGTTTTTTAAAACCTTGTTAAGTTTGTTTTATATACAAGACATAAATGCTTGCATTTTCTAGGGAATACTTTTAAAAAGGGTATTTACAGAGAAATAATTTCAACAACCTATAATATTTCTACAAATTTATTTCAGAACTTGGCCAGTATATGCAGCCATGTGAAGATGATATAGTTTGCAAGTGTACCAATGAAAAAATTCCATATTTCAATGCACCAGTATATTTAGAAAATAAACAGCAAATCGGAAAAGTGGATGAAATATTTGGACCAATCCGTGACTTTGTATCCTTTTTTGCTATAAAATCTAAGTTTATGTAACTGTCATTATTGGCTTTTGCATGCATTTACTGAAATATTTTGCTTATTATGTGAAATTGACAATTTGTTATTCCTTGACAGAAATTTCAGTTTTTCTCCGTGAAACTGTCTGATGACATGAAGGCAAAGTCATTTAACACAGATCAGAAAGTGAGCTTTTTTGTTGATGCATATGTAGTGATTATTATATACATAGTGAACTTAATAACAAAAATGTTCTTTTCTTTCATGTATATAGAAAATTGAATATTGTGTCTGCTTAATAGTGTTCAGTTTGAAGATATTATGTTTGTTATTTTCAGTTTTACATAGACCCATACAAATTACTCCCACTAGAAAGGTTCCTACCCCAACCTAAAGGTGCTGGAGGAAGAGGCAGGGGTAGAGGTGGGAGAGGAGGAGGAAGAGGGGGTGGAAGAGGAGGCAAGTATTGTTTGCAACAATTATGTTTAAAAGAAATGCTTACAATAACAGAACTGCCATCAGGAGAATAAACATGTAAATGCTTCAAAGCAGAGAAGACTGCCAGTTTACCATTGTTGGAATAGATGTCAGAATGCTTAATTATATCTTGTGGCATTTATTTTAGGTGGCAGAGGAGGGAGAGGTGGCTTTGATCGAGGTGGGCGAGGAGGTGGATTTCGTGGAGGCAGGGGAGGAGCACGAGGAGGATTTGGTAGAGGAGGAGGAGGGGGTGGATTTAGAGGAAGGGGAGGAGGTGGATTCAGAGGAAGGGGTGGATATTGAAAGGACAAGGTGCCCCATTTTAAAGATGTGGACCTTTTTTAGGTATCAACAGCAAGAGATACATTTCCATACTGCCATGGATAATCCTCTCGACTTATTTTATGAAATGACAACAAACCTCTGAAGTAGTTGATGAAGTACACCATTCTGTGCAGATAGTGGTGTGCAAATGGAAGTGTAAGATATGAAAGTGATACAAATGGTCTTACTTTAGGAAACAATTGCTGCTGTTAGATGGAAAGAGTGAATATGCAAGGAATAGAGAAAAATAATGAAGGGAATCATAGAGAATAACCTGTGGTCTCTTTAACATTGCTCCTCAGTTTTAATAATAGTAATGTTGTAATATCAGATTTCCAGCAATAGATGGAAGAATCTTGTATTTTTGTATGAAATATCATTTTACTGTAACTTGTACAAATGAAAGTAAAAAGTATCAATGAATTTTTTTTGTCTTTTTTGGAATGGCATAACCCTCCCCACCCCACCCAACTTCCTTAATACTCTTGCCTCAAAACAATCCAGTAACGTGTATATTTTTTCCTGAAAATTTGTGAAGTTACACATGAAGTATACTTATAAACAATAGTTTAAAATGGTATAAATGTTTATTTTTCTTCATAAAATATTACCTTATAGAACTGTTTATGGACTACAGATCTGATATCATTAAGCATTGTAATAACAATGTATTAATGTACATATTCTGGAAACAGTTTATCATTTAAAAAACATGTTACTTGAATTAACTAAGTCTCAAATTGATTATCTCAAAAGAAAAAAGTTGCCATCGTCTTTCTATTGAAAGTATAACAGACCTATGCTGATTCTTTAACTATGGATTTGTCTCTCAAAATAAATGTGGGATAAACATGGCACTGTTAAACTCAATACATAAATGGTTAAGATTATTTTTTTAGTGTTTTTGTAATCGCATTAGTCATTCAATCAAATAAGCAGAATGGTAAAAAAAAAACGACTAGGAAATGTATCCTTCCTTGCAACAAATAAAACTGGTAACCCTAATTACATATACTCTTAACATTAGACTTCATAAATTTTGACTCTAAATAAGACTAAATATCAGGACTATTGGTAGATGAAAACAACATAAAACCAATAAGAGACTACAAAATTCTTATATAAAATAGCTCATTTATTAACTGATATTTCAAAAGCAAGTCCTAAATTGTCCAGTTTATTTACATGTGAAAAAATTGTATCAAAATTCTCTCTTATCTTAATGTTTCAATTTGATCTCATATGGCTCTCTCTCTATATGTGGTAGCTTTCAAAATATTGTGGAAATGGGAAGCAATATTAGTACAATGATAGTCAAACATCTTCAAACCAGCACCCTTCAGTAATGCACATAACATTTAAATGATATTCAAAATATCTAACTACACAAGTATGATCTAGTACGTAAAGTCCATTATATATGAATGTTCTTTGTTTTAACTTCAGATATACAACACTGAAATAGAATAATTTTCAATCAAAATTTATAGACCAGTTGTGATGGTCTTTAAATATTTTATCATAGGAAGACAATTATGTAATGGTCAACACTGAAAAAATTGCTAATTTATAGCAGTGCCTAAATATATGTTTGAAAAATATAATCCAATTTCTCAATTGTTATATATGAGTTTAATAATGAGTTTACAAATCTAAACTTTTACACATTTTAAAAATACGTTAGCAAATGCAATAGAATTAATATCTCCTGAGTGTACAAATGTTTGGTGTTACAAATACTGGCTGGCTAACTACTGCAACTCATACTTCATCTGGTATTCTTGCAGTTGTGTCTGCAACTGCACCACTCTTTCCACAGTGTCTGCTCTTGCCACTCGTTCCAAGTCAATTTGAGCTTGCATATCTTGTATACGGAGGTCATGTTTGGATTTCATGTCTAGCAATTGTGCCTTAAGAGCTTGTATTTGTTCTTCATAGTCTGTTCGCTGTTTCACCAATTCATCTTTTAATGCCTTGACTTGAATCTGTAGTACCTCCTGTGAGGGTGTCACTTTCTCTGACATGAGACTGGCATGTCCGCGTGAAGTCCTGGGCTTTGGTTGAGGTGGTAATGTTGGCTTTTCATTTACCTCTGCCCCATTTTGATTATTCAACTTTGCACTATCATTTCCTTTGTCTCTTCTATTATCTAGACATAGTATAGCTTCATCATCAACATAAAATGTGGAGGACTGGTGATGCTTAGAAGACTGGTTGACCTCTTTGACTGGAGAAGGTGCTTGAACATCGCCTCCATCCTCATCAACGTCCAATTCTTCAGATGCCTCCCAACTCAGCACTTCATTGCTGTGACTGACTGGACGTTCACTGGACATGACTGCCAAAGGCTGCTGCTGTTCAGAATTACCAGAGAAATCAAGATCCAGCAAATCCATTGTGTGGGATGGTAAAGTGCTGATAGCCGATTGATGCTGACCAGTGGTCAACTGTTCGTTTATATTAAGCAGGTCCTCTGTTGGGACCAAGTCACCAGAGTCATTGTAGTCAAGGATGAAAATGTTATCAGCACGCTCAATCAAAATGTGAGCTATTTGTTGTGTTAAAGTAGCATTCCCCATAAACCCAAAAGCAGTTGTGTCTTCACTCCTGGCAATATTGGGTCCAAGAACAGTGGCAAGATTGCTGATCCCCATCTTGTTGACTTCTGAGTATCTGCTGACCTCTTGGAAGAAAGTACAGACATATTTGAGAAGATTGTAGTTAAATGGTGGAATTTCTTTCAGCAACTCTGCTGCTTTTTCTGTAGCCTCGTCTTCAAGTCCACACTGGAATTTAGAAGCTAAGCTAGCAAGCATCAGGAATTGGTCCCCTGGTATGAGTGGTTCTGGGAGCTCACGCAGGTACATCTTGAGCAACGAAGCAATGGAATGAACATCGACATTTTCTAGATCAAACTTGTCAGGTGCTTCACAAGTGTCAAACTTCTCCTTTAGTTCTTTCAAAACAGAAGATCTTCCTGGGAGTCTAAAAAGAAGGATAATTTTTACAAAAATTGATACTAATATCACAAAATGGTAGTAGATTCCAGATTCAAAGAAACATATCTAATTTACGACTAGTTCTGCACATTTTTGTTGACATGTTATGTGAAAAAGACAAGAGACATCCCATTAAATTTGGATATCAAACAGATCATTTTGCAGTGCCTGTGCATGTATGTTTGTGCTCATGCATGGATGGAAAAATACCTAAATATTCCCTCTGTATCCAACCCATGCTCCCTAAGAAAATCCACACATTTTCTCACTACATCAGGGACATGTCTGTTTGGAGGATGCTTCATGGTTTCTGGTAAACTCTGCCCAAATATACCTAAAACAAACAAGCACATGTCTGTTTTAATGTTTTAAACTACCACTATTTATCACAGTATGACTCAATCTTTTCAATGGGGAAAATTATCAATTTTGCAGATACATAATTTCTGAATTATTGAAAATATATTTCTGCGTAGCATCTGTGGTGCTTTTTCTGCATATAATAGAACTATAAGGTAGCCTGCTTTCAGTTTTGTTGTTACCACTCAATAGGAATGTTACCACTCATTTAGAATTTATGACTTGAAAAATACAGTATCTATAAAATTCACAATTGCTCCCACTGAAAAGATCGAGTTATTACTGTATATAACACTGTAAAAAATATAACAAGAGAAACATTAGCTTAATGTGTCAAATAGACATGAAATCAGCACAAACAGATTTATTTTCTATAATAGCAATGGACTTTTTCCATTTAAAATACAAATATTAACCCTTTACAATTGCATAACAATAAATATGAGATTGTATTTATAGCCTCAGATGGCAAACAAAAAACTACAATAACTATAATACACTTACCACCTCCCTTGTAGCCATATATTACTCTTCTTACTACACTAATCCAAGATTGTCTATCTTCATCACTATCTGCCCAGAGTGGATAGGTTTCATGTGTTGTTGTCATGCGTGTCTGACCTGGGCCTAGGAAACCAGATAATATATGTTATAAGAGAACTGTAATATTGACCTAGTGTTGGGATAAAGTCACTTGCTGGCAAGTTCTTTTTAAACTATATGAATAATTAAAAATATTCTTATGTACAGGGTGTTGTGGTACTGCATCCTTTTAAGAGAGCATTTCCAGAGATTTAGATCGATCTTACAAGATCGACCTAACTCCCTGGGAGTTCACGTTAAATTGCAGTCAGCCAACCGCGCACGGAAGTAAATTACCCCCTAACAGCTTGCAGTAGGCGGGACAGACCTTTAAGCCGGATTATCTGACAGTAATCTTGTGAGACTCCCCACGGGGATAGATCGATCTAAAATCTATGGGAATGCACCCTTAGTCTGCAAGTACAGATTGTGAGTTATCACATGTATGTCTGAGACATCATGACTGTCACAGATATAGGGAAACTGCCTGTCCAACAGTTTATGACTTCTCAAAATGCCAGAGGACCTGGAAGATTTTTGATATCACAGGTCCTCTAGACTGACAAGGTTCATGTGTGGGAGAACCTGCAGATTTTTCGTAGTGCAGGTCCTCCAGACCTTCAGTATCTGCAAATTTTATCCCATGTCTGAAGACTTTCTATATATAGTTAAAAAACTGAAAGTTTAAGTATTGACATCACCTGTCGTGTGCCCCTGTGGCAACTAGTCACCAAAGTATGAACAAGCACTGCAAACTTTCAATTTTATATTCAGGGTAAAAGTATAACATTTGATTGCTCAATATATATGAATACAATAAATCAAGTAAACTGACATGTTAAGTTATGCTGGTTATTATAAACAAAACTATATTTCCATGTAAGTATGTTGTTTCATCTAGAAAATGTTAGGTTTAACAAAATATGAAGACTCCAATGTTAAAATATTCATGCTTTCGATCCAGCAATTACATCTTCCACCACACAGTGGCTATATTGACTCTTTGTACCACAAATATTTCCATGGCTTTCACATATGGATTACAAAACTGATTTAAAATATTCAATCATTCAAGCTTTGACTTGAATGACAAGAATACTAAATATCTTACCAGGGATCACCTCCAAAAGATACTTCCCAGGATCATCAAAGTTGTAAGGAATTTCCTTGATTCTGTTTCCAGGAAGAAAGATCTGTCCCATGAGCTTACTCTGATCTTCCTTAGTGTAGTAATACAAGAAATGACCCCTGAGAACAAACCATCTCTTCTGCCAGTTTTTCACCAAACCACCTTGTTTCCTTAGCCAACCTGACTTGAGGATGTTCTGTGAGGAGTTGGGGCTGAGTGGGGGTACAGGGGGAGCAGGTGCCTGTCTGGAAGGCTTCAGCCCAGCAGAAGCTCTATCTCCAAGAGTTTTAAGAAATGAGCGCTGCCTCTGAGGAGTTGCTGCAGCTCCTGACATCTTACCTGGAATGGAAAAGTGCCATATGACTTAATTTTTTACAAGACATATTGCTGCTAAACTTTAAGAGATAGTAAATAGATAACTTAAGCTTTTTTCTTCTGACTTTTCCAACAAAGGCATTGGATTTACTGCATAAATATGACCTAATTTTACAAAGGCTGACACCTGATACACCATGCAGGTTATCTGAATTAATAATGCTGAAACCTGGATATCTAGTGATTATAAATATTTTATCTTGGTTACAAAATGGAATTATTATATGGATTGCTTTCACTATGTTTGAAAACATCAATTGAGCTCTAAAAACTATACTGAAACTGATCTTTTTTCTTAAGGGTATATATTTTATTATGCATATATGTGAAGTTTTGCTTCTATTATTTAATAGCAACTATGGCATATATGTAATATACATAAGTCCTAAATTTAAAAACAATTACAAATTCACTTTATTTTGACAAAAAATACCTCCGATCACTTTTTCAGAGAGTAATAATAGTAGTAGTAGTGGCAGTAGTACTTATTTATTTCAGAAGAGATATACAATTTTATAACACTAAATATGCTATCAGAGAAAAAAATCTTCTCCAAAATAAAAAAAGACACCCTAGACCACTGTAACAAACTGTAATAAACATTTAAAAGATGCAAAAAACTACAATAAACATTTAAAAATTGTAAAGTGTAATAATCATTTAGAAAATATTTAACTTAAAGACAGAAAATGGCAATTTCTAACTAATTCAAAGTCCATTATGGGAAGAGTCAGTACATTTAGCATATACATTGTGGCAGATCTCCTGTTCCCAAAAAGCTGATATAGATACAAATTTCATTTTTGGATAGGTACAATGGCACAGGATTATGATATCAGGCACTGTCTGAATCATTTGACTTAAAATGTAATATTTTGTATAATATTCACAGTCTCAGAACAACTATACAAAGGAAGCCATAAATGCAAATGTTACTTTATCAGCTTGTCGACTCTTAAGCAGTACTTATCACATTCACAGTCCAAGATCCAATACAATGACAATGTTAATTGTCAATGTGGTTAAACTTAAATGAATGAACATTAAATTTTTATTCTAATTCTACAGTCTAAACGAAACGCATACTAAGAGTTGGACATTCAATATCAATTTTGTTCTAAATATAAAATCATTGTCAGGATGCAATCAGACAAAACTAACCTGCTCAGTGGTGAATCTCCAATCAATTTTGTAAACAACATTTAATCACTGCAGTTCGATGTATTCAGTCATCTCTGTTGACTCACATCTTCCGTATTTCCTACACATGAATTGATGACGTCATCCGTGAAGGTCAAAAAGCCGGTCTATTTTTTAATATTTCTTAATAATATGAGCGTCAATAAGATATCTGATTGTTGCAAATAGCATATTTGTCCAAATAAAGCCATCTTCTTTAATGCGTATTCAATATATTTCCAATAAATATTTCTCCAACAGCACAAAAAGTGATGACGTAGACACACACTATGATAAATTTACCCAGAAATGGTTTTGCGAATTCCCAGTAAATATTTTAGGAGAGAAATGGTTATCACACAGATGCCTATATAACTTGCAGGTTATTCCAGAATATTAACAAAAAGGTAAGCTTAAGATTAAGATATAGCTAGGGCTCTTCTTTTAATATCTAATATATATCCAGGATGGGAATCGCAACACCGAGTGAAACTAGTTAAACGCGAAAGTAGTGGCAGCAGCGGCACCGTCGACAGGACTATCATCAGTATCACTATAGTAGTAACAGTATATGTAGATGATTATATTAGTTATAAGTGCAGGGGTTTACAAACACAGATAACCCAACAGTATCGTAGTGGAGACATTCTTGGCAATCGACCGAACTTGACAGACTGTCGGTGTCAAAGGCAAACTGACAGTGGTCGGATTGGCAAGAAGAAATTGTTGTGCCACTGTGCCAACTTTGACTGAAGACGATATTGTACTTTTTAAAAATTCTTAATACATATGAAAAAATCTTCATATGCGTCTTGTTTATTTTTAAAAATGACATCCCCTTTTCTGAAACGTTTTTTTTCTCCGTACATATCAACCGAGGTGGGACTTTTCAAAGTTGTGGACTTGGCTCTGTATCTTCATAGGGATCCACCAAGAGTAGATTAAAAATTTCTATTATACTTTCAAGAATATGTCAGTGATGAAGTAGTTAGATAAATTAATACCTAAGTCCTTTGTCATTTGATAGTTAAACATAAGTTGGTGGTGTTTAACAGGTATAACATCTCTCTCAGATTGCAGCTGAACAAATTTTGCCTCAATACTATGTACAGTTGGGATGACTGTCATTTTATTGTATTTTAAGCAGTAAGTTGATAATGAATTAAAATATTTATAAAATATTCATAAAAGGGCACAGATCAAATACTTTCCAGTAAACCGGTAGTGTATTCTTGGGGTGGTGATTGCTTGAACAGAGTATCTTGCCAGGTATTCTTTGTTCTTTTTTATCATCACCCAGTTTATCCAACCCCAATTTGATCAATACAAAATATAAAGTTACAAGCCCAACATGGTCAATATGAAAAATAAAATTTTAAAGTAATGACAATGGTTCTGTACATTTAGAATAACAACCTAAGAAAGTTTCACATTAAAAGTGAGGTATCAAATCTTTTTTATGGCAAGGTTTTTATTGATGGCTGCTTGTTTATATGAAAACAAAATATATTAATTTGCACTTGTAATGTGATTTTACTTTAAGGTTTGTACAGAGTACTTTGCACTTTTGTTATCACAATCAAGTACATGGAGAAGGGAACCTCTTGGCTTTACTTAACAATGATGTGCACTCAAGGATGCTGTTTCAAAGTTTTATAAAAAACATTTTACACTGAAGTGGATTGATAGTTGATCATTTATCATATCACACAAAGATAAATTAAAGATACTGTATATTTTACTGTTTCTTATGCTTATTAATGCTAATGTTGATTAAACTGAAATATTTTGTGAACAGTAAAATTCTGTGTATATTATCCTATTATAATACACTTAAGATATAGACCCAACCATTCATAGTCAATTGTTTCTCATGATCGGCATTCAAACATTGCAGCAACCTTTTATGTATTTTGCTTATTTATGCTTCAGTGAGATAGAGGAAGTGTAAACCATATGAATATTGCATCAGTAAATGCAGGTAGAAAAAGAAACTATTCAGCTGTTGAAGTTAGCTGAGAGTATCACTTGATAGGACCAGTTATTTGTGAAGGCTGGACTTGAAATTGCTGCATCATGATACACCTGTTTCGATACATAATTTTTTTCATTTGGCCTATTTTAGTGTTCATGACTTTTGAGTTGGTTTTTGTTGAATCAGTTAACCTTTATACCATATTTGCCATATGGTTGAAAGGCATTACATGAAAAATGGGTAATTTACTTCTTTATAAACATTCTAAAACATTGTGCACACTAAAGACTTTATAGGTAAAATAAAACAATATATCAATGAATCATAAAAATATTTCAATCCAATTATTGATATTGTTGTTGTTATTTTGGAGTATTGCAAAATTTTTATTATAAAAACTGTTACTTTTCATTTATCCGTCTTTGATGAGATACAGGTAGAAAACATTGACGTTTTATGTGGGCTGACCTGTTTCAGACACTGCTTTTAATCCCATTGTAAAACTGACATTGGAAAAGATAATTGAGCCAATTTCCCTCTACTTGCTTAAAATGTGAATGCAATGAAAAGATTAGCTGAGATTGTTTAAAGAAGTAAAGAAGTATGCACTGCATGAGCTATTATATTTCATACCCAAACTTGCAAAGCTTTTACCTTACCTGGCTATTCAGATTAAGTGTTTACATGATACAATATCTAATAATCTTCACTTTTCTCTTTTTGGGAAACTATTAATTTATTAAGCATGATCATGTTATTGTGCATAATTTGACCTTGTAAGCCATGACAATTTTTACACATTTATTATTAGCAACATAATGCATTGTATTAATGACTCTCACTTTTTTTTTCAGATAAACGCACCTAAATGGCAGCATTAGTCTCTGCAAGTTGTGAAAAGCAATACATCGTAGTGTTACAGTAGAAGAGCTAAGAATATTGACCAAGATTGCAATAAGAAATAAATATATATATACACATATATATATTCCATCACCATTGAATCACTGTATATAGCTGTGCTCTTTGACTTGATCCGAGCCATTAGAATGAGTGGCAAGAATCCCAATCAGTATACTACTGTTGAAGTAGGAGACTCTACTTTCACAATCTTGAAACGCTACCAGAATCTCAAGCCCATTGGCTCAGGTGCACAAGGGATTGTGTGGTAAGTTACCTAGGTTACAAGTGGTTACCTTAAGCATCTTTATGGTATAAGGCCATGTCAAATGAGTAGGCCTTAAATGCTTGAAAATATAAGGTGTATTTTTGTAGACCATGAAAATGACTTAACAAGTTCTTTGGATGTCTTGAACTTTAATATGCTGGTATATACACTTTAAAAATGCAGTGAAAATGCCATGTTTCTCTATACCTGAAGTAAAGTTCCTCTGTTTGTCTTTTTTAAAGTTACTTAAAATGAAGAATATTGATATAGTCTCTAAAAATGGTAATTCATTTTATTGGCATATTTAGAAGCTGTGAAATAGTGATATTATTTTGGGTGTAAAAAAATCAACATATTGAGTCTTGTTAGAGGAAATCTACAAGTCTAAAGTCGGCAAGAATTTCTTTACATTCTGACTCCCTATGGCATACATGTATATATATATATATAATTTTGACCTGAACAATCATAGATTTCCAAGAATAATCCATGTTGTAACTACTAGTTCGCCAGGATGAGCTCTCACAAAACCATTTCTTTATGGGATTAATATAGTTATTTTGACCTACTCCATTAGAATTTCTTTTAGAATGACCATCTCTAATATCTTTCTCATTTCAAGCTCCTTGTTATTGATCTTCTCTCCTGTTCACACCTACATTTTTGTCTGTGGATACAAAGTAAATTGTACAAAATTTCCTGGCATTTCCTGCCATGATAACAATTATATGTGCCTTAAATGTATCATTTTACATAGATATTTAGTTCTGCAAGGTATGCAGTGTGTTTTTTTTTTTTAATTCAAATTGAGAATTCCATAATTTGAATACAGTTGTATGCAACTTACTTCAGAGTTCAGCTGCTACAGTGTGTAGTGCAAGCCTGAAAACACATAAATATACACCATATATTACCTTTGCCACTGTCATATAATCTTTGACATGTAAAACATAATTAGGACTGGTGTCAGCAACTAGTCACCATATTACTGACGTAATTCAAAACAAGGATTACCATAAAATTTATGGGAGAAGTGATCATGAAATGTAGACCTTGAAACCCTGTATGTATAAAATTGATAATGATTAATTAACTGGTATATGGCATTACCTTTGAGATGGACATACAATTTTGTCAGAAATGTCAGACAAGGATGTTTTGGTATAAACTGCAGAAATTAAGATGGGAATGATAAATAAACTTTAATTGAACAAAATACTCCTAAGATTTAGCTATAACAAAGTATGCTTACATATTGCATTTAGTGCTGTGACCCAGTTTGTTCAGAAGCAAGCTCTATTTTCCAACAAATCCTTTTCTGATGTAGTATTATATGTAAATTGAATCATGAAAATTTTTGTTCCCTGTTTTCACACTGATCGTGTTTGTTCAGTGTTTTGCCTAGCAGTTTGTCTCTCCTTTCTGTTTGCGTGTTCTGATTGAGCAAGACCTTTCTTGACAGAGTTCTTTTCTTTTGTTCCTCAGACTGTCGTTTAATTTCTGAATCCATGTAGACATGCATCCAATTACTTTCAGTACTGTCTGTTCCCTGTATATCTGCCATTCCCTAATGTTAAACAGTCTTATCATGTATTGTGATTTTTCTTATCTTTATCAGTGCTGCCAATGATTCCGTCACAGGACAAAATGTGGCAATTAAGAAGTTGAGTAGACCCTTCCAGAATGTTACCCACGCCAAGAGAGCCTATAGAGAATTTGTTCTCATGAAGCTAGTGAATCACAAGAATGTAAGTATGGGTTTTTTAATTGTGTGTTGTTCAAAGTAGAAAATTGCTTGCTAGAGTTTGAAAAAAAAAAGAGTACAACTTTGGAGAAAAATTCCACACCTGCAATCCTTGATGGGATATCTATATCATGTGTTATGTAAGAAAGAATATATTACTAAGAATTTGAAGCCTCAATCATTTTCATAGAAAAGGACATGATCAGTTCATTACCTGAAATTTAAGGATCCTTGCAATTAGCACCGAATTATAGAACACTCTTATTCAAGTATGTTAAAATGACTGGTCTAGTTTGATGCAGTAATCTAGCTATTTTAACCACAGAAATTCACCTTATTGATGGGACCAGGGCCATATGTTAGCCTAACATTTGTTATTGCAAATTTTTGTCTGGAATGACATTTTTTTCATGCTTATAATCTCCCTGTCAATACAAAACTTCATTCATCTGTAGAAAGACAACACACTGACCTTTCCAAGTCAAGATTGGCCAATAGCATGTTGTTTGCTGCAGTGAAGCTTTTTCCCATCAGTAATGAAGTCTATTGATTAGAAGAAAGCAGCCAGGCTTGAATAGTGATAATAGCACTGTAAAAACTCTTTCGCACCCTTGAGGGGTCAGTTTTAAGATTAATTGCTTTCAAATATACGTAGCAATATCCAAAAAGAAGGATTCCCTGGTGTTGTTTTTTAATCATGACTTGAAATATTAGCTTATTAAGGACCCTATACATTTTATACCCTATTTAAAATACATTCTTTGTTGAACTGTCAAAAGGATTACCAAGCAGATACAGATGATGAGGATGTTAAACACTTAAATGTTTTATGCAAATAAGATACACGAACAACATTTCAATCTGTGTAAAAAATTATTCAGGGACAGAAAGTGCTATGATTAAATTACAACTAAAATTATTTTAAGTGATATAATTTATATGTGAAGCTGTTCCAGATGCCAGAAAAATAGACACTTTGATTAGATCTGTCATGGTGCTCTTAAATCTGTCATGATAATATGAACCTAGTGTGAACTTTTTGGGATGAAACTCATCAGAAAAGGCGACAGTCATGTATATGCTGTTCAACATCTTTTTTCCACAGTATAACACTCATTGCATGATTTTTTAATTAACTTTCTGTTCTCTCCCCTTCTCTTGGGATACTGTTCATATTGGATTATAGTAGTCAGCCAGCAAGTGACATTGATTTCTTGGAAAAAAAAAGTTAAATATAGATTGATTTCCTGTGCTATGATACCCAGTGTGGCATGTCTTTTGGTGAATTGTTAGCGTGATACTGTGTCAGTGTGAGACGACGGTTGTTTCCAGGTAATATCAACATGCTTAATGCTCATAGGAATGAGGTGTGTGTGTTTTCTCCAATATTCAAACACTGAATTTCACGTTAATTGAAGGATCGAGAAAAGTGGTCATTGATCAAGACACATCTTTCGCGATTGCATGTGCTGAATACATTTTATTTAAGCTAATGAACATCGCGTGCAGCCTAATTGGAGGGGCTGGTGAGAGTGATTGTTCTGGATTACCATAATTGGTTCACAACTTGTGTTTATGCTTAATTAAATGCACATTGCTTTTTCAGATCATTGGTCTCCTGAATGCATTTACACCACAAAAGACCCTAGAAGAATTCCAAGATGTGTAAGTGTGTCTAGTCCCAGTCATATTGAATGTTTTTTGTTTTGTTTTTTTAAATTTACTTTATGATAGTTTAGGCTAGGCTAGTTTGTGGAATTTTAATCAAATCCCAAATATAATTTACAGAAACCAGAATTTATTTTTATTTTTTTTTTTTTATTTTTTATTTATTTTTTTTTTTGAAATCATTGATTTGTCAATAAATTTGAAGTGTAGCTTAAACAAAATTCAGGCCAATGTCTCTCCAAAAAGGTGACAGTTTGCCCTTTGGAAAAAGAATGAGTCCTGTTATTTTTTTCAGCAACATTTTAAGCCAATCTTGTATAATCATAAAAGCTTTTTTAAATCCAGGCTCTCAGTGAAAAAAAGACAAGGGGTGTTATTTCAGTTTTTTTAAGTCCTTTTGTGACTGATATAAACACTTAATGGGCTTTAAGTACAAGATTCTTTCATCTGTCTTTTCAATTTTAATTCAGTTAGCAAAGTAGTTTATCCAATGGGTGGTTTTCAATGTTAAATAAGAAGAAATCCAATTTTGTGAAAATTATTTGGAATAATTTCCATGAGACCCATTCTGAAGAAACGTATTGAAAGATGAGCTGGGATAACCCCTAGGATACATAGTTTATCCTCTTGTGATGAGTTTTTAATCATATTTGACAAAGCACAGACAACACTACAGAATGGAAAATCCCATATAAATGCACCGGCTGAGCAATTAATGTGGAGATAGTGTTCAAATTAGTCTTGTTTTGTGCACCTTGTTACTTGGAAAGAAACACCAAATTCACTACAATAACAGCCATTCCATTCCACATCAATTGCAATAACTCACAAAGTGGACGCAAGATACAATTATTGCCTAGAAAAATAGCATATTGCATATGGCCTGCAGAGGGGAATTGTTTGTCTTTTGCTGTAGTACGTGCCAAATGTATTGGGTGTGGAATTTCAGAAAGAATGGTTGTCAATAATGATAGACTGAGCTCATATACAGACATATTTTGGTTTCCGTCTTCTTTTTGATTTTTCATCTATGTATCTGTTAGGTGTAATGTTACAAAGAACTGATGGAAACACCTTTTATACCCAACCACTATCCAAAAAGTAGAGACAAAAATATTTTACTCAAAAGATAAAAACCAAGTGTCATCAAGTGCACTTATATATATTTACATGGAGAAAATTAGAAAGTGAAGACCTTTTTTGAATCACACACGTGCTTGAATCATGTCAGAAGCATCGGCATCATTGCGAAACCCTTCATGACAGCAGAGAAATGATGGACATGCCCTACAGTCATGAGTCAGGCACATCAAAATGTCAAGAAATGTGGCTTACTCTAGGAGTCATTTACTCTTCTGAGCAGCAAACCAATTGCACATTGGCCATATACAATCTAATCTGTGCTGAATCACTCTCAAAATGCATTTATATAGATAATTGATTTGTTTTCTCTCTTGTACGTGCCTCTGCAATACCATTGCTTGATGGAAAAGTTTTGTATTGTATCACTACATTTAAATGGTTTAGTGTGCTTGGGACATTAGAATTTCTTTATGCTTATGTAGTGCTGGTATAAATCATATGGCCAAACGTTGTTAACAGAAGCACCAAAATTGAATCAATGATATGATTTCTATCTCACATTTACTGCTTGGCACAGGGAAGGTTATTGTAAATTCCTAATGAGAGTATGATCTATTGCATTAATCTCTGTCAGTTTTGTCTGCAGAGGCTTGTCACAAAAGAAGGTCTAACAAGGTATGGGAAAGTTCAGTTTGGCCATACACTGTTAATGCAATGTAATTTTTGTTTCAATGGTAGGATACCAACAGAGACTTCATGTATGTCTATGGACAATACTAAGCTTTTAATGTCCATTCCATTTTCATACTGGCCAAGCATATCCTGAATGAGGTTGATCCAATTATTGTGAAATTATATTATTTATACATGATCCTGGTTTAGGTATTGTTATATGATGTGGCCCCTTTTAGGATTGTGGAAATAATTATTGAAAGCATTTTCAGTGTATCATGAGGAGTAGTGTGCCAATCGATGGTGACCTCAGAAAATGTTATTGATTGTCTTAGGATTCTCCACGTGAGTGACTAGACAAGTGCTCTTGGTGCTCATATACATTAAGAAGTACTTTTTACATCAACTTCTAAAATAATAAACACTGTTTTTTATTGGGAAGATGATGGTGAGGCCCCATTGTCATTTGATATACATGTTTTTTATATGACTGTAATGACAGGTCTCAGACAGTTTAGCAATGGTTGTGGCAGGTGAACTATTAGGTAAAGGTATCAGGAGAATATCCTAGTAAATAATTCAAAGATAATGTCATAATCAAAAGAACAATTGTTTAACAAGTGAGCATATCCAATTTTGACACATGCCAAAAAAAGACAAAAAAGTACTATTTTTCATCATTCATCAATTTGGTAAAAATGTTTTATTTAGCAGGACTTCTAGATCTACCGGATGAATATCTGTATTATTAATATTTATGAAGGTTAAAAAATCACAGTAGCACAAAAGAAAGGGAGTCTAATTGAACAGTTCAAGGTCAGAGATTGATCTCTCCCTTCACTACCAGGTATCATGGTTTTCATGTCTTGGCTATTAAGTGGAAATCAATATTCAGTCTGTGGATTCTGGTTCTTAGGAAAGCCCACTGGACACTGCCCAAGTGGAGCTCAGTGGCACAGCACATATGTGGGTGCATTGTGTATGGGACGGTTCTCTGGCATTCTATATATATCACATTAACCACAATGGATCAATAGTTGACCCTTTAAAAGTTCCTGAGTTCTGAAGTCCAGAATATATTTAATATCTTTTTTATTGTTATTATTAAAAAGTGGTCTGTTAGTTATAAAAAGCGAATGATTGACTTAAAGTTTTTTAAAATTATTTTTTTGGATTTGTAAATTGATTGGATATAATATTTTGATTATTTTCAAATAAATAGCCAATTTTAAGTTGATATAACAAGTATATTCATCGGCAGTAAGTTGAAATTAAGAAATAAAAACATTTATCTTTAAGGAATACTGCAGAGATACAAATATGTGCCAGCAGATAAAAAGTGTTATTTCAATGAAAAAAAAATGAAAAAGAAAAATTTTTAATACCTTGTATATGATGTTTGAAATTAATGGAGCTATTAATGAGTATCTTTTCTGTTGCAGTTACCTAGTAATGGAGCTGATGGATGCCAACTTGTGTCAAGTTATTCAGATGGACCTAGACCACGAGCGCATGTCCTACCTTCTCTACCAGATGCTGTGTGGAATAAAGCATCTACACTCTGCAGGAATTATACACAGGGTAGGTCTGCTCACTAGAGAAGATGGAGAAATTTGGTGTGTTTATTAATTGAGATAAATATCACTATCAACTTGAACTGGATATTTTTGTTGAATAGTAGATAGGAGTGGTGAGATGCACTGTTTTTTTTAAACAATATATAGGCTATAAAGATGAATAATAATGTGTCATAGCTTTAAATCTTATTATTATGATAAAATGTGAATTAGGGTTTAAGTACCTTCCCCAGAAGTCATATATATTACTAAAAGATATTGTCCATTTAATGGGATCTATCCACAGTCTTTATCTTGAGGGGGAAATAAAATTCTTTATCTACATCTATTTCAGGACCTAAAGCCAAGTAATATAGTAGTCAAATCAGACTGTACATTGAAGATTTTAGACTTTGGTCTAGCCCGTACTGCAGGGACAAGTTTTATGATGACCCCCTATGTGGTTACCAGGTATTACAGAGCTCCAGAAGTCATTCTAGGAATGGGGTATAAAGACAATGGTAAGGCATCAAAGAGATATTGTTATTTTTCCTTCATGGTATATTGAATATATTTGCCAGTAGCTGAAATATATATATATATATATATATATATTTTTTTTTTGTCATCAAAGTGGTCAAAATTATTTTCACATCTTAAATTAAAAATTGGCTCATCTTAAATGAATTGGCTCATAAACAATCATGCTTCTACTTTTGGCCAGTAGATTCTTAGATCTATTCTTGGACTGAAGTTTTAGGCACAGAGTGTACATGTATTATAATTTTTAAACTAATAAACATTATGTGCTTATAATAGATAATAATGATGTTCCTTAACCTGTCTTTTTAATTCTTCAGTTGATATCTGGTCAGTGGGTTGTATTATGGGTGAGATGATACGAGGAGGTGTGTTGTTTCCAGGAAGTGACCGTATCCTTGTAATAGATTATGATTTCTAACATTACCAGTGTATAAAATATGTTCACATTGTTCATTCAAAACATTACAATTATCCCACTATGGTGCCACATACTGATGTTTAACACATTGATAAGAAATGAGATGTTGTTTCAAGCTTGAGGTTTTTTTTTTTTTTTTTTTTTTTTTTTTTAAGACTTTCAGACTGTACATCTTGTTAGTGGATGTACCAACGCTATATTTGAGACTGGTTGAATTATTGAACTTAACCATCTACTCAGACATAGACCAATGGAATAAAATCATTGAACAGTTAGGAACACCTTCACAAGAATTTATGAAAAGGTTACAGCCAACAGTTAGGAATTATGTTGAAAATAGACCAAAATACCCAGGATACTCTGTTGAAAAACTCTTCCCTGATGTGTTATTTCCGCCAAATAGTACTGAACATTCTGGACTGACAGCTTCAATGTCTCGGGATTTGTTATCCAAAATGATAGTGATAGACCCAGAGAAAAGGATATCTGTTGATCAAGCATTAATGCACCCGTATATCAATGTCTGGTATGATGAGAATGAAGTCAATGGGGTAAGTGGGGCTGCTTGTGAGGATTAATAAAAAAAGTCACAAAAATTAAATTGTTAAAAAAGTAAAGCATTTCAAAAAAATCTAAACGTGTTTTTACCTGTGAGGGATAATGTTTCAACCCTTCATTAAAGGACCCTGATCACATGGTTGAATCATCATTGAGAGAAGATGTCGTGTTTCATAGGTAAAAACACATTTAGTCTTCTTAGAAGCAGTTTACTTTTTTGTCATCACTAGTCAAGAAACGATGAAAATCCTATTTCGCCATAAGAATTAAGTTGTCCAGTTGTGTATGCCAGATAGGTAAGTCCTCAGTCACAGTTCTATTTCAGCACAAATATGGTTTTAATAATTTTCTGATGATAAGGAGAAACATTATTTTATGAGCAAATGTGAATGCACAAAATATTCCGCTGTTAATTTGCAATACACACAGGTGTAAAGAGATGGATAACCTCTATTACCAGGTATATTGATATTCATAGTTTCCTTAATAACTTCTTTTGTCCAATAATGTGCATGTTGATCAAATCAGGATTTCTTCATTCTTTGGCTCCATTTTATAGGTAGACTAAGATGAATGATACAGGTTATGATTAGGTTGTTAACCCCATGACCACCCCTCATAAGGTTTAGCTTTAAATAATCTCCTGAGGTCATGCATTAACTGATGTGAAATAATGTTGCCATTTTGTAAAAAGTGCTGATCTTGTCTTGGTTCCACTAGGGCTGTGCATAGTTTTAATGAAGTAAGGTGAATTTATTAAACATTGTGACACCAGCTTACCAGGTTTTATAATCCCCAAAACTACTTATATGGTGTGCATTAAAAATATGTATACCAAAGACTTGCATGGGAAATGTGACATTTAAAAGTAAATCTGTGTAAAGAGATAAAGCAGGCTATTGGAGTAAAAATGAATGTTTTTGTTTAGCCTGATTGACCCTCCACCGTTTCCTGTATACAGATAAACAAAATTCTAAGTTTAAATTAAGAATGAAATATACATTCTGGAAAACTTATATTCCATAAATAGAAAACTGGTAGAAAGTTTATACCAGTTATGGTGATGAAAGATAGGTATTATATTTTTGAAATATAAGGAAGCTTCATGAAAATTTTCCATCAGAAATATTCAAGAATTAGTTGAAGCACAGTATGGGAAGTAAGCAACTGTGGACACTTAGAGGCTCAAGCATGTGAATGATCAATATATTGAATAAAAGTACTTGTGATTTAGCATTGGTTTATGGGATAAAGATGTAATAATAGATGCCTGTTTGTTGCCTCAGTGGACTAAGACATATTTTATAGATGTTATCATCCTTTCTTAGAGTACCTTTTTCTTGGATGATCAGTTTTATGTACAGCTGGCACATTTTCTTCTTCCCATTTATACACAGCAGTTGCCAATATTATCACTTTTCACAATAACTGTGGAAATAGTTGTGAAGAATCATCACTTGGCAGATTTTATAAATCAGATGTCTGAATTAAAAAAAAAGTTTATCGTTATAAATAAAACATTTAAAAGATAAGTTTACCCATATAAATGAAACATTAAAATGGTTAATGCGATCAACATGATATAAACATAATTTGTACATATTTCATTATTGTAGTAGACAGGAATTTCCTAAATCTGTTTTTTCATTTTTATGTATGTTGGAGCTTTAAAGTGTTAAGGCAAAAACTAGCCAGTCAATATGTTCAGTGTTATTATCTTTCTGTTTCAGCCATCTCCAATGCCATATGACCACACTGTTGATGAAAGAGAGCATTCAGTGGATGAGTGGAAGGGTAAATAGAACTTTTGATAATGATTTTTCACCATAAGCTATTACAGTACCTGGTTTAACTTTCCTTTCAGCCATACTGCTATGTGTTGGACTATATCAAGAATAAGAGTAAAATATATTCAATTTTCTGTAGCCAAATTAGAAAAGCTGGAATTTATTATGCCGTAGTGGTCCTGTATTATATAAACATTTTATTTGCTGGTATTTGAATACCCTGCCATATAATAGATCATTTCTTGATTAAAATTACAGACTTGACAAGCTTGTTAAGATTATTTGAAAAAAAACTGTATGTCAAAACTAAACATTAGTGAATAATTATCTGTATAGATTAGCTGTCATGATTTCATAGAACTAAATGGTATGGCCACAATTTTTTGTTATGAAATAAGAGTGTATAAGACATTTGTAAAAGCCTTTGTTCCCAACCATGGACACTGTTCAAAACCATGATTATTACTGAATATCTCCCAGGAGTCCCAATTAATTCTTATAAATTTAAATTAATGAGATTGATGAAATTTTGAATGTGTTATTTTTCTTTCAGAGTTGATCTATAAGGAGGTTGTAGCCTTTGAAAACAGGAATAACCGTGTAGGCTCTATGCACAATCATACGCAAGGTAGTGACACTGTTAATGAATACAATCTGTTGATTGATCTTAAAACACTATTTGGAATATAGGCCAATAAATTGCATTGACACAAAAATCCTAAGTGTTAGGAATGAAGACATTTTTTACAACATTATGCATGTGTCTATATAGTACCTCTGCCTCAGATCAGGCACCTAACTGCTTGTAAAGATTTACTACAATGTAAAGATTAAGAGGTAAAAATCTCTCATATTTTTTAATGTTTTCCATGTGGCATAAGGAGCCTTATCAGAGTTTAGGCTGATGGACTTCAATGAAAGAAAGATATTTAAAGAGAAAATGTCCTTGTGTGTTATACCTAGGTTCCTTGATTATACTAACATTTTCTTTCATTTTTACCAGATGGCGGTGCCACAAATTGTTCAGGTGCTTCGGGAGGATCATCTACAGCCTCTCCTAGTCAAAACAGGAGGCGATGATCCTAGATTTGAGGGCCTATACAGATAATGAATGTGCTGTACAGGCTTGCAAACTCATAAGGATACAGATAAAAGGGATAGTGTGGGTACAGTGCAAGCAGGCAGGCAACCTGCTGTGAGTACAGGCCTGGGGACTGGGGTGGTTTTTAAAAGCAAGATAGGAATAGTATACATCAAGGAAATGACAATTTCTATCATGCTGTGAGTGATTTGTACCCTTCAAGTGACCAGCTCTATTGAAGTTCTCTGTGATGAACTTTTCACAGTATGGATATGTTTAAAAATGATTCACTAAGTTGTTGTTGACTTGCTAAGATTCAGGCATTTATGAATATATTTAAAAGATGGCAGCATCTTACAGTTTCAAGTGCGTTGAGGTTTTCTAATGCTTTGCTTCATGACTTGAGTGCATAGAACTTCAGAGGGATATGATTCTAAATGATGATGATGAACAAAAAAATGTAAACTTAAAAAACATATAATTTGCAGAGATAAAAAATGAAGTCTGTAAACAAAAATGGTTTGTGTAAGTGGGATATAATTGTGTTTTTTGTTGTATTAAAGTCAAGATTGTGAAACAACAGAATAATTTGAAAGTCCAGTTTGGTTATGAAATTTACATTTTGAAAGGGTTTTGTTGTTTGTTGTCTACCCACAAAAATATTCAATTTTGTTGTCTACCCACAAAAATATTCCATAGGTTAATAGTGCCAAGTTGCTCCACTGACATTTCAGCTGCATACAGTGCAAACCTCAGTTCTTAGAAGTCTTCCTGCATATTATTTATTCATTTAAAGAAGGAAAATGCACTGAAAGGTGCAAAAATTATTTTAGTTTTGCATGTCTCTTTTTTGTCTGTTCCATGTCCTAGCACACAGCAAGTTTGCCCTCCTGAAATGGAATGTAATTTTTGCATTAAATTTTCTAATTTCTGAACTGGTTTGCAGGCAGCATGTCGAAGAAAACTGTGTTGGTTCTTTATAATTTGTGACTAAAATTTCTCATTACAAATTAAAGCAGTTGCATATGTTTTGTGTTACTTTTTTGCCTGGAATTTGATTACACACCAAATTTTTAGAAAGTTCAGGAATACTGGAGCATTTTCAAATTTTTAGAAAAAATGTTAATGCACTCCAATCTAGCTCTGATGTTGTGGTGGACAGGGATTAAATGGAATATAAATGTTACAGATAAATTTTGTAAAAGAACACACTTCTTTGTCCATCTTCTTTTTCACTGCCTTACAATTGATCACATGTGATGTCTGCTTTCTTTGCAGGCCACCACTGAAATTCAATAAATTGAGTCTGCATTTTCAGGGGACTTGGTATTTTTGTTTGGTTTTTCACCATGCTTGTTAAGTCTCAGTATGTTACAAAATGACACAATGTACATCATAGTGAAAGTGTAGTTAATATGCCAAACATTTGAATAACCCTTCAAATGAGAATTTCAAAGACCTGCAGTTTTAATGTTGTTGTTATAATAGTGCAGGATTTGGATTGTGAACATAGACAAAATGAAAGTAAAAAGGTATTATTCGTTAAAAGAGAACTCTAAAATAGCATTCTCTTGAATAATTAATTATTGACCAATAATTTAATTGTTGATTAAAGCTTAAATCTCAACTAATAACAGCAGCGAATTTTAAAACCTGCGGGAATTAGTGTTGTAAATTATGTAGCAATTTGCATTCTGGACCTGCTTTAATTCAACTCTGTTGCAATCATGATTGTGTTTGAGGAGCCCTTTTGTATGCATATGAAGAAGTAGAGGGGAAGGGCATACCCAGCAGGATCCAACAAAAATGTTTAAGATTTTAACGCAAAAAAGCCCCCAGCTCCACCCTGTTTTAGTTAATTTTATTATTTATGAAAAGTTTAGGCTTGGTTTGCAGTTAAAATTAACAAAAACATGCATCACTTTTTCATTTTGAGCTGAATTTTGGACATTCATATTTGTAAAAAAAAAAGCTTTTAAGATTTATTGAAACAGTTGTCAATTTTAATTTTTATTAAAATGACACGTGTGTAATAGCACTCGTCTTTTTACCTGATGACCGCTCCGCCTGTGTTCATAGAGTGGTAATTCTTTTCTCCCTGGAGGTAAGAATATTTTCGCGGGATGTGACGTCATCCGCTTCATGTTGTCAAGAACAACCCGTCTGTGTTTGTATTTCTCCGACGAAATAGTTCACTACGATTATCATTATTACCAAAGTTAGAATTAAAGTTAAACTTATTTATGAAGGAAACAGTTTATTTATGGTTATAAGATTATGTCTCATCATATATCTTAACGTATATTGGATAATCTGAAATTTAAAAACAACTTGGCAACTGCGGAGGACCATCTAAACAGGAGTGACAAGGCCGACACCACTGCTCATCATGTGGGTTTGATAATTTCGTGTTATACAGGCCCACACAGATCACATTGACAGCTTTGATACAGCCACCAATACTGCCGGAGTGAAGGAGCAAAATGACGACCACTCTGAGTTTACCTCAGATGGTAGATCTGGCTCTGGGAACACCAGAGGTAGGGTCGGTTAACTTCAACGTACTTCACACCCTTCTCCATGCGATGCTCAAGAGATTAGACATCACGGATGTCAAAGCCGACATAAACAAAATCGACAAAGAATTTCTCTCGACCAGTTTAGAGAGAGATGTTGTTGACAACAAAGAAACGGAATCGGAGTCTGAAGGTGCAAAAGACTTTGGGAGTGAGAAGGACTCCGCCATATCTATCCCTCCCCAACGTTCACACTATCATCAGCTAGAAGCTAAACTAGCGAGGTTGGAACATCAAATAGATCAACTGAATTCTTTACCAACTAACTCGGATTTATTTGACCGAGCTAGAGGGAGTGGGGACAAACCAAGACCCGTGGCTGACATGTGGCAATATATGCAGTTGAACAGAAGAGTAGATGCAAATGAAGAAGGGATCGGAAAGGTGAGTTTGAAATAGAATTGGAAAGCTAGATTTCAGGTGTTTTTTTTTATTTTAATTTTTATTTTTGGGAGGATATATATATGTCATCTGTCATAACATGATGATAATTAAGGCACAGGATACCATTCGAGACTGGCTGAGTAAAGTCCAGTACTAGTTGTATGTATTACATGTCGTTGTTTTATGCCATCTTTAATTAAGGTAGTGTCACACTTGGATGATAGGTCTAACGTATGAGAAATAATCACCCACATGCAGAGAAATGCAAGGGATTTGTAAGACTTACAATGTATTGGTCTGGATTTTGCAAGCAAGCGATGTATGATTGCATCCATGCTTTTGGTGGGAGATGAAAGGTTTGAGCATGTTCAAAAACAATTTTATACACTAATTTTTGTGTTTGTTTTCATAAAGTGAAAAAAGGGATGATTTCATACACCCCAAAGTTGTGTGTATATTCAATTTTACATATGATACTCATATGTACCTCTTTATGCTTTGGTGTGGCAGAGCCTTTACATCTTAATATAGAGTCTATCAGCTAGCAACATTTATGTACAGAGTTTGAAATATTGTATTCATCTGTAATTTACAGGTCCATATTCTTTTCATAATATGCAAAGTTGGCCACCAGTTAAAGGGATAATAACTCTTCGTATGAGATCTATATTTCACAGTAAAAACATTGTGAATAACTCATAGAAATATAATATATTCTGTTTTACCACAAAAACAGCAGTTATAGCTATTATTCTGATATCTGAGCGTGTCTTTAGAGCACGTGACCTCCATTGATGGCCATAGTCTGTTAAAATCTCTTAAGAGATTTTAACAAAAAACCAAACTTTTTAGAAAAAAACCAGGGACTTACTTTGAATGTAAAAATGGATTCATTAACCATTGGTAAGTATGGGAAAATTGTTGTTTACTCCAGGAAAATTCATTTTTTGGCCAAAACGAAGAGTTATTATCCCTTTAAATACTGTAGTCTGTGATTTAGTCTCTTAATTCCACAGGTGAAATTAGACATAAAAGCATGTGATGATTATTAGCAATAATTACTTAATGTAAATGGAAAAAGTAAAAAAAAGTAGAAGAATGTGTTAAACGCAAACTACCACATTCCCTCACCTATAAACCCTACATTAATTTTAACAGTTAAAATGATATACTTTAATATAGTTAAAGGTGCTCTTCTGAAAAGGCATATTTATTCATTTTTATATTTTTTTATATACATTTTATATTTTACTTAGTTTATATTAATTTTTTTTACACTTACTGATCTTCATTATTTGCTATTGTAAAAAAGTTACAAAAGTTGAAGTTGCAGTCTGTAAAAATTGCTGCAGCATTTCTTAATCAATGTAAGCTGTCCTGGAGAGCTCAATTATTAATCTTTGAATGATCGGGTGAGTAGTTTTACTCAAGAAAGCAAGTTAAGCCAGGGTTTTACATTCAAAATAACAATGGCAGACCTTAAGAATAAACTTTTGATGTTTTCTCTCAACAACTCAGAACTAAAGCAGCATATTCATAACAAAAGTGCCAAATGTTTGTGGTCGCAGGGATTATTGTTCCACTGTGAAAATGCCAAACTTTCAGAATTGTGAAGATAATTGTTAAAACATTATGGTGATATTTGCCTTTTAAAACTGCAATTTTAAATTTTTTCAAAAGTTCCATTTTTCTTTTTAATAGGGGTGTTTTAATTTGATTTAAAATTGATGACATAATTAGTTTGATAATTAAGAGCAACAATTGATGTTTTTGATTAAAATCATATTTATTTTATACTTTTTCTAAAAGTCTGTTTTATATATGATATTGCTAGCCCTTTCTTTGGAATGGCATTTGTGTATATTTCAATTGGAAGTGGAAAAGTCAAACATTCCATATAACTAAATTTCACCAATATGATATTATTAATTTCAACAGGTGATTGTGTATATTATTAGTTTTTATATTTTCCCTGAAATGTTTGGAAATGATCATTTATAAAATCAGAATGAATGAATATTTGCTTTGTAAAAAAAGAGCAATATTGATGTAGTAAGCATTTTAAAGTCTAGCATGGTTACCTGAAAATGCTCATGAATAATTTGTAAAGAAACACACCTTTACTTTACACAGAGCACAAATGACTAATTGATCCTTGAAGCTGCTTGGTGGTGTTTGGGTTGTCTGTTTTTGCAAAAAAAAAAAGCCTTTACATTCTTTATTAACCCACTCATCGAAAGAAAAGTTTTCAATTTGTGACTGTTTGTTTTGCCTGTAGCATTTGTTAGGCATGTTTGACACTGACTAATATTAGACTGGAGAATCAAAAAAGAAATGAAGCAAAAGATTAACATTTTTTATTTCCCTTTTGCATCTGCTTTAGATGCAATTTAATCAAGAGTCACTTTGTCAAGATTTTCATTTGAAACTATATTTCTATTTGGTCCTAAGGTTTGGCAAATTTAATGGTAATAAGGGTGTCCTGGGAAGAAATCCCTCCCTTGTTTGCAAAACGTTGAATGATCAGGTGATGTGGAATTTGACATATTAGGTGTATGTAAATATTTTAGACAAGTTCTTCAAGGGGGGTTGCTGAATAAGAATTCTCCAAAGTGGCTTACCTTTAGTGGATTATCAGTGGATTATGACGTCTGAGTCAGATAAGCAGACTAGTCGTAATAACCCTTTCACTGAAGCCACTTTATTACAAATCCTCCATTGACATAAGCATTCTTTACAATAGGTTTATTGCTTCTCTTAAAAAATGAAACTTTAATGCATCTACTTGACTGTAGCTATTTGGACATTTTGGCAGTTCTATTCAAATAATTTGCAAGGCAAGGGACCAGAATTACAAAAGAAACCAGACAAATTCATTTTAAGAATTACTTTCTGTGATGGAGTGAATGGTTGTCTGATATGTAGAACCAATTTAGCTGCTTTCACAAGGCTGAGTTGTCTTGCTCTTGCTAGTTTTTGTAGAAAAAAATTTGGTATTATTATATATATATGAATGGTGTATTAAGACTATTTTTCCCACGCGCATTTTTCAAAGAATTTTCAATTTTTTAAAACTGTTTACTGCTCATTGTTGAGTAAATTGATATACTTTCGAAAACCAGGTATAAGGAGGTTTTTTTTTTAATTTCAAACAAAAATGTTTGATTTTTATTAATTCATTTTTGAAACAAGTGAAGTGATATATCGTCATATAGTCTACTCTTAGTCTCTTACTAGAGCTCAACTGACACGATTTGTTTACTTGATCAAGAACAAATAAGAACTGTTTAGACAAGCTTTGGACTCATCTGTAGATTAAACAAAATACAGAGTGACTTTTGTTATATGTGTTTGATGGATGTTAAATATAAGAAATTATCAGACGTTCTTCTCTCTGAGAAATGGAACTTTTCACATCCACTCTGCATGACCTCCGACAAGCAATAAGCTATAGATCCATGTTGTACTGGTGATTGTTATTAGTTAATGCAGTGCAAATGTATTGATAAACAAACAGTTACAACTTAAATAATGTATTTAATAACAGAAACACAGCTGCAGTGCATTGACCATGAAATATTTAAGAACATTGTCAAAACATGGTTGCGAAAGTTTGTGGGATACAAACTGGGATTATGTTTTTATATATATGATATTATTAAAATAATAACTGATTTCAGTTAAATACATTAAAAGAAAATTAAATGGCACATGAGAACTTTTGTCACCCTATAAATGGAGATATTAAATAGGAAATGTTTATAGGTCCACTTTTTGAGTTTATCTAAACCATCATGATTGTATTAAATTAAAAATGGCAAGGCATAATTCTTTAATTCACAATTTTCTATCTACAATCTTCATTTCATTTTATTTTGTTGTCAAATTCTTGCAATCAGAGAAAAGTTTGTACTGATGCTAATCTTTAATTACAAGTATATATTTCATCTTTTCAGCTTATGACCATTGTTGAAGACTTGATGAGAGAACTGCAGGAAATTCGAGATTTCCAGGCCAAGCTAAAGGAACAGCTAGATAATGTAAGCCATATTTTTTCATTTAATCACCCCCCCCCCCCCAAAAAAAAAGGAGGAAAGAATGAACAATTTTTTTTCTGAGCTTGCCATTTGATTTATTTTGCTCAATTACTTTTATGACTTATTTTATTATATATCATAAAAGAAAAAGATAAGAACAATCTGCTTACAGCTTTAAAGAATGGTCCCCTAAAAAAGAAACCATAGGCTAACACTGGTACACCTAAACTTGTCTTTTGTTGGTAAAATTGTTGATGCTGTCTTTTAAATATGAAAGGAATATGGCAGACATGACATACTGGGGGATTTTTTTTCTTTGGAGCAGATAATTCACACATGCTTCTACTTTTTTGTCATAAATATGCTACCCTAGAAGATAAGATGGAAACTAATTAAGAAAATGAATGCATGAATGCCTGTGTAGATGAAGTGTGTAATTGTTAATTTATTTTTCCCTTGTAGTTGAACTTAGAAGATCTATTAAAAAGACTGAAAGACCTTGAAACTCTAACAGTAAGTATAATTGAAAACATGTCTGTGGGTAAAATATATAAAGATTGTATCCTTAAGAAAAAAGACAAATAGGTACATACATTTACTTAAGCCTTTTTATTAATAAGTCATTTGCAACTGTAAAAAAAGTTACGTAGCCAAGCACTGAGATATAAAAATTAATAATTGCTTGTTATAACTTTTTTATAACCTAAACCTGCTGGAAAGTAATTAAAGTAAACTAAGAACTAAATACTAATCTAAATTGACTTGCCAAACCTAATCTTATATACATATGTATGTAGCTTATTCTAACAAAATGTCCTTTTTGTTTATTAGAATGAACTTAATGACAAGTTCCTAATGCTGCCTCTGCCTGAGGAGTTTGTAACTTGGGCAGGACTTGAAGATGCCTTGAATGGAGTCCGTAGGGACTTTGCCAACGCACAGCAACCTCAAGAGAGGATTGTCATAGAAATGTCTAGTCAAACAGAAGTGCCACAGACAGTAAGTAGAGACAGTGGCTGATTTCAGTAGTTCAGTAGTGTAGTATCAGAAGAGAAACCTCACAAGTTGGCAAAGTAATAGTGGATCAGGGGCTTCTCTCATGAAGCCCTTTAGGATATTAACATCTTGTTAGGGGATTTATTCACCAGGTTTTCATTTTATATGCACAGTAAGTTTAGCAAATGACAGTTTTATAACAAATGTTGCTGACAATGATTTAATGAAAATGACCCTTATATCATAATTGTCAGATTTTCAGATTATGATGTAGTCTTTTTTATCAAAACGTACCATATGCATATTATTAAGCTGAAAGTATGACAGAAAGAATAAGCTTAGCCTGTTTAAATGCGAGAGTTATTGCCCATGAAACTTGGGTGTTTGCTGTATTTTACAAACAATATGTGAGATTCCTTAGAAGTTGTGTTGATGTTATTGTCCTTATTACCTGTACGACTTGATGATGTCTACTTTATGCAAACACATGACCTATCACAATGAAAAATCATTGATTTTTAGCTGATATTGATTAGAGATAATGAAGCACACCAAAACAAAACTGAAAAGTTGTATACGACAAAAAAGTACAATAGACTGATTATCATAGTGGATTTGATTGTATTTGTATCCACCCAGCATGTGTTGCTATAGCTCCTTTTTCACTCCCCTTCATTTATTACCTGCAATCCTGCGTTCAATTTTAGCCTGTACAATCAAGACCAACATCAGCAACGAAATCTTTATCTAGACCAAACTCATCGCGGCCTGCTTCAGCAGTAAGTCATTGGGAGAATCTGTTTCTTTTTTTTTTTTTTTTTTTCTTTTCAGAGAGCCTTTTTTTATTCGAGCTGCATGTTTTATTTGTTTTTCAGATTTTGTTTCAGTTTGGGTATTTTTTGTATAGCATGATTATTTAGATGACTTACTGATTGGTTTAGCATTTGATCTAGTTTTATTTCATATATATTGATTCACTTCAGGGTGCATTTTGGCCTCTTTCTTTAATAACTGTATATTAAATGAGACAGCGTGACTGCACAATTTTCTACTTCTTTAAATGAATTTATGGCATTAAGAAGTATTTGTGGTGCTCAGTTTCTGTTTTAAGATGAAACCCTTAATATTGTTACTATCATTAATCTCTTTAACATAAGGACCATTTTAGAGCACTTTTCTTCTGTAATGTCTTTTTTCTCCAGGCCTGCTTTTACCCCTTTTAAAGTTTTTCCTCTTCAAGCTATTAAGTTCAAAAGAGTAACTTCACTGTTTAATTGGAATTGGAGAGTTAAAAAAGATATGGTATGAATAAGATATAATACAGAAGGCAAAATTATGCAAAATGGCTTTTCTGTTTTAAGAACTGAATGATATAAGCCTTCATTTATTTATTGATTTATTTTTACAAATTATCAGAAATCAGCAAAGAGTATTAGTTCACCACATGTATCCAGACCTACATCAGCTAAAGTAGTAAGTGGTGTGATATTGTGTGTTTCTCAGGATTAAGATTTCACTTTTATTTTCATGACATTCTATTATATTTTTGTTTATTTTAGATGTTTTTTTTCCCTGCAACATCTATCAGTATTAAGTGGCTTGCTGAAGACAATTTGATCATCTCTCTCTCTCTCTCTCTCTCTCTCTCTCTCTCTCTCTCTCTCTCTCTCTCTCTGATATGTATCTTTAATGTATCTTTAAAAACCATCAGTAATTTTTCTCATTTCTTTTGTTTTCATCATTTATTGTTTGTTTGTGTCCATCATCAATATTGGAGAATACAAGCAGAGTTTTGTTTACACAATTTAATTTATATAGAAGCCGATACAAATTTGACAAATATATTTGTTGCTCAGGCTAAACCAAGACCCAAAACGGCAATCCCAGCCCAGTCCAGACCTAGTTCTGCAGGCTCCAGTGCCTCGGAGTTTGATATGGTACCAATACTACTGGAGATGCATATATGATTCCTTTATTTCTCTGCATGAGTTGCATGAGATTCTTATATTATCAATTTCATTTATTTTCCATATATTTTTAAGAAGCATTATAATATGAAAAATGTTATTTGAATCATTTATTTTAGGGTTTGATTTTCTGGTATTTTTTAAGACATTATTTGTCAATTTTTACTTTTCTAAGTTTTGGAAGAGAATTTTTGCAGAAAATGTTTTACTGAATTGTTTTGTTTTGATACATATATTTAGTCGTAAAAAGCATGATTGGTTTGCATTTTGAAAAAAAGACAAAATCTACCTCCCTAGTGAGTATTGGCTGTTTAATTCTGAATCTGATACTTTGTTTTGGTCTTACTTTGAAGTTCAAATTATTTGCAGGGTAACAGTTAATTGACCTTGGCTGTTGAGATATTATTCATTAGATTAATCTGAATTAAAGGCTATGCCTAAATGCCTATTCTGTTGGCAGGAATTTGTACCAATACATACATTAGGGAAAAGATGTGTTTTCATACTGGCTAGACCATGTTTTTCTCACATTCTTCCATTTTTGTGTGGGAGTTTTCTTGTGGGAGTTTTCATTGAAGAGAAAGCTATAAATTGTTGTTACAGGATGAGCTGTTATCACTTTTATTTGTTTAACTAAATGAATAGTTTCTTTTTCTGAAATAATGCTGTGTGTTTATAGAGAAAGCAATGAATGCATTCTCATGTAAAATAAAACTCAGAGGAGGCCTGTCAGGCTTCCTGTTACCATTGATTATCCATGCTTTTAGCATAAGTGTCCATGTTGACAGTCAATGTGTAAACATTTCATTTTTTTATTCCAGGTAGCACTCTGCATAGAAATATATGCTGAAAGTTAAGCAGTGTGTTTTAAAGTTTTTAAAATGGCTAATTTTAGTGTGTCAATGGAAATATCCAAGCCAAGGTAAATGTGAAACATAAAAATCAAGATGATTTGTCTCATCGTTCCAGGTTTCTCGTCCAGTGTCTGCCAGACCCATGTCTGCAGTTAGTTCAACAGGTCCGTCCCAAGATCTGGCAGATATCCTGGAGAAGTTGGGAACACTTGGAGAAAGACATGATAAGCTGGAAGACAGGGTAGACATTATTGAGGTAAGAACAGAGATAAATGTATTAAATATTGGTGATTAATACATGTGTAAGTCATGTGTTGACAATGAAATTTAAATCCTGTTCAGTGTCACATTTGATGTTACATCCTCACAGCAGAATTGGTTTTAATAACCCCATCGGTATAAAGCTGCAATCAGAATGGTATTATGAAAACATCATTCGTGTATGTAAATTTATTTGACTTAAATAACAATGACATTTATGACTGGCTGACAAGTTTTTCAAACATTTTTTTTGCAATTTCAGGAAGAATTAAAAAAGAAAGCAGACAAAGATGCTTTAGCAGGTCTAAGTAAGTATCTTTTGAAGTACTTTAACTGGTTGCAGCTATTACAGATAATTTGATCTTTCTTTTTAGGAGATACTGTAAATCATTTGTATACAGTTTTGATTAGAATCAGGGCAGATGTCCATGTTAATTGTATTGCTTGTAGTTGGAGAATGATCTTTAAGCTTACTTTTTGTTATTACTTTTGAAGTGAAAACTGCTAAAGGAATAAGTAAGTTAAAACTATGGTGTTCAAATTTTCTTTTTATCTTCTCACATGATATGCATTATTTTATTTTAAGGAATATTTGGGTTTTGGAATTACAGTTCTTTAAAATTATTTTTAACACTGACACTTGACTATTTGTTGTGTATTTAATTTTAGATTTGTGAATAAAATCTTTAACCTTAATTTTTTGTTTAATACATTAAAGTATTCTTTTTATTTTATTCCCACTGGGATAGTTTGTCTTGTTTGATATTATAAGTGGAAACAATTTAGAAAATGAGTTGTAAAATATCTTGTATGTGAGTACAATTTATGTGTAAATTTAATCACATATTTCTGTTGCGTATATCATCATGTAATGAGTTAAGTAACACAGGAACACCATAACTTATGTGAGTGCTTTCATAAAATTGTGCCGCAAATATCAAGTACATAAAAAATAATGAATGTGTTGATTTATGCAGGTATTCCAGATGATCTCTTAGAAAAAATCCAAAACCTCAAGGATGAGCTGGATGCATTATACAAACTGAGAGAAAAGGTAATTTTTCATTCACTACCAAAATGGATATTTGCATTTGTTAAAATTCCAGGTGGGAGTAAAAACCTGGACTCTCTTGAAAAATGATAGAAATAGATTTTTTTAAAGCTATCGCTTGACACTTTGCATCTTGCTTTTATTTCTAAGCTTTCCTGTAATTCATCATCTTGTATTTTCCAATTAATAAGATTTTAAATCTGTACATCGGTATATTTCCATCTTGTGCTTATTTTCAACTTTCTGTTAAATCTCAATACTAAATCTACCTGAATAGGTATGTGTGTCTTTCCTATCTGCTTGATATACTGTCTTCCTTCTCTTTTATTTCTTCTGCTAGCTTTTTGCAGCTGAATACAGATTAACAACATTAGAAAACTGTATACCTAAAGACACTATGCGTGAGAGCAAATTACATTTAGCACGTAGTGTAGAACATCTTGAGGAGAAGAGTATAAAAGACAGTAAGGATGTTGTGGATGCAGGGGAAAAAGAAGAAGATAAAAGTGTGAGGTCTGGAGCTTCTCTTCAAGCAATCAGATCCAGAAAACAGCTGATCAAAAAAGAACAGTTGGATGAGCTTTTGATGAAGATTGATAATCTTGAGGAAGAAGTCCACTTGCTGCAAAGTCTCATGGAGAAAGAAGAAAGTGAAGATCTTACATCTGATTTGGCACCCTCCTCTCCCTCACGACCTCTCTCAGCTCCAACCAGATCAGACCATTCACTAGATTTTACAGCCACTCCTGACAGCGGTTTCACATCACAATCAACTTTTGAATTACTGTCTCAGAACTTTACAAAGAAACTTGAAGAGCAAGCAAGGCATCAGGACTCCTTAAAGCAAGGTCTTGCCCAGCAGTCCTCTGACATTAAAAATCTTGGGAAAAAATTGAACCACCTTGGAGGAGAAATTAATAAACAGTTGGCACATTTAAGACAGAAAGTAGAAAATGTTGAAAAAGAACTAAAGGATTTATTTAGCTATGTTGATGAGAGTTTACAGGCGCGTGGAGGAAGTAGTGACTCTGGAAATTTGGTCAGTTGTATACATGTCACATGTATAATCATATATGAAATGTTTGATTACTGAATCAGATGTTTGAGTTCTGTCCCCACCCCCCTGCAGTTATACTAAGACAAAATATATAGAGAGTGTAACTAATTTCCTAAATAGAGTGATTGTTTTTTTTTTTAAATTGATTTTCTGTATTTAAAAATGTACTTAACTTTCTTTTTATGAGTAAATTGCAAATTTAAAAGGTTTTGTCAACATTGTGCTATCAACTGTAGCTTTAATTCAGTTTTGAATAAAATTGTATTGGGAATGCTTTTGTAAATATCATTAAAACTTTTTGTTTGATTTTAGGACAGTGAAGCCATCACTAGAGCACAGAAAGCCATCTTAGATTTACAGGCTGAGGTGGAGAAGCTCAATGGCACAACAAATTTCCTCATGGATGAAAACACCAACAGACAGAAACAAATAGAGGTAATTTCCACAAGAACCATATTTTTAATGAGTATTGTTTTATTCTGTTATGGACACTCAGAAATAATATTAAAAACGCCAAGTTGAATTATAATTATTTTTCCAGATATTAAAACAGAACTGTAGAAAGAGTGCTTTGTGCTTGCTTCATATTTAGAAAAATTCTGACAAGCACTATTATAGAATTTAATCATGTGTAGCAACCTTGCATAACAGAAATGCCTGATAAACTTTTCAACACTTGATCAGCAATATCTTCTTTATATTTTAGAATATTTACTTGGTTACTAATCGCCTTGAGGAGACCAAGGCTGACAAAGAATATGTAGACACTGAAGTGGATGTGGTAAGTTAATCCAAGTGATATTGTATTTATTTATTTATTTTATTTATTTATTTATTTATTTATTTATTTATTTATTTATTTATTTATGAAAAACCTTAATGAGTATTAGTTCAAATTAAGAGATCTTCAAACATATATATGTCTATCAATTATTGTGACCAATTCCAAGTCTTTTTTTTTTTTTGTTCAGTTGATGTAAAATGAAGACATTTATGGTAATAACTAATGCTCAGTTTGTTATAGAATGACTTTACAGCTATATGTTTTTCACATTTTTAGAAAGCAGACAAGAAATCAGTTGAAGGAAAAGTGAACAGGAGTCTGTTTGACAGCACATGTGCCGAGTTGAACAAGATGATCAATGATCTCTTAGAGAAACTGGCAGCTTATGTAAGTACTGTGGTAATTTTATTTGAAGCCTTTTCAATGATGTATTACATATTTAGTTTTGGTTTTGGTATTTAACCATGCTAGCCATTCTGTTTTGTATGTTTTATATAGCAATGGAGATTTCTTTCTATATCATATCAAAATTGCTGGATTGAATCGGCATTTTGTTCATGAATAAGAAACACCAATAAATACTTTGATTAACTTGTACAAGTTACCTTCTTTATGAAGATAAATGATGCTCCTGGCTTTCCATAACTGATTTGAATTTGACTTTGTATGAATCATGTGACTTCAGGAGGAAGCTTGGAAGAAGGCCCATGGTACCCTCAGTGATGATGTGGAGGGCAAGCTGGACCGCATGGAGCTGGATGCCCTCAAAGATTACATAGATGCCAAGCTCAAGGCACTGAATAAGAAGATGAATGCCACACAGGCACATGACATGGTCTCTCAGTTTGGAATATCTGACGATGATGCTGCTGGAATAAGAAAGTGAGTAGCAGTCTTTGTTCAGGGGGAGAGAATCTTGTATTTCAACATTCAGGTTTTTATGGAAGTATCAAGAATTTTGGTTCATGTATTATATCAAAATAGACTTTTAAAGACTTTTAAAATGTTTACTTACTGTACATGAATCAAAAATGTAAGGACTGTCAGTTGTAAACTAATCATTTAGTAAAAACCTCAGGTGGGGGTGAAAACATGGGCTTTCTTAATGTAGCTTTTTCAAACTGTGGCAGTGTATATAAGTTTTAAAGCAAAATGCACCCTTACTATTAAATGATATTTTATACTTCTCACATGAACATTTGACAATATACAAATATTTGACACAATACAAAATATATTCCAGACAACTTGTTACCAGATTCCACTGCATAAGCTGTGATAGACCAGTGGACATGAACCCTGCACAGTATGTTTTTTATTTAAGTCATCTTGTAAACATAGTAGCTTACTTTTTTAATAGTTTAAAAAGGAAAACAAATACTGAAATTTAATGAGTAACCCATTATACATGTACATGTATATAATTTGAGCATTAAATCTTTGTTTTTATTTTTCATTCTTTTCTTTTTGTACAAAAAGTAAATAATGATCAATTTGACAAGTGTAACCAGGAGATAAATGAATTCCAATATGATCATTTTCCTTTTTTTTTTTTCTTCAATTTAAAAGCATTCCATTTTATTTTCAGAATAAAAATCAATACATAAATTCCATCTTGTTTCAGGCCTATACCATCCCTGCCAGCACCAGGTGCTCTACCTCCTACACGGTCCCCAAGACCCTATACAACATTTGAACTGGAGCAAATAAGGCAACATGCTAAAAGGTAATATATATCCTGTGTGATTTTGTCAATTATGCAGCATCTCTTATAACTAGGGTGTACCCGTACATTGATGTTGATATTTTATGTTGAATACAACTGTTTATAGAATTGTATGCAAGCTTATTATTAATTATTTCAGGCTTTACCTCTGCTTTGGTATTTTACATATAATATGTCATTTTATTGTACAGCTTGTTGATATTATGCAATTTAGTTTAATGACATACATGTACTGTGGTCATTACTCACAAGATCCTTGTCTCTTTTATTCCATTATTACTTTTTTTCTTCAAAATAATTAAATTTTAATTTCTAATGAAAACAAATTTTTTGCTGCAAACCCTCTCTCAGGAATTAGTAACTAAAAACTGTTATAAAAAATATTATAAATTAATTTTGCTCAACTTATGTGAGTGATTACCATATGTGCATTTGACTTAAAATAGATGAAGTTAGAACTGTTCTGCTGGCTTATTTTTGACTGTGTTTTACCATTACTAGCCCTTAGAATTTTTAGACGCAATTTTTTTATCAGATTCTTTGTACTTATCCACATATTTCAGCTTGGGAAATGGGAAGGTCTATTATAACAACAGGTAACTGCATGCCACATGTCTGGTAGATGGTGGTTGGGATCAGTTTGGTTATTTGCCCTTTGTTTTTGTTTTTATTTGAATCATCCTGGCATGTTTTTTTCCTTTTAAAATAATCTTTGAAAATGTTATGTCTAACCTTGTGTTAAGAGACCTACGGTAATTCTCCAATCTATACGAACGCCGCAATAATTACGAACGAAACGTTTTTTCTCTGAATCTGAATTTTTTGTCTCCGTTCTGTACGAACGATCGCTAAACTCACCTTGGGCACAATTTAAATTTTCCGAACGCAAGAAAGTGTGCCCAATTGAAACTCGCCCCTTGATTCGTCAAAGCGAGTTTTCAGACCACCGTTCCAAACAAAGGAACTGCCACTTGACAGGAGAGATTGTTATCATGTATTTGTGCTGTTTTTGAATGAGACGATAGAAGGACTCAACCTGCCCGCCGGCAGCTGCAGGCCAGTTTTAAAACCCTATTGTTATTTAGAAATTATTGAAAGCATCAGTACACATAAATTACTTACTATTTATTATCATTTCTTAACTTCTGCCGGCCGACTGGATCATCAACATCCACCATCGGTGTTTCACCGATAACTGGTTTCCAGTAAAATCTATAAACGTGAAACCCACGCAGAACAGAAGAGTATGAGAAATCCATAGTCAATGATCGAGTTTTTCTTTGTTTTTGGTAGTCATTAGGAAATTAAATTTTTTAAGAGGAGTTCTGTCTTGTATTGTATTTATTTTTCTAATTTGAGTTGTGATAAAGTTCATGCTTTTTTGTTTGTTTGTTTTTCCTTGTTAAAGACCTTGTCTCATGAACAACTATTAGGTAAACCTTACTGATATTGGTGATTGTGAAAAATAAAGGTGCCGTATGACTTTATACAAATTTACCTGCAGTTTTCTGTATTTTTTCTAATTAAGTTTACATTGATTGCGTGCAAATTAATATGCTGTAAAAGACTTACATAAATAGACGTGAATTGAGCTGATGTTATTTTTCATATCAAGTATAATCTCTATTAACGTCAGTGATATCTACTGTGAGGAGTTTCAAGTATTTTGTTTTGGCGGAAGAAATTTATGTAGGCCAAATGGGGTGTGTGTGACATTATTAATATTGCAGATTTTCTATATGTGAAATCATATTAAAAGTAAATACGCATTAAATAAAATATGCAACTGGATACGCAAATATTCTTGTCTGTTTTTGACAGAAGTTGGGAAAAACGATGTTGTCCTGTCTTGGTAAAACATAACAGGGAAAAACGATGTTGTCTTGTCTTGGGAGAAATGTACCTCTTTAGTATGAAGGAATTGTTTCTTAACTTGAATTCCCGACTTTTGTTTAGTTTGTTTTGATTCATTGCAATATCGCAAGAATAATTTATTTGTGCTAAAAGCTGATCACAGTGATTTAATCTGAAAGTAATGCTTACACTTAGCAATGTAGGTAAGTGGAGATAATTTCCGGTACAGCCGTATTCCATTCGTATTTCAATGGATACGAACGCGTGGCAATTTTTAGCAGACTGAATTTCAAGCCTTACGAACAAAATGATTATCTTCCAAAAATAATTAATTTTAATCGTTCGTATAGATTGGAGAATTACCGTATTGTGCATGGTGGTGAAAAAAAGTGTTAATTGTGATCATCTTTTCCAAATATTTGTGAAAATCTAAATTGCATGATTCCAATGTGACAAACCACATTTCCCTTCTTATAATGAACAACCATGATTACAATAATAATTACAACCTGCAGCCAGCTTCTGTCGTTAATTGCATGTTACCTGAGATACTATCTCAACTCCAGCCATATACAGAAACTGTTTCTTCCTCAAAATAACTTGTTTACCACAAACGTGTATAATTCCCAAGAACCTGACTACCTATTGCACTTATTGAAACATTCAGCTAACAGAACATTCTTTGATTCTTTTTCTTTTATTCTTATTATTTTCATTGTTCTCTTTCCTTTGCATTTTGCTTCATCTGCCTGCTTTCCAGACCTTACTTTTCTGGTAGAAATACTACCAACTTTGAACGTGCCTTGGCTCAGCGACATCTTGCACAATTGCGAAAGCATGATCTGCGTTCTTTTAAAGTTCACTTTGGAAAACCCCTCCTTCCTGAGACTACTAGAATTTACTATTCTTAGTAAGCCTACTTTCTTTTTTTTTTTACCTTAACTAAGCAATATGATAAGAAATGGACTCAGAGCAGAAGCATACTATAATGAACAAAGTTACATATTTCTTTTCTTTTGACTATAGTGCATTGTACTGAACTAAATTATTCTTCAATACAAGAGTTGGACTAATGTTGATGTGTCTATTTTGGAGAGGCTTCTTGTTTGTTGATTTTATTTTGTTGCCATGCACCCTGAGTTACAAGTGTCTACTGGAAACTCTGCTCTACAGCCACTACCACGTAGCTGGTTACAGAACTCAGCTTTCAATAGTCTGATACTCAGGGTGAATTGATGGTTTTGGATGCATTTCCAGCCGTATTGGAACACTTTAAACCTATTGTGCTATTTAAAGTAAAACCCATTCTGTCTCCTCCAGTATGATGGGACCTGATGGGGTGGACTACTACGCCACGACGCGTTCCTGCGGTGGCAACCATACTACCACATTCCCACACAGGCGTATGACCAGGATCACCAACACTAAGGACATCTACAGGGAGGAGGAGATACCAGCAGCGTATCTCGCACTTTCAAGGTAAACACAATGAGTCAGTTTTCTCAAAGGATGGATTTAACAGAGATTAAATTTTAGTTGCCTGTGCACAGACTCCCAAAACATCCATTATAATAAGATATTGAAAAATGCTAAACTCCCTCTTTGTCTGTTTCATATGTGCTTTTATTTGTAGAAATTTCAGTTATCATTTTCATGTACCATATTACCATCTGTTCTGTCTTGACAGTCAGTAGAGATGTTAAAACAACAATAAGTAAATTATTGGGAAGCTTAGTAAAATTTTTTCTACTCTGATTCACATGGAAACGTTTTCAATATTATGTGTATGCATCACTTCATTTTCTAGAGAGGAGAGAGATATCAAGGGGTCAGATGGACATGTTTACAGAGGCAGGCTGGACCCCAGGAGCCAAATAGAGGCCAGGCTACCAACACATTTACAGGCACAAGAGGTGAGAATCATACAGATTCAGTTGTGGCACATCCTCAAATGTTTTAATACTACTAGCACTGCAACTGTTATTGTCATATTGTAACAGTATTTGTTAAAATGGTCCTCGCACATTTATATTTTCTCCCTTCTTTCTAGACTGCCCCTGCTGCCCCCGCTGCACCATCACGTAAGATGCAAACCAGCCCACCCGGTCGTAACCCACGCACGGTGCGTCCTCCCCCAAGCTCTGCGGCATCTAGTCGCAGGCCGCAGTCCTCTGGTTCTGGAGGTGGTGAACGTCCAACAACCGCACGTCCTTCTTCGCGCCCAACCTCGGCACATCCAGGGTCTTCTCGCCCTCAGTCCGCGCACACACCACAACCTCACCCAACACCCCAACCCCCAGAGGAAGCACCACACCAGCCATCACCACCTCCCCCTCAGATACCAACTGAAGCCTTTGCAGAACCCCCAGCAGAGCAGCCAGCTGAGGCACAGCAACCACAGTCCACTGAACAAAATGTTCCAGTTCCTGAGCAGCCTGCAGAAGAGGCGGAGGAAATTCCCAAGGAATAAAAGGACATTGGTTTTGTTTTTTAATGTTGGAAAATGACATGTTACATTGTTCTAAAGCCTGCTTGGTCAGGAGTGTCCTTTTATGAATACAGTTATGTCATGCTCATGAATTTTTTGGATATATATTAAAGTTCAGTCTTACATTTTCTCTAAATGTTGCTGTAAATTGACAAATGTGGCTGCTGTGCAGTGGATTTGGAAACTTGGAAACATTTACTATTTAAAATGTTTTAATGGGATTGGTTTGTCAAGTCACTTAACTGTTAGACAATCGACTGAACTTCTGCTCAAGTCAAAAATGAGCTTTGAACCAAAAAATGTAAATGTTAACTGCACTGTACATAAAGCACTCAAAACACAGACCATCCTTTTGGTTGATTTGTAATTCTATTGTCTACTTGATTTCCTTGCATATGTTCCTTTTTTCACTTTTTTAAATGCAAGATGATGGCCATGTGTAAATTTGAGTTTATAAATATGATAGGAACTGTCAATTTGATGCTTTTGTAGTAAAACATTAGTATTGATAATTAGGTGTTCCAGTTTGAAACACAGGGCATAATATATTAGATATGCACAAGTGCAATGTTCCAGTTACAAACAGCATTACTTTCATTGGACTGAGAAAACTACATTTTTTGATTTCAGATTTTAAGACATGATTTTGTATTGAACAGAAAAGCATAAATGTAGCGATGAAGTGAATTTTTTGCAAATGCTTGAAGAAATTGTGATTCTGATATCTTATTTAAATTGTTCACTCGTGTTGTGATCACAGCTCACAAGTTAAAACAAATACAAATTGATCCAATCCATCCAACAGTTCTGCATTCTACAGTGAGAATCAAAGTAGTATAATTTGTGCCACAGTATTCTACGCATTTGTTTCTTCCTTTATTATTAAAGTTGCACTGTGATATGAAACTTAATGGGCCTAGGTGTAGGTTTGTGATCTTTATACCTAGTGAATTTGAAATGACTGATGATCAAAATAAATATCTTTCTTACTCAACAAAAATACATGTTCAATTTTCTTGTATATGTATACTAATGCTCCTTTGTTAATGTGACAGGCTGAAATAACAGCAGCCGATGCATGTTCTTAAGATTTCACCCAATCCAATTACCCCACCCACTTAAAAACACAGCAACACAACTTGCATCATACAAATGGCTAACACACCCTTTAATCTAACAAACCTCACATACTACAAAAAGAAAAAATAAAACAAAAAACACGGCAGTTCAACTAAAATTAAAAACTTTTATTAGCTCATCAGCTAAGCATAGATTATTTACAAGAAATATACAAACATTGAAATCCACTTCTCACTGGAGCTTACACAACCAATTATCAACTTGCACAACCACTAACGATCTGAACCTTTGACATTCTATCTTCTAATAATGAATAAATCAACATCCACCATGGATGTGACACTGCATACCAGATGTGGTTACACAGGAGACATTTCTAAAACAAGACACAGGCATTGGATACCTGCCATTATAATTTGGTGTGCAATGACATTCAGTGGATTTAATTACAGCTCAGGCAATATAACACAATGTTCAGTGCTCTTAAACTGTCTGGGAGATCACCTGTGAGAATATTTCTGGGGTAATTCCAACTCTTATAGTAACCATTCATCCAGTTTTACAGGGAGATATATTTTTCCAAAATTTTTACATCCATCTTGGTAACAAAATAGTAATTCTACTTATAATTTAAGAGTGAATATGGTATCCATTCATGTATTTTAATTGCAAGGGAATTCATACCTAAATTAGTCAACTTTCACTTCACAATTGTTGCAACTAAATAATAGAGATGTTAACAGAGATATATACAATCTAAGTGCATATCTTACAAAATAAAATACATTCATACAGTTATGCCTTTGGTCCTCTGGGTAACAGAGTTGAAATATCTGGGTGCTTCTCAAGCCTTGACCCTATAAATGACAAACCCAGGTAAACAGTGGAAAACATAGGGTGAAAGATTGCTAACATATACTCAATCCAAAAGACATAAAAGCAGAGCCCATTCTGATAGAGCCCATTCAGCGTGAGGAACAGAGAAGGTCAAAACTTTTAGGTACATGAAATAATGTCAGCAAAAATATTGTGTAAAAATGAAAATAAATGAAATGAAAACTGTACTACAGAAAAATAATGATCCTCACAAATAGTTAAAAGTCATTTTTAAAAAGCAAAGGCCACATAAATACAAGCTTGTCAATGCCAAATAAGAACCAACTCCAGACAAGGTTTCAAAATATTTACACGTTTTTAAAAATAACATGAATTTCTTTACTCTTACAGAGATTTTTTTTAGGCATGTCTGTTTCATTTTTGCAAATAATAATTTACAGTTAATTCAAATATAAGAGATAATCTTCTTTCAGGGACTGTAATTCTTATCCATTTTACATCTCTTTGTAGCAATGTAAGAACTCAGTGCTCAATTAGACCATTCCACCTTTGGTCTGATTTTTAGGCAAACCTCCAATAAAAAATAACAATAATTCATACATGCAACAACATCTTTCAAGATGCCATTTTCTTTGACACCTCTTTTTTTTAAAGTTATGTGAACAGCCAGGGCCCAACAATGCCACTGCTCTGCTGTAACAAGCACCTAATTATTTTTAACAACACTTTTTCCATAGCTGTCACACGAAAAACAATCAAAACCATTAAATGGTTAAACTTTAAAGAACAAGAACACTGAAAATACATCAGTTTCAATGCTAATATTTTACCTCTTTTGGTAGGTCTCCCAGTTGGCAAACATCCCGGCATCCAAACAGTAATGAAATGTTAATAACAGCTGGAAACTTAACATTAATAAACAGTTTATCTGTTTATAATCAGGGATTTGTGTCTACACAGTCAAATACAGCACCTATGACTTAAGTCATAAAAAAATTGATGTGGATCTTCTCAGTTAGAGGCAAAAGACAGATGAACCTGTGATATTCATTACAGACAACATTTCTGACACAATCTGAAATAGCAATAACGGAATATTCACACCTTCAAACTTCCTGCAAAAGGAGTCAGGAAATGAATTCAAATCAAAATGACTTGGGAGAAGTGAAAAATCATGAATTTTAGCACCATCCTGAAAACTAACTCAAAGAACCAGCAATCTATCATTTAATTACATCTTGGATTTCTCAGCTTCTAATTCTTGTGGGTAATAATATTTTATATTTTTTCTGAATTGAATTTTGCATTTCATACCCATGTCAATATAGGAACAACTAGCAAATCTTTGTTATCATACAATGCAAAAATACATCAAATCAATTTGTACTTGTGGAATATTCTAAAGTAAATATTGAGAGAGAGCACAACACAAATATTGAGAAAGAGCTTCATCAATGGCTAGCCCATTCTTTGTGTCCAATCATTTAAATTTCAACTTTCTTTTTTAACCAACCCAACTGTTTTATTCTTAAAATTTATATAACAGAATTAAAACAGTTTGTGTCACATCATATTATAAACCATATTACTATTTCATTAAACACAAATATTCAAATATGTACAATTCCATAATATAACATAATATGTTAAGGTCATATGACACTGTAATGTACTCAAAAGACCATTGTTGCTCTTCCTGTAACAAGGGCAAACAGAATTAAAATGCTCCTAAATCAATAATGCTATCCATTCTAGTCTTCTTTGTATCAAATGAGCTGCCCTTACTAAAAATATATATACATAATTCATATTGGCAAGTATAATGAAATCAAGTAATGGTTGAAACAACGCACACACTTCACAAAATAAATGAATCCTGTCCTCATTTACACACACGATTCATGAAATAAGGCATAGTTCACTTTCTTTGGTCTTTGGTTCCCTTTCTGTAACTGATCTCCTTCACGGCTATCACTAGAGGCATCTAGGCTATCTCCTGTAGATTTGAACCTCCTCAGTGTGGCATCTACAGGACCATTCCTGTCCGTATAGACACCACCAGACATTGCACTCGACTTGCTACGCGGCAGCTGGGGGGACCTGAATTGAGTGCTGTGGTTTCTAGATCCCATGTGCTGGATGCCATTTTGAAGGGGCCTCGCTTGAGAGCTTCCTGCATTTTTCACCAGATCCTGAGGAGGTTCTTGTTTGGGTCCACTGTTATTTTGGTTAATGGGTGGCCTTGCTTTGAAGGAGGAGAATGTAGTTTGCTTTTCAGGCAGAGGTTGTCTTCCAGGCAGGGCTGCTTGCTTCTGACCCACCTCCTCCTCACTATGTCCATTCACCACAACATATGGCTGCTGCTGAGACGACGCAGAGCTGAAATTTTTGTTTAAATTTGAGGACTTGCTCCCAACACTGTTGGTGGCAGCTGCTGTCCCTTTCACTCTGGATGGAGACTGTGGCTCTAGTGATAAAGACTTCTGTGATTTTGTAGGCGATCTCTTCTGTGAGCTGGAGTCGGATGTTCGATGTTCCTTTGGGGATTTGGCTGGGGATTGTGATCTGCTAGAAGGTGGCGTCATACCATCTTGCTGGGCAAGCGGAGCTGAGAGGTCAAGCGGAGACACCGTACCGCTCTTAGACTTTGGCCTCCTCATAGTTGCATAAGCAGCAATGTTTCTGCGCTCTTCAGAGGTAAGACCTGCATTGTCGTCTGAAAATTAAATTATCAGTAGAAAATAAGTCAAGGAAATCACAAAAGTTAGAAGAGAATGAGAAAATGACTCAAGGCAATAGCAAGACTTGAATGGTTTTGCAATTTAATTCTGAAGAGGTTGAAACAAACTTCATAAAGTAAACGAACCATGAATTTAATAATGCTGCTTTTGACATATTTTTCTTTGGCAAATCAATTCTTCCTAAAAACTTTTTATGTAACTTTTTCACATGGGACAAAATACTACTTGGTTAAACAAAAGGCAAAACTGGCAGCAAAGGTAACATTTCTGATTCAAATTCATACTGCACCCCCTTCTGCTCTCTCTCTCTCTCTCTTTCTCTCTCTCTCTCTCTCTCTCTCACACACACACACACACACACACACACACACACACACACACACACACACACACACACACACACACACACACACACACACACACACACACACACACACACACACACTACACAATTGTCACTCACTGTCAAGTAAGTTCTCTTCAGATTGGCTGGCACTTCTTGGCTTGAACTGGAATGGCTGCATCCTGTAGACCCAGTGCTCTCCACCAGAGGAGCTACTGGAAGACCCACAGGAGTGGTGGTTGCTGAATGTACGTCTTTGGTAGAACAGTAAGTAGGCAGCTGAAGTCACTGTTTGGTCTTCACGGATCTGACTGACATGAGTGTCGTCAAAGGAATACCACAGGTCATCTGCTGGATTCTTACAGAATGCTGATGAAATGCAAAGAACATTCATTATATTGTAACAGATTAAGGATACAGAAACAGATTTTTAACAGTTACAGTAACTCTTATGCACACATCTGGTTTATGCAAGTTAAAAGAAACACATTACAAGCCACATCTTAACCAAGCATATTAATCTATTACATTCAAATTCAATAAATTTGACACTTTAAAATAGTTCAAACATTACATCAAATTTCAATAATAAACAAACTGCAGTCCTTTCCTTTAGTTGCTTTCAAAAACAAAAATTAAAAAACATGCCAAAACTTAACACAGTTTATCATTAAACACGTGTCATTTATCTGGCATTTAACAATTATTAAACAGTTACCTGTGTAATGGCCTCCTGCCATGTTGCCATAGTGATTACAGACAGCATACAGGTCATAAACATAATCCTCAGGACAGGGACAGTGTTTCCTGTGGCGTCTCCATGGAGACCACTGTGACTGATTGGTTGTCTTCCGTACCACATGTGTGCTCATGTCCAATCCAGTCACTGGAAACTCTACCAATGTGGTCATCTTCACACGCTTCATGCCAACCTACGAATATGATATACTGATAATTTACTGATACTTCTTAAGAGACCTTTGGCCATAGATAAAAAATGCAATACCAAATTTACTAAGGAAATTCACCAAAATCATTTTCTTGGTTAAATAACACACAATTTGGCCATACAAACAAATCATCTTCATTAAAATCTATTAAGGTTTTTTCATCACCCTTATGCAACAACATGCTTTGATTTCTGTACCTTTAAATATCATCCTTAAAGCCATGCTCAGGTTACATTAGTTTTGTATTCATGTTTGACATAAAGTAATACTGTATTTGTACATAGGTTCAATATAAAAATGGGATCAACAGGACAATACTCTGAACACCATACCTGCTTGAACCTCTTCAAATGTATCACCAGGATATCAGGCAGAGACCAGAGGCTCAGTTTCTTAATGGTGCCTTGCTGGAGTTTCTTACAGGTTGGGCAGTTCCAAGCATCCTCTGCTCCAAGCTTTAATTATGTCAACAATTTAACATGAATAATTACAATTTGCTCCCAAATAATGCAACTCTTTCAAATTATTTACAAATTATCCCTATAAACAATGTTTATGACAGTGAGTAAATTATTTCTTAATTGTGATTCTAAAATAAAGAAAAACAAAACATTAACAATGGAAAGGTGCAACATTATCCCATTGCACTGAAAAATGATACACAGAATGGTAAAACTGACGTAAGAGATTAGAAACGCATTTACCTTTTCTTCCTTAGTGTATAATGAAAAGCACTGCTCCAGGTTGGCCACAACAGTTTTGTTCTGTGCCTGCTTGGCCTGCTGTACACTAGCATGCTCCTGTATGCTATCTCCAGGGCTACTGGTGATCAGACTGAAGCACAAGATGGGGATGCACATAAATAAATGTGATACAGTGAAAAAGAAAACAAATAACAATGGACATCAAATACAAATTGATATCTTGATTGTAGATGGAAAAGTAACAGTATCTTTTTATTAGAATAACAAAGGAAATTTACACTATCAAAATCAAATATTAAGCCATGTTCAATTAATTTCACGCAAACTGAAACAAAAAAATAACCAAATAATAATAATAAATCACTCCGTGTCAAAATTTAATTCAGACTGTTTATGTTTATCTTGTTCCTTAACAAAAAATTCTTCTGCTGATGAGCTCACCTGGCTTTGGTCTCTGGTTCCCATTCAGCCACCAGTTTCAGATGCTGGGGTCCAGCACTGGGCAGATGGTGGGTCAGGGCCCTGTCCACAGTTGGCATGTAGAGGGGGTGGTCTACATCATGGGGTAAGTAACACTTGCCGGCAATGCCATCTACAACACGCAGTCGGAATAAAGGGCTGTCCTTCTAAAATAAAGAAAATCCAGTACATGTTATAAAATGAATTATTTCTAATGAACCCGATCTAACAGGTCACATCTATCATAATTTTTAAAATTTTACAATATATATTATACCCTGTCAAACTGATACAAAAATACATGGGTCAAATTCTGCATAAATCAAGTACAATTATTCTCAAAAAGCAATTTTTCTTTGAAGATAATGCGATTGATTCGTGACAACACCAGACAGCTTAATTTCTTCCCAAGTCAGCAGGCAGTAAGGAAATCACAGCAACGGATCTCAGTTTCCTCAGTACATGTGCATCAAGCACTTTAATTACAGATTGTTAGCATGTCTAGATTTCAGGTTAATCCTTACCACCGTGGCTTCCTTTTCCTTATACAAAATGTAATATTCTTGGATTCGGCATTAATGTTATACAGCGGGATTTTAATATTCATAACTTAGACCATAATACCAGGATAAGAAAATAGCTTTTTCTAGGTGCTTTCCCTTTTCCCCTGGATAGAATCTTTTTATCTTTTCTATCTTTTGCAGATTTTTTTTAAAGTTTGGCTTCAATGTGTACTTAACACTGACGAGGGTATCTGGTCTTCTTTTTTTACAAATGCAAGTATCTTCATGTAATCCATTGTTATCATTTAACCATTTCATGATAGTAGTGTTTTAGATGCCAAGATTTAACGCTGAATATGAGTAAGGATTCTGATATAAAAAATCATTTATTGAAAGTAAAAACATGGTAAATATGAAATTTATCTTTCCAATGACCCTCAACCCCCATCATTTTTTTTACCTGGGTCCATACCACCAGAAGCCATTAAGGATTGAAACTGAAACCGCACACTGGTCAGGTATCTCACTCACCTGGATCTGGACTCCTTCCTTAATGCTGTCAGCTAACAGAGTCAAGATCTCCTCCTGGAGTTCTTCAAATGTTGACTCCCTGTCCACCATCAGCACCTGAGGGCTGCCAAACCTAGAAGGGGATACTCCACTGCATGAGCATGAATTTGAATAAATCAAGGATGAATCAAAGTTTTAAGGGTATATGTGTGGTTTGGCAGAGTAAGGAAGAGGCTTCTTCCTGGTGAACTCTGATATTATTAAGTGAACCAGATTGTTGAATGGCAACAGTGAGTAGTTTAAGGAATGCAGAGGCTGTCACCGAGAATCATATATATATGAAACAACCTTGACCATTGATTCTAAGTAATACAGATACCTAACACCAGTTATGTCTGTAACTAATACATTCAAGTAATATATTTTCAAAACTTTAAAATCATTCAAACCATTCAATTTTCAAAATATTTACACAGTCCCATGAGAAAACCCATTTTTCATTCGTACTGATGTTACATAAGGAGGTACAATTTAATTACAGCTGACACAGTTGCTAAAAAAATAAGATAACAGACATTCTGAATCATTTGGTGTATATATATATATATATATATATATATATATATATAAAAGATGTCCTCACCTCCTCCCTGTAGACACAGGACCCTGTCTGTTCACAAGGAGAACCATAAGATGTTGGGTCTGTCAGCTGTGCCTGTCTGGACTTGTCCACTGGTGCTGAGGGGCACTCTATGGCGTATAGATTGACAGACTCATGGATATCAGACAGGGGTTGATCATCATTAAATGTCCGATGAAAACCATCAAAGTAGATTTCTGTCAGCACAATCTAGAAAAGTAAAAGAGAAATAAATTTATGTCCAAATGTGACATTTTACAGTGTGGAAGCCAGTTACCACATTTTACAGTATGACCAAATATATCTATTTCCTATTACATAAACAAAAACAAGGTGTACTGTAAACAGTGATCAATTTATATATCACTCATTAATACTATTTTTTCACACTACTGGAAGCTCATCCATTATGAGATAAAAAGCATACATTGTTTGGGTCTAATTGCATGTTTTAAAAAGCCATGTCACTTTAATTACAGCCAATGGGCTTAAAACAATTCAACTCAACTCACAGGAAATTAATAAGCTAAACTTTTTAGAAATGTAAAACTGTTCAATAAATCTTTAATATTGTATACAGTATAATCACCATGACATCAAATATATCATATCACTACTGACAATTAGTACCTGGTTACTAGAGAACTAATACTATCTACTTAGGTGGATTAAATCAATCAGTCTTTAAGGTAATGTTTCTTTAATAATCAAAGATATATCCTCATTTAAATGGGTGTTTTCTTTGATTTATGACCACTTACTACAGTATCTAAAGTGTATTCAGCTACAAATTATACCCAATCATAAAATCATAAAAATCTATTATCAGTCAAATCCAGAATGAAGATAACATCCTTCAGACACATTATAATGCAAAACCACACAACTGACTAGTGACAATCTATTGATGTAAAATGAACCATTCCAACAGTTTCTGATTGCAGTTTTCCAGTCTTGCCAATTTCACTTTTTTCAATTATCTAAAACACTCAGTGTGACTGTATTAAAGGAATTAGTAGAATATTTTCATTCTTTGCAGTTCATCACTGTATTTTGCCATCAAGAACCACTGAAAACATTTTAACTTTTTTTTTCTTTTTAGCCATGAACATAATTTGAAACTTTTTCTTAGATATGGCATAATTCCATCATAGGACAAAAACAAATTGATTCCTAAATTACCCTTAATTTTCGTCCTATTCCTCTTCACTTTGAAGTGAAGAAGTGCTCACTCAATATACATAAAATTGATTCATTGCATTGAATGCTGTCATACAATAATAAATTCTTGTTAAACACTTGAAAAACAAATAAAACCAAGTTCTTATTGAATCCATAGTCAAGAGGTGTATAGTGTTGACATTTGCTTAAATAACAGGGTGACACAGCCCAGCATTTATTGAAAACATTCTTTTATGGTGTGTAAAGCAAACACTATGTCATTGCTTGTTTGTTATAGCTTGTTAGTTATCACAGCAAATAATGTGGTGTGAATCATCAATAGGACGTATCTAAGGTCAACTTTTCACAGACATACCAGTGAGGTGCTGACATAAACAGTTCAATACAGGTCAATTTTTTTTTTTTTTTTTTGGTCAACTGAGGGATACTGTCAAAGCTTAAATGATTTTTTGACTAAGCTGAAGTTAGAGGATTTTTACTAACAGCATTATGATGACCATACGTATATGCATCTGCCCTAACAATTACAGGAATTTTCAAAAGAAGTAAAAAGAAATTCTCCCCTGCACCCCTACACCACCCCTTTCATGGCTGATATCTGCATTTTAAATGAAATAAAAGTTTCAAAAGTGATTTAAAAGAACCTAAATATAAAAAATAATTTAAAATAATTTTTTTAAGTCCTTCAAACAATTGTAAGACTTATTGACTATCTTGTGGGTTAAAATAGTACATCTCTCTTCGTCAAAAATATTTCTCAATTTATCAGTTATTCTGCTAAGAATATAACATTAAATTACTTTTCAGGTGTACCTACCTGTTGTGGCTCAATGCCTGTCTCAGTTGAAAGAGTTTCCCGCAAGTCTTGTACAGTACTGCCCACTTCCATGGTAAGCCCAATCCGTACCTGCTTGGGACGTGCATCTAAATAGACTATGGTGACATAGACGGGTCTCGTTGTCTTCTGTGGAATTGGCAGGGATACACAGAGGAATGGATCAAAAGTGTTGCTCTGCTGCGAGCATCGTGGACAGCGTAATGAGGAGCGATAGAGAGCTTGAAATAGTTCATACACAAAACTGTTGTTACAGCGATTGTGACTGGCCAGGGCTGCCTCTGCAGCTTGCTCTTCTGTCTTGTAGTGACTGCTCTGAAAATTCATATAAAAACTGTTGGTTAATTTTATCATTTAATTTCTCATTGATCTTGATCCATTTATATTAACACATCTTTAAAAAGTTCCAAATGCTGTAGGAAAAAAATATTTGTTTGGCATCATAAACTACATTATTTCATAAATCTCAGCCTTTTTTCTGGTTCTTTTATGTAGTACTTGTGTGCAGGTTGTGATCTTAATTAATCCCTCTTTAAAAAGGTATTGTGTAATGTTTGTTTTGGCAAAGTGCCCACATGAACCAAGAAATAATGCGTTTTCACTTCATACAGGAGTCATTCAACAGTGTTTTTCTCATATTTTAATATGTTTAGAAATATCTTTTCATTTCTGACATTTCTATTCCCACAAATTTATTTCAAGAAATTTCAAGTGAGCTGATAAAAAAACCTTTTCCCTTTCTTTTTTTAATAAGTACAATGAAGAAATGAGAATATCTTTCATCAAAAGCAATATGCCAAAGACAGAATATATCTGTTGAGGAAATGGGCTAACAGACGGCACTCAACTTCAAGCAATAAACCCCTTTAACAAAAAGGCTATGTGCAATATGAGAAAATGAAATGCTCCATCACTCAGCTATGTTATCACTAGCCTGACCTGTGATGTTGATTGTGTAATACCTGTCAAACTGAATAGACAGCTGGACCCTAATCTGGACCAAGGCCAAGCCAAGGTTCACATATATAGGAATATTGTGCCTTCAAAGGTGGGCTACTCAGACCCCGGTATTCCCTAACAAACTAAAATGTATTCTTTTTCAAATAAGATATGTAAGAAAAATGAGTTCAGACTTTTTTTACTTTATTGTGCAACTGACTCATGTTAAAAAAATGTAAAAAAACTTCATCATTTAAGAACAGCAAAAGTATTTTTGCTCACAAAGACCCACACAGTCCTCCTCTTACATGTTATAGTACTTAGTATAACATTTGATAGCTGATAAAGAAGATAGTGATACTGACAGTGAGTTGATTAATCCTATTATCTACCTGTACCAAATCAATAAAGTTACCTCCAAAGTTAATGAGTTGTTAAGACATGATTTGTAAGATACCAAACAAGAGACAGACTGATGACTAATATGTCAATTATACACCTGAAGTAATAAAGTACTGTGTTAAGGTAAGCAATTTTCTAGGGCATATTCTAGCAAAGTACTTGAAAGAAAATAATGCAGTGCCCTATGTACTTTACTCTTATAAGAGTCAAAAGTATGCCTTGAGCTCCAATTGCACCTGACATTTAAATGTTAGGACTTTATCCTTTCCTTAGTCTGCCAGGATAGCACTAACACAAAAATGCTAGTAAAATTAGAGCCTGCCAGTAAAATAGTAATGTCGTGCGGTAGCTAAAGACTGTTCCTGCTATGGACTTGTGTCTTACATCCTGGTGTCATGAACTTAAATGCCAGACAAGAGGAAGTTTTTAGAACAAACTGTTTAATTACATAAAACCTGATATTAAAAAAATGTATTTCCTTGTGTAATACAAAAGCGATGATGTCCTCAGAAAATTAGTAGCTTGCCAGTTTTTTTTTTTTTTTCCAAGAAAATCCCACAAACCCATGTACCCATCCAACATGACCCCAAAAAAGTAAAAATATATATGAGCCCCTGCTTTTCATAATATCATCAACAATGTCAGAACATATGGCTACTTGTTTGAATAATTTTGATAGGTACCCTATCTTTGTGAGACTCTTAGATCCTTGTTAAAGTAGAGATGGTATTTTTTTCAATGTCTTTACATTCTTAGAAGTTGACACTGTTATTTTTCTACTAGTAAGTTTATATTTTATCAGAGACCAGTGGCCTAAGTAGTCTTATCAACATCACCAACACTGTTATCATTCAGGTCATCATTTCAATCACTTTCTCATTCACTAAAATGAAGGTCACTTGAATAATTAGCACTGTGCCTTCACGTGACTATTACCATTACACCATGACCCCAGTCAATATGTCTTTTACATTAATTTGTCTTTAATGAGATGCTTCAAATTCCTGTATTACAGACAGTGCCATCACAGGCAACAAATGTCAAGGTTTAAACTATATCCAGTAGTTTCCCACACTAAGATGACTTTTATAAATAGATCCAGCACATGTTTTAAAACATGTGCCATTCCCAACATTAAAGACTTGACATGGAACTTACTACTCCTTTTTAGGCATACCAGAAAAAACACATGTTCTAAAACTAAAGCAAAAAGATACTACAACTGCAAACATATAGCTAGTATATATCTTAAAAGTAACAGGAAAGGGAACTTTGTAAATGCCAAAGTCACGTACTAATAACAATATAATATCAATTTCTGTAGATCACTAAACACATGCAATCAGTCACAATATAACAACATCTAGGATGGCATAAATATTCCCTTGAGATAAGTTCACATTAACTGCATCTGTTACTAACGAAAAAAAAATATATAATCACTCATTTACATTTTTATGCTATACAGTATTTGTCACATAATTAATGTTGTTTCTTATTTATATTTTGTAATGGTGAATTTTTATTTGAAAAAACTACTTCAACTGACAATGAAAAAAATATGAAAAAAATACTTTCTCATTTTACCCCATCTGCTGCATTATCTATTTCATTTTGTTTTCCATCCTCTATTGTTTACAGGGTGCCATTTACGTGACTGGCACGTTACTCCATCATGGAAAATCAATAACTAACAACAACATTCTCTCTCTCATATCCCCAAGTGTAAGGCTTGTGTGGTATAAATGCAATATTTTCCACAACCTAATCTGGAAATTTTTGTTGTATGATGCAGACAGTGTTATCTAATAAACAGACAAGGCAAATATCCCTGGGCCACCAATAATGTAGATTGTATACTGTTAGAGTATGTCTGCAGCATCACATATATATTCTGCATTTACCATACTGTAATTTAATGTGGAATTGCAACTTATTTATTATGTAAAGACGTCCAAACATTGGATGTTTTTTATTTACATCCTACATACTGATGTATTTTATATATTCACTTTATTATCAAAGCTGTTGCCAATAATGAATACCTGTATTATTATATAATTTAGCTTGTTGCAAGAATAAATTGTTTACAACACATTGTTTAACACAGTTAAAGCAAGTCAGTTTTATACTAAAAGTAAATTTACCTTTAACTGTTTATACTTCTTCTTGGGAGCAATGTTCAAGTCCTCATGAAGCTTGTCAAGTAACCACATAAGAAACTCCTGTGCATCATGCTGCGCATACCCTCTGTACTGAGTCCCATATTTCCCTATCACAGATTTGAATTCACTGGACACTTCCGGAGTATACTGGCAAGTCCAAATGCTTTTCAACAATACAGCTAACTGATCTGTTACTTCGCCTTTGGTTCCAAACCTCTTTGAGCTGTATTTGTTATGCCTTCCTATGTCTTCTTTATACTGGTCTGTCACAAAGTACTCAGCAAGAATATCGGTGTTGCTCAGACACTGAAGTACAGCGTTCATGAAACAAGTGTTGCCGTGATTCTTTAAGCCTGATACCCCTGGGGTGAAGCCATTCTTTTGGTTAATATAAGGTGAGTGGCCATTTGGACGGGATGGATGTAAAGTACTGTCAACAGTATCGGAACTTCTTCTTCCGCCTGCACCAGTCACAATGTCACTGGTGGCACTGCTAGTGTTTTTCTTTTTAGCGTACACTGGCAGCATACGCTTCATAAATTTTACGAAATTACCAAATGATTTTGATGGCTTGAAACCCTTCCTCTTGTTCTGTACGTAACTGTGTACCTCAACAGAGTTCTGCCGGTCAAGACTCTGTGTCTTTCCAACACCAGAAACACTTTGGCTCACCTGGGGATGACCTTCTTGGAGGGGGGCGCCGGCAAACCCTCCCTCGTCCTCGTCATCCTCTAAAACGTCACCATCAGAAGCAGCACGTTGTCGACTGGGAACTTTTGTACTCATATCTTTTTGTTGAAACCAAATTACATCGAATGGAATGGATAAATGAGACGAAACGCACAAACAAACATCGTTTCCCTCACCTTTATTCAACCATGTTTGCGGTGCACTATGGGGTATGTTGAAAACGAGGTTGTTTACACGAGAGAATAACGCGGGAAGTAGGCACAGGTTTCCCTTTTCAAGGCACAAAAGTGCTGTAGTTTTAAAAACTGAAGTGGCAACTCTAGGTAAAGTGTTTGGGCTTCAGGATTAAAGCCTAAAACATCTTAAATGCCCTTATGATAAAAAGATCCTGTTCAAAAGCCTTAAAAAAAGTAAGTATATATATACTTAATTATGTCGCATATCAGTTATATTTTGCAGTCTGCAGAGCAGGGTTCCACTTTCCGTTATAGGTTAACTGCAGTACTAGTACAAGCAAACAAGCCCACCTACACTGGACCCTTCATGTCTACTCAAACTGTCCCCGAATCGTATGGTTTAGCAAAGAAGAGTTAAGTGGATAAATGAATATACTAGTACTTCACTTCTTGTCCTGTCAACTTGATTGCCCCGGCTAAAGAGCAAAGTGAATATTAAGAAAGGAGTCCCTGATTTCGGTGTAGTTTGAGACACCTAGAGGTTGAAAAGACACATAATGACTAATGTGTTTTTGTTTCACCCTTTAGAGTTGCTATTTAGGAACAATAGTCCTAACATGCCTCTTGGTTTCTCTTCTGAGGCACAGCTGAAACAAAACGTACTAATAGGACTTGGGTTGTGCCATTCCAGTTTTTCCCTTCTGTAACATACTAGTATCCTTCCAGACCTATACAGTAGCACACTCACTGCAAAGTTTTTCCTTTCTTTTATAACATAAAATATTAAGAAAATGAAGTATGAAAATAAAATTATGCTTCAACCTGACTTTCTTGAACTACATGTAGGTAAATATTTAGTAGTTTTAATTTAAATGTTTCTTTGTTACAGAGACCTATTATGCCACTAGGTGCTATAAAGAGCAAAAGCAAGTGCCAGTATGGTCCTACAAACACATATATCCTTAGCAGCCCCATTGGGAACTTTGAAGTCATCTGCTGTCAAAATGGAATCCATTCTATGGGCCAGATCAAAGAAATCACTGATGAAACATTCAGAGTTGAGAAGGGGTAAGGTAACCTGCATATTTGATCTGAGGACTAGTTAGTCCACTGGTCAACAGATTTTAAAAGCAGCATTATTCTAACTGTGGGACAATTTAAATCTTAAGTACTAAGAATTTTTTTAAATTTTACAATAACTTTAACTTACAGGGAGAATAAGCACAAACTGACTCCTATCATTGAGATATTTTAGGCATTTTATTCCATAGATCATCTAATACCTGAATTTGTGTACGTAATTAATAGGAAATAGGATTAATTTTGCCTCTTATGTATGTTAAGTACTTTCCCATCAAAGAGAAAGGTTTTCAGGAGTTTTATTTTAGACTTAGACCACTGTTGCCTTTCTTTCAGGAAAGAAGTCAAGATTGTGTCTCAGTTGTACAAAGATAATGGGTACATTTATACACCACTGATCAAGCTGTGCCAATGGCTACAAATCTACTTTACGGGTGGTTCTGAAGTGAAATCTCTGCCTCTCCCTTCCATTTGCTTTGCGTCATTTAAGGAAGGTAATATAAGTATTCATTCTATTTATTTCTCAAAATGTATAAACTGTTGGATACTCTTATTCGTTATAAAATTGTGCTGTTTAGTTTCATGTTTTAAAAAATTTTCGACTTAAAAAAATTTGCCAGTTTAATCTCACAAAATCATAGCTTTCATGGATAATGCTTGTATGTAAACATGGTTTTTTAAACTAAAAAAAGCCTTAATAATCTAACTGAACTGTTTTTTGTATGGGATTTGTTTTGAATAGATTATTATGATAAAGATGGGTGTCAATGCAAAATGTCGATACTTATTGAAAATTATTTGTCATGATTCAGGCACATTCACAGGAAAAGTATGGAAAACCTTGGCTGAGAAAGTTGGCTTTGGAGAAACGGTGTCATATGGGAAATTGGCGAATCTCTGTGGGAGTCCCCATGGGTCTAGAGCTGCTGGACAGGCAATGAGAAACAACCCTATTCAGATCATTGTGCCGTGTCATAGGGTGATATTAAGTAGTGGACAGATTGGAAACTACACTGGTGGCCGCAGAAATAAAGTGAAAGCATGGTTACTGGAACATGAAGGATCATTTCCACCAGAAGTGAAATAAAGGAAAAACATGATACCATAGCTCAGTGATTTGGTTAAACATGTATGTGAAGGCATTTTGTATTATTTTTAGTTGATAAATAATCTTGAGGCAAATAAGATGGCATAATAAACAGATATTTTGACATTTTGTTAACATGGGTGTACAAATTTGTAACACTTTATTTAAATGTAATTTTTCATATTTGGTATAATTTATCATAACCGCTGTGGTTTTCTTTCAAAAGATAAGGAATGGTGAACTGAGGTATATGCACCATCATCTATGGTCTAAAAGTCAATTCAACAATTCTGTTTATTACCACAAATGAAATATTATATCAACTTCATAAACATCAAGAAAAATATGTTTGAAATAAAAAAAGAAAACAATAACTGGGACCATTTTAAATCATTGATAAGTTTATCACAGCTGTAGCTTTTTTCCTTCAAGATATGGAATGGAAAATTAGGAAGATTTTTCTTTTTATTTTTCATTAGTACTTCATTGATTGTTACACAATGAGTCATACATACTGTCACGGTGCTTTTTTTTTCTTATTATGTATAATTATATTAGGGTGCTCTTATCAACTGTGCTCATCCTATGAAAACACTGTATTAATAACAGATGATTTATTTATTACTGGGGTACTTTTTTTTACTTAAGTGAGTTACAACACAATTATCACATAATTCAAGTTCTACATTCTGTTAAGTGCATGTACTAGGCCAATTCACATCTAAATGAAGCACGTCACATGTCTTGTGCCACAGTTCTTCTTGTAGATAGACATTTTGAGATAAGTGACTTGATTTTGCATTTGTACAATTAAAGAAGTATCTTCCTCCTTGACCTTCAACTTCACTCGACAGCGCAAGGTGAACTGAGGTATATGCACCATCTTCCATGGTCTGAAAGTCAATTTAACAAGTATTTTTATTCCCACAAATGAAATGTTATATCAACTTCATAAACATGAAGTAACATAAATTTGAAATAAAAAAAGATAAAAATACTGGTTCTGTTTCCTTTAAATTAAAAGAAAGCTATCTTGTGGCAACACAAATAATCATTTATGCCTCAGTTGATCCACATCTTTTGCATCTGTTAGAGTGACTCAAAATTGCTGTATAGGATATATCAAATATGCACAATGCTATTATCATTTTCATTCAATTATTTTGATTCAAATAGAATAATTTGAATAAAAAGTAACTGTTTCCAGAAGAAAAAAATCTTACCCATAAAATGCCTAATGCTGCTGCCGGTCTGACAAGAAAACACTTTACAAAGCCAGAGACATACTTGAAAAGTCCAGAACTGACCACCCCAGGATCAGCAACATTGACTGTGATGTAGTGGCCATCCCTGTTCAGCTGGCGTTGGAGGTAGTATGTTGCCATGACAACAGCCAGTTTGGAATGCATGTATGCAGCATGAGCAGAAAAATTTTGTTGTCTGCAATACAATTTGAGAATAATTGTCTTGGGGTTATGTACTAGTGCATCTTTTTTTTTAAGCAGAAATTTAGCTGCTGCTCAACCCCACCAAATTTTAACACTGGGTCTGCACAAATGTCAGGGCCTTCTGGCCTCTGTCAGTGTCTTGACCTGTTGTGCAGAGAATTCCCATGACCACTACCAACAAAAAAACTTGCAATATTGTAATTAATTTTACCTAAACCACATGTTGTATAATATTCATAAAATTACTTTTTTGTTTATTTAATATCCCCCCTTCCAAAAATGTTTCAAAGAATAAAAAATACTCACTCCTGGTTCAAGTTATCTAAATCAGCAGGCATGTCTGACACATAGTGTACTGAGGATGCCACATTGATCACTCTGCTATAGGAATGTAGCTGTCCAGTGGTCTTCAGTTTCTCCCACAATAGACTGGTCAAGAGGACATGGCCTAAATAATTGACCTGCAACTGCAGTTCAAACCCATCTACTGTTTTTGTATATGGAGGGAACATCAACCCAGCTGAAAATAAAAGCTCTAAGTTGATTTTAAAAATTTAAATAATACACCCTTTGCATATAATAAATATCCATCAAGCATTAGGAGACAAATGTCTGTTAAAAAATATTTAAATAAAGCAAAGTTCTACAACACCTACCATTGTTGATTAAGATGTGAAGAGGGCACTTCTTCTGTAAAAATGCATCCACAAAATTTCTGATAGACTCAAGGGATGATAGATCTAAATGTAAAAACTCAACTGCAAGAAAAAAGAATGAAAAGTGCTTATAATTGACTTCCACAGTTAGTTTTATTATACGAAGTTTTAATGTGTAAAAAAAAACAAATGGATCACAAGGACAAAGAATCTAGGTGTAGTAAAGGATTTCTTAGCATGCCAATCATTTTCATCACCCATTAAGAGCAGGGTAACAAACAAATTAAAACCCGTAATACTAAGAACTAGAAATATATTAAAATTTTGTAATCCACAACTTTGCAGATAGGAATCAGCTTAAAAAATATCCTTCCGAGATTTAAAGACCACCAGAAATCCACCATTACAAACAACATGGTAAGCTTTAAAAAGAAAGATGCAGGGTTGTGTTGATTTCGGAATGTTTCAAATCCACTATGTTACAATGTTTGATAAATGCACAAGGCCAACATAATGTGAATTCTACAAAGGTAATGTACTCAGTATAATGCCTCAATATCCATGTGTTCCAATTATGTTATTTTTGTACCTTACCTTTAGCCTCTGGCATTTCATGTTTTATTTTCCTTATTGCCTCTTCAGATTCAGAAAGTTTTGGAGAAGCTGCAATAAGACCTGGCATTGTTGAGTATTTATGTAAAACTTACAATATCATATTTACTTTACTTTTAATGCAATGCTAAGGCTCCAGTAGCAAAAAGTTCTTGCATTAGCACTCCTCCAGTGCATGTCAGAAACTGTAAAAGGAGCTAGTGCTAAGGCATGGATTTCGTGCTACAGCTCCAAGAACAATCATTCGTAAATGAAATAACAGAAATGTAATTGCCATTCCCAAATAATACCAGTGAATCATGTACAGGCTAAAACATCCCATTTTTCTGTATGATAGTTATCCATAATTTTGCAACAAATCATCAACATGAAATATGTTTACTAAGGATAATTTTAAGCACTTCCTAAGTAAATTAGAGCTAAGAAGTGATCACTCCTCACCAATGATAACTTGAACACCATGTTTTGCTAGCTGTTTACTAATATGATATCCAATGCCTGATCCCCCACCTGTCACGATCGCCACTTTACCTCTGTTGCTGCCTTCAATGCCTAGGAAAAACAATTGATCATATTACAAGAATTTTACATGGTTTAATCGGGCACGTTCGCACTGCCACGATGCCAATGTTAAAGTAGCACAAAACCCATGCCCTAACGCTATCAGCACATCCGCTACATCTCATTAACCGTAAATAAGAGCGTTAATGCATGAACTTCGTGCTAGTTTTGTATTAGTGTGCTAGTTTTGTATTAGTGTTGCACGGTGAAGTAAAATGAAAGAAAAGCCGGTTAACTTATACGCGCACATCTCGATTAATTCATTGATTTTGTGATTTCACAGTGTTACCTGTAGGCTTCCTTATTTTAGATGTATACTGCTTTAACAAATATGCGGCTGCTAAAACGTAAACCTTGAAAATACTGCACAAAATGTAAGCGTAACATGCGAGCCTTTTGAGGAAGCCCATGATTTTCTTGATTCAAAACGAGGCTGGGAATTCCCTCCCCTTTCAAGACAAGACTGCACGGTATATCAATCTACTATTATACACGATGGAAACGTAACGCGTATGATTTCGTTTGACACACACAAAGTAATTTTATAAAAAAAAAAACAAAAAATAACTGAAATTACCATATTCACAAACGTAACATCAACTTCTGTATAAGGCCAAGATGCTGCAGTACTGTCGCTGTTCCAGCATCACTGTATTTTGTGCTATGCTATTAACCCATTGTAGCCCTCGTCATCAAAACAAACGGCAGCCATACTGGAGGGAGACCAGAATCGTCTGCTGCGCATGATCATGTCTACATGTACAATTTAGTATTTTATTTCTGTGTTTTCTTTGATATTAAACCGAGTAAAATGATGAATTACTGCAGGGTATATGATAGAGAGAAAATAACTAATTTAACAAGCGTTCACAGACTGGTATGTTTCACCGCTCAGCCGTAAATCAATTCAAGCGGGTTTACGGATTATCATCATGAGGAAAAACATCCAACGATTATGTATCCGTTGCATTGCTACTTCGCGTGCTAAATTTATGTTAAGTTAATTCATTACCTAACAAAGTAGTTGGTGAATATCGTGCATTCACCTGTCTATACTAAATGTACCTTTAACTCAAGTTGATGTGTTTGGACGTAAATGCATAATAAATGAAAACGAAAAAGAAAGATTCTCTCTATCTAAAAATCAAACGTAAAGATATAAGACAATAAAAAACCCGTATACTGTTTATATTTATTCTATAGATAATCAGTACAATAAAACTCATTTTAATTCACATTTTGTGTACTCTATTTTTTTTAGAATTATATATATAGGGCCTATATATATATAATTCTAAAAAAAAAAGTTGGGGTAACTCCCCGTTATAACATCGGTCACTGTTTTTATCTCTTTTAGACAAATTGAGAAATTAAGAGAGAGAATATACTAGTATATATCTACTATTATACACGATGGAAAATTAAGAGAGAGAATATATATAGGCCTATATATATTCTCTCTCTTAATTTCTCAATTTGTCTAAAAGAGATAAAAACAGTGACCGATGTTATAACAGGGAGTTACCCCGACTTTTCAGAAAAGGATGTGTGATAATTATCATAAAAGAGTGACAATCTTATGAATATTGCTTTGAAAACAGTCAACTGCTCTTATTATATGCGCTTACATAGAGCGCTAACTTAGAAGTATTTTTATCTTTGGCATTTGCTGACGATATAAGTCCTCCATTTTATTGCAAGTAATCATCGTAGCTGATCAATAGGACGTGGTACAAAGTACTGACTGTAGAAACACAAAACAGGTTGCAAACGTAAATAGCATATAGTCCATAAACTAATTCAGCACTTATTAACTTTATAGAGGTTTTGGTATAATTCTGGATTGAACAACTCCACTATTCGTTGTGCTGCAGTTTGACAGTTGCTTGTACGTAAGTAGCATCAGGTCAGATAATAGACGTTCGTTTGGCGCATCCAAATGTAACGCTATCGTTTTCATTGGCACTCGTTTGCATGCGTTTTCATTGAGCTTAACAGAAAACTTTCTTGAGAAGACGAAATAAAATTCGCTTATATGGCGGATATAATTGATATTTGCGAGGATTCCTGTGATGAATACGTCTTCAATGGGGATCAAGGATACATGTTTTGCAGAGGCCAACAAAGTTCTAGATACGTCGGAGGACATGACATATGCGCCGCCCATTAAGTACGGAGGAAAGGTCGAAAAGGGGAAATCTGTCCTAGAAACTCCCCATCTCCCTCCCCTTATGACGACCGAGTGTGGGTTGTAATACCCTAAAAGAACCCCTTCTGGTTTCAACTGACTTAACCTGGCATAAAGGCGTGAGGTCATCATTAAGATGTCGTCGTCTACCTTCAAAATAAACAGATCGCGTTCACAATGGTCATTAGCCCACCGTAAGATTGACAGAGATTTCAAAACCAGATTTTCGTATGTGTCTAGAAAGTCATATTGTATTATGTCATGGTGTTCCTGACTCTCCAATATCAGGTCTTCATCCCAAGCTGTGGTATTTTGACGACCAAATATGAAACAAAGTCTTACGTCTGATTTCTTGGGTGCTCCCCAAGTTTTGCGAATGACACTCCTAAGATGTATGTTTTTATACTGAGACAGAGCCACCATTAAAAGTGTCACGTTTCCTTGACATTTGTTCCTCGGGGAAATAAGTAGTTTGTGGTCCAAATTATTAACTATATATGGTTGTCTTCTGAAGACTGCTTTAATATCATCTTTCCTGTACGCACGCAGCTCCTTCAGTTGTTTTCCCGTATATTTTCGCGGACTTGATCCTTCCAATGCGCTGGTTCTAGCAGACTCGTCAAGCGGTGAACCGACTGTGTCAACCAAGAGCCATTTGTCGGGAAGCCGTTCCCAAGAATTCTGTTTGTAGGAACTGGATATATTTGGGGTCAGCAAAATGAATAAGGAAAAACAGAATGACAGAAATACAATGACAAAAAACGTAGACTTAATCCAACGCATAGCCCTAGATGATGATGCTCACTAATGGTGCCCTGTGTCCCAGTTTTCACCGCTTAATGTTTCATTTTATGTGCTTAATACGAGCTTCTTCAGACGATGACGTTGTCTACATTTTATGCACAAGCACCAGCAATATGCTTAATTCCTAGGGAACTATAAGACAAATTGTGGTTTTCATATTCGTTTGCGTTATATTTTCTTCTTTTACGACTGCATGCACAGTGTGAGCTATATGGGTTTATGTCGCATGCGCACATTTTGAATTACTACTTCATGTTTACGTTGAAAAAAAAAATAAAAGAAAAAACACTTTCACACTATATGTCGTTTATTTTTAGGTTAGTTTATTTAGTTAAAATTTACATAAACAATACATTTTCAGAGAGCATGCATATATTTATTTCGTATAAAATATCCATAAATACCCAAGTGTTGCCTGTTTTGTCTCAGTGATCTAATTGTGTGTAACATGTACTGTACAAATTCAAATATATGTTGAGTGTGTATGGAATTGTTTGATATTTTCTTAATTTACATTCAAAATCTGAAGAGATAGTTCACAATTTCGGATTGGATTCATTTAAGGCATGTGGTTTAACCCAAGACTGAACAACTTTTTTCTTGCAAGTTGATAATTCCGTGTAAGTCATCATCATAAAATCGGCGAGAGAAAGATTTCCTGGTTCTTCCAAATGTAAAGTGATTGTTTTCTGGGGTAATCTCTGACAAGCAGTTTTGTAAGCTTTCAAATAGTATTTTCTCGCAAAAAGGAAATATGGATCCTTTATATGATGCACGTTGGTGATATTAGCCAGGATGCCGGTTATATAAGCGTCTTCCACCTGGATTAAGGGGACGCGTCTGGCAGCGTTCAGCAAGGTTTCTACAACATCTTGTGACATGACGTATGCCATGCCAGACAAATACTTCGGGAATTTAGAAAATGGAAATTCATCAAAAGGAACTTTCCATTTGCCTCCCCTGAGTACCATGGACTTTGGGTTCGTATAACCTAGAAGGACGCCCTCAGGTTTGAGTGAGGAAAGTCTGGAGTACAGGTTCGGTGTCATCAGCAAGACATCATCGTCGACTTTTAATACAAAATCTGCATTTTTGCAGTGTTCATTGGACCATCGCAGCATTGACAGAGACTTGTAAATTAGATTTTCGTAAGTATCTTTAAAGTCGTACTGTATGATGTCCTGATACTTTTCGCTCTCTAGCCTAAGGTCTTCATCCCAAAGAGCGGTCTTTTGCCGACCGAATATAAAATATGTCCTCACGTCTAAACCATCGTATTTGCCTCCCCAACTTTTCCGTATTACGTTTCTTCGATCAGTGTTTGAATATTGGGAAAGAACCATCACTAACAGAACAACTTTCCCTTTACAGTTCTCTCTCGGGGAAATCAGAAGCGCGTGGTCTAAAGGATTCACGATGTAAGACCGAGTTCTTAGGAAAGCATCATTATCATACTTCTTTAAAGTCGATCCGTCTATCTTCTCTTCTCGCAAGAATGAATTCTCTTTCGTTGCTTCAAAATGAAGATATTCAGACGCGACAGAAGAACGATGGCTTACTTTCATGTCAGCAGGTAATTCGTGTTCATTTCTCACACGTGACAGGGAATCACCAGATTCCCTAAGAGTTGTTGAAAATATAAAGAAAGCGAATAACCAAATGCCGACACCGCAAAATGCACATTTCAGACGCCGTATTCTCCATTTGCTTTTCATCTTGTTGAGTAGTGGCCCGTACCTGCTAAATGTGTTTTTAGGTCCATATAAAGGAATGTGCCTCAGTGTGGCAGTACATGTAGCACGCCTGAGCTGGAATGGCGTGCATTCTTTTTTCTTAATTTGAGGTTTCTCTCAATGTCTATATTAAAAGTACGATTGTTTGCAGTTCATGCTTATAACTAGTTTATATTGATACGCCATGTTTCTTCCCGTTCATCTTTCTTTCTATTATGTGAAAGTTATCAACAACTGAAAATATAAGGATATTAGTTTAATCCTTCAATACTTACTTTAAATTGCTTTATCAAAGTGTAGAGGAAATAAATCAACGTCACTTACTTTTATGGTCACATAAAATTAACACCTTTCATGAAGAGCAGACACTGGAAACAATTTACTGACAAAGTGAACGAAGATTACCCTTTTTTAGTTTTGGTACTAGTAATCGCACAAGTTCAATTTTAAGTGCGAAGCATTTTCAACAAAATTGTCACAGCATCATTGCTATTGTAGGGCTAGTCCCTTAAGCATATGGCTATTGTAAATATAATTCTATTTAAAGAGATTTTGTGGGTCATAAAGACACGTTTTACTTTATGTATTTATTATTTAGCATATGGAAGATAGGAAAAAGGTGGCATTCATTTGTAAAAAAATTACAGTAAATTAGTGTTGTCTCCATGGCGGTTTGGGTCCGTAAAGTGCTTGTAAACGCTGTACTTCTCTATAACACTTGTTGACTAATAACATAAGTTTAGATATGGAATGTTCGTCTGGAGCACCTAAAAGTATAGCTAATACACTCCCATATGATTTTGAACATATGGTACTTTGGATTTCTAGGTTTTCATGTGCGAATTGAGTCAGGAATTGGCCATCTGAAAAAATAGTGATGCCAGTGATCTTTGCTAAAATGCCTGTGATGAATGCGTCCTCAATTGGAAGTAGAGGGACGCGTTTTGCTGCCTCAAATAAAGTTTCCGCCACATCTAGGGACATGATGTACGCGCCTCCTGCTATATACGGAGGAAATTCTGAAAAAGGGTATTGGTCACGTGTCACAAGCCATTTCCCATCGCGTAAAACAGTGTAGTGTGCATTATAGTGTCCTCTCAGGATTCTCTTGGGGTACAGTCTTTCGAAATAGCTATGGAGTCTGGAAGTCATGATAAATACATCATCGTCGACTTTCATCACAAAATTGACGTTTTTACAGTGGTCAGTTGCCCACCGGAGAATAGACAGGGATTTCAAAATCAAATTAGAATAAATATCTGGAAAATCGTATTTTATAATGTCCTGATATTTTTGACTCTCTTCCTCTAGACGGTCGTTCCATTTCTTAGCACTCTGTTGACCAAATATGAAAGCAATTCGAACACCTTCTGGTTTTTCTAATGTGGAAGCCCAAGTGTTCCTTATTGTTTTTCTCCTAACTAGGTTTGTGAATTCTGATAGGACTACTATTAAAATAGTCACGTCGTTCCCACAAAAGTCTCTTGGCGAAATCAAAAGAGAGTGATTCAATGGGTTAATTATTGAAGATCTCGTTGTAAAGAAGTTCTTCTCTGTTTCGAAGTCGAGGATTCGATCTTGTTGTCGGTTCTCTCGTTTTTCGTTGTCATACAGTGTACCTTGAAGTGCCGTTTGTATAGAGCTTTTACCACGATGCCCATCAGTGTTTGTGAGTCCATGTTTATCAAAAGGTTTGTGATAAAGAATCCAAGAAATCAAGAAATATGAAACTAGGATTGATAAAAACGACAACACTAACTTTTGTGTTAATTTCAGCCGTCTCATCCCTCTATGTTATATGAACCTGATTGCCAGAAATACAACATGGAGGATAACAAAAATGGCCTCCCCTTACGTCAAGGCAGTCACGTTAACATTTACCAACTGTAGGGTTGATAATGTTTAACTTTTATGTGTGAGCATAGAATTAATTTTGGATTTAAGGTAGTATCGCTAACCACTGATTTTATTGATATGTAAATTATAGTACATTACAAGGTTGTAAGAAAGTCTTTAAAATTTGAAAAATTCAAATAGTCCTCTTCGATTCTCAAAACAGAAAAAAAATAATACCGAAAAAAGAAATTATTTGTAGTTTAATTGGTCGTGTATTTCATATAGTGGTCCAGATTAAACAAAGATGATAGAGAATATATGCACACGAAAACGGTAAAACGAGCCGCTGCAAAACATTGGGTGAACTCCAAGATACTTTTAGCTGAGGTAAAAACGCATATGGGCATATACATGTATATGTGTTGTGGCCTAGTCCGGCCTCACCTCTCGTAATCTATGTGTGCAATATTACAAAATTAGACATATATTGAAGTCGTAGTTGAAATGACTTCATACTTTGATACTTAATTTTCCCCACCTGACACCCCTCAGCTAACTGTTGTTTTGGGCGTAACTGGGAACGCGTCATGTTATACAAGTTGTCTGAATAATAAATATTGCAATTACTTTGCTATCCTTCGTTTTTGTCACTTTCATATTGTTTAATTTAGTCATATTTCCGGGTGATTCCTATGTAATTATATGATTATAGTAGTCATATTCTATGTTGTCACGTTAGACACTTGAGGAGAGTTTGTTAGTTCAGCACTTCTCCACCCTGAGTAAGTTTCTTCTCATGTATGTGTGTGATTTGTCATGGGGATTACTTGAAAGAAAGAAACAATCACGTACATAGCTTGGATAATCAGGGCACATTTTACACAACCAGTGTAGAATGTTGCTGCGTTGTGCAGCCTTCTAGATCCAAGAAAGTTCTGTTCATCTGGTATACCAAGGAACGTTCCTCAAAAGTTACCACCATAATGGCCACCGTATCATGAGATACCCTATCACATGTTCGCTGTTTATACTTCGGAAAATAGTCACGTAGTAAGAAATTAGAATCTTGAGTGAGAGGAATCGATTTAATGTGTGCTAGGATGCCTGTAATGAAGACGTCTTCCACCGGCAGCAGTGGTACGTGTCTGGCAGCGTTCAGCAGCGTCTCAGCTACATCAGACGATAAAACATATGCACCGCCTGCCACATACGCAGGGAAAAAACTGAACGGATAATCTGAATAGGATATGTTCCATTTTCCCTTTCTTACGACTAAAAATGCGTTATTATACGTCCCGTATATTATACCCTTTGGTTCTAAATTTCGCAGTATGGCATAAAGCCTTGAAGTAACTATGGTGATATCGTCATCAACTTTTAAAATAAATTGGGCATTGGGGCAGTTTTCTCGAGCCCATCTCAAAATTGAAAGGGATTTTAAAGTCAAATTTCTGTAAGAATCCTTAAAATCATATTGTATAATATCTCCGAATGTAATGCTTTCCTCCATTAAGTAGTTATTAAATGACTCTGTGGTTTGTTGACCGAAGATGAAGACAAGGCGGACGTCTGGTCGTTTGGCCAAGTTTCCCCACGATTGCCTTATAGCACGCCTTCTGTTGACGTTACCGTACACCGACAGAACCGTTATCAAAAGTTTCACTTGCCCGCGACACTTTCCGGATGGTGATATCAGCAGCTTATGATCGAACCTGTTTACAACATGGGGTCTCATTTTGAAATATTTGTAGATGGTGTTCTTTCCAATTGTAGTCAACATTTCCCCAGCAATTGATCCACTTTTGATTAAATAACGTCCTTTGAAAGCGCCATTAATATATGACGACTCGAATGGAATCTCCCGGAAAATTGAAACAGACTCATTGTTAAATGGCGTCACAGTTAATATTATGAAAAAACACATCCAGCAAACAAATCCAACCAGAATACACTTCAGAAAACGCATGGTGTCCCTGGTATCTGATAGTATTATAGGGTTTGGTATTCAATCCCTGGCATTCTTTTATACTGTGCGTAGCATTTCACATTACCTGGCTATCATTTCGTAATGTGACCATCAAGACTTGGTAACGGGTGGCCTTAACTAGTTTTCAAAGACAGTGAATCCAAACTATGAACTGCTGTGAGGTATGCCTGGATATAGTGAGCTCGACAAAGAAAAATGGCATGTGGGAATGTTGCGATTACAACAAAAACGCTGCCAGCAACTTATTTTATCCGCGCCGTTGAGGTCAACACAGGCCTTATTTTTTTAATGTAAACAAATTGAAATTCTACGAAATCGCATTCACAATATAGACTTTTTCAGGTTTGCAAACAGATAAATGCAAAAGTGAAGCTTACTTTTTCAAATGGAATTTGATGCAATTGCAGGTTTTAAAAAGTGCATATATGACATGCAATGAATCTTGCAATTTCTCAATAATATTTGCTTTAGTAAAACCTATGAAAGCATTGCTTATTTCTTATGAAAGAATTGCCCACGTTGTCCGCATGATATCACTTAAATAAACAGTATTTTTTGCCATGTAACCACTAACAGAAAAAAAATTGAGAGCAGGTGGGTGGAATGCATGTAAATGAACAGAGATGCCGAATCGTGAAGCACAAACATGTATTTAACCGATCACTAATGTTCAAAGGATAAAGCAGCACATTCGTCACACCATTGCGATTGTTGAGCGGGTCAGTAACCAGAGTCCTCATGACGGACAGCGCAATTTCAATGGAAAATAACTTCTTGGAATAGGCATAAGATAACGCACCAGCGACAACTCATTTACACGAAAATGTCATCAGGCATGTAATAACGTTTGGCATACTACTACCAGCTAACATTACACCACTGACTTATTTTAAAAACATCGACGCACCCATAGTTTGGTTATATATTAATAATTAAGCTCTTATTACCCAATTTAAACTTCCAACAACAGGACACGCAATATCGTGTCGCACACTGAACCGGACGTTAAACGGGACAACCCTGTGAACAAGGAAGTATGAAGGTCATATCAAAATTTCAAGTCTGAAGTCTGAAGAACGTGCTCATTTACGAAGCACTAATGCGTGTAGTTTTTACCTCCGACAAGGAGGTTATGTTTTAATATTTAATTCATGGGGTCTACTTTTTTACTGAACTATTTGACAAGGGTTCTTTTACGACGTATACCCTGATCTTCAAGGTGCACTATACGCGTTTAAAATATCTTAGGGTCATATTTTGTCTACATATCCCGCAAAGCGACTAATCTTTTCCAATTCAGATCTTAAAAAGGCCCTCGTCCCTTTTTTCTTTTGAAATATGCAGAAAGACATGGCAACATAAATGGCTGGCAGTTCATTTAGAAAAATCGGCAATATCGAATCCAAGTGCATGGACAGGTCGATCAATGGTTTATGAGTTGGAGATCTGGCGAAAAAAAAAAAAAAAAAAAAAAAAAAACGGATAGAATACCTTTAAGCGAGACAAAAAGAGAGGCAAAACCTTTGGGCTGTTATCTTAACATATTACAAAGCACTCCTTCATTTATAAGCACTATCCTTAAGTCAACCTGGACTGTACGAAAGGTGACGAGTACATTAGAACTGGAATGCAGGGTCAAAGTTTCCAATATCTTATTAGCTTGGTGCTTCTTTCAGTGGAGCACAGCCAAGCACACACACACCATACATTTAATTGAATATGACCCACTATGTCAGAAAAAGATGAATATGCTGGAACAAACATGTAGATTGTCATACATTTGAATATACGGGTAAATACTTTTATCAGCTCCACAGATGGAAGAGCCTAATTTTCAAGTGTCAGGGGGTAATTAAGCCGAGCGCACGCGAAAGTTAATTACCCCTAGTTACTCAAGGAGGCGTATCAGATATTTCAGCTGATTACACTGAATGCAATTTAGTGGCAATCCCCGGCAGAGTTGGATCGATAGAGCTGGTATGATGTTTGAATGTGAACGCGGTCTTAGATTTCATGTTGACTACACTGAGCTGTATGGGCCCGGGGTGGACTAATTAAACTGGCAGGTTGGCAGCACTTGGACTGATCTTCCTGCTTTGGTGCTTTTGTTTTGCTCGTTTATTGGAGGGTTTTAAAACTGTGCCAGACTTGCACGTCACTGAATTTCGATCAGCAACCATAACTGTGTATGAGGCAATGAATGCTGTGCTGTTTAATCAAAGAAATGTACCATATCTGATATCACATCTAAAAAACCGAATGAAAATATAATAAATTGCTAGCAAACTTTTGATCATTTGAGGTAAAATTCTCTTTATTCAATAAAATATTTTAATCAAATTTCCCATCGACGTATGAGAAACTTTTGTGACACAGAAATCTTGTTTTCATCAAAATAACACAAGGAATATTTATGCCCATTCCTCTGACTCTTAAGTGCAGATATCCTTTACACAGGTTATACGAAATATATGAAACAAATATATATTGGATATATGCCTCAGATTATATCAAGTGTAAACATATGTTGTAACTAGAGCAATTACAACATATGTTTACACCATTAATACACTTCTCTTTCGCTGATCGAGCCTCCAACATGACTGGTATTAATCAAACAGTAATGATACTTCACGTATATATTGAACAGGGAAGGGGGTGGCGTGGGTGAAAGACAATCAACTTTTTTTCCGACTGACAATTCCGGTGAACACAATCGATCAAATAAAACGTTAACAGCCTTGTCAAAAGGGCACCAGCAATATTAAAAACTCTGTAAGTCTGTAAGCTAAATTGTCCTTCATAGTATTTGAAGGGATTTAAAAGATTTTTGGCGATTTATTTAAAGTAAATTAACGGTGCACATTATTTAAATCCGGAGCAGACATAAGAAAACAACATTTAACGTATGACTGTTATCTCATAAAGTATGTATATACATATGTACACGCAGAGGACAAATTGACTTCGACAGCATACATAAGCATGTTATATGGCGACAATAATATACTGACCCACACACGTAGAAAAGTGGAGCTATGATTCGTGAGTGGGAGAAAAGTACATTTTTTCTCTCTAAGAAAATCAGATTTGTCGCAGAAACACAGTTTCCAGTTTCCAGTGGATATAGGTCGACACCACTTAGTACAACCTAACTTTTTACGACCAATCACCTATTTAAGCCTACAAAAGGTAGCTAAAGTTATCCCTCTGTTGTCCATTCCATTGCTATTATAAATTAAGGAAAGTCGCGTGCCGTTACTTTGGATTCCTATTTTGAGCTAATCAAGTGCAATCAAGCGGCCTGTTGAAATGGTTTGTAAAAACTGGACCTGCCTACACATGATTTCCACTTGATGGGTTTTAGAGAGGTTCTTTGTCACAAATTACATTGGCAGTAATCATTTTACAAAGGACCGCACCTCCTGATAACCGGGACTTCCATAGTTTCAGTAATTGTATGGCGGAGGGAAGTGGAGCGATAGATGATACCTTGTTATTGCATACTCTCTTATTTAAAGGTTGCTGTTCTTGATACTACACCGCCTAACATTTTCTGTTATTTTTTAAATATTTCTTATCATCATCATAATAATGTTTTTTGTTGTTGTTGTTGTTGTTGTTTTACTTTTAATACAGTATATTGAGTTTTATTTCTTTTTGTTTGTTGCCAGCATTGTGCTATCTGCCCCGTCTTACCTACTCGGCTATTGATTCAACCGGCGCTCTGTAGAAGGCAGAATCAATTGTGCGTTTTTCCCTTGAGGTATTAAGTCACCGGGAATTCCTGGGAAAATCACTAGAACGACAGAATTTATTGACGAATTGGATAATTATTCTTCGCTTGTTCATGATTTCTCTTAACAAATGCATTTTAGAGAAAGTCACGGATTTCATTTTAGATTAAAGGGAAGAGGATTGCAGCTCATAATTTAATATATCATCCGTTGTTCTGTCACGCAGAAGTTGTTTGTCACTAATGTAGTTAGGTAACGCCCCCTTACACACGTGACTAAGAGATTGGTATTAATGGATACAGTGAGATAAACGTAGACAAAGCCAAACTTATTTTTGGAAATGCATACCCTGGGATCGATTTGAACCTCAAAATTCATCATTACCCAGTGAGATAACATATCTATGAATACATCACAGTATATACATAGAAAAGATAAATACAACAGCAAGCATGATTTGACTCCCCAACCATGCTGGTGTCTTATAAAATGAATAAGGCGCGGGTAAAGAAGTATAAATCTCAAATGTAATAGAGACCTGGCCTGAACCCGCCACACCAAACCACATGTATTTTAATAGCACACGCTACAGGTTGGCTTTTCTTAATTCCAATACAGGTCGATTGTTCGGTCAATGCCACGCCATATAAAGTGCTCTGTACTTTTATCCGCGGGACCAGTTTCATTACAGTCATTAGCCCACTATAGAAGTCAATCGATTCGACTCTCCGGTAATTTTTTTTTATGCTGATCATTTTTGTTGTCATATTTCATTTTTTCAAAGGGGTAATTGAGTCAGCGTGGCGAACCTTATTCATATGACTTCTTTAGTGATCAACTGACCTCCCTTCGGATTCAAAACAGCTATCGCACGTGTGATCAGTGGATCCATTTCGTCCATAAACCATTCTGCTGTTCTCCAATGGATATATTTGCACTAGCGGAAAGAACGCAGCTTAAACGATTGAAACCGCTGGTGCAGAAGTCGAAGATAGGGCAGTTGCTATTTTC